CACACAATCAACAAAACAGAACATGAGAGCTTTAGAATTTCTAACCTCCACCAGATTCTTCTGTAATAATCATCTTCTTCATTGTTGTGTCCACTCCCTCAAGTTGCATTTTCATATTATGTTATCGGCCTCCTTGTCAATCGGTTTGAAATACTCTTCAATGAAAGCCTCCTCCTGTATATGAGCACCACTAATGGTATTCTTGGACTAATTAAGGAATTAAAACCAAGACATTCTTACAAACTAAGACGTGATCTGTTAGGAAGCAGTGAGAACCAGTTTGAATTGATAAATTCAGAACGTACGAGACAATGTAAATAACTCGAGTTCCCTATGAAAACAGTTCATTACCCCCATATCCACAAAAAATACGTTACTTGGACTGCATTCTGCAAGCACTGCAAAGTTGATTAGTTAAAGAAGAGGCTGAAAAACTTAGTAAATAGAGCAAAATATATAAAGAATGTAAATTATCCATAGACTGGTGAGTACAGATGGCAAATTCTATATTTAGGGGCTTTGAATCAGGTTTCGCTGCTTAGTGGAACTTCAATACACGAGATCCAGGACCATTCAAGCAAATTCATCAGCTATAGACTAAATGTCTCTCCACACATCTGAATGTCCAAAATCGTTGCTTTTATCAATCATAGAAAAAAGAGAACATATTTTCTAAATTAATCTAGTGACATCTATCCAACTACAACTGACCCCTGCCCGAGTCAGATGCTCTCAAGCACTACACAAGTTTGTGGGCTTCAAAGTGTCATCTATGGTAGTTCCCATTACTAATCAACCCAATCACCTCATGCACTTTCCAATCTATGGCAATAAATGCACTTCTTCTAACATCCGATCTCAATGCATTTTTAATTAATTTAGGGGAAACTTCATTTTCTTTGTGGGTAGGGCCAGTTGCAGAGCATCTCCCTCACCTTCTAAAATGGCACATAACCCCCTCCTATGATATATGCACTAAAGTGCACCACTACCTTAATACCCATCACCCCCTCAAACCCCAGCAGATCCCATCACCCCAATGCAGTACCAAGTCTACTCAAATCGCCCCAATGCAAAATAGTCAAGGAAAATAAACGAATGGATAACTAAGTTTATTGATCAAATATTCCAACATACAGGTAAAACAGAATTTGAACAGGCAAAAGAGAGAGGGCCCTACAATTGCTATCTGGAGGTCACCAGAAAGACACCACCATATAAAGAGCCCGTGGTCATTGTTTTTCAGAAACTCCAGCCCTGCAAGCCAGCATAGAATTTCCTTTCTTTTCCTAGATTCACACTGTATAAAGGAAAAAGTCCTTTCTTCCTTTCTTTGAGTTTGTATAGCTCTTAGGAAAAAGGTCGTTCGAGTTGTTTTACTATGTATAGCTCTTTTGAAGGAACATCATGTTCAAAATAACACTATGATTCGCTTTCTGGGAGTATGAGTACAGTAAAGTGGACATGTCAAGATAATGACAAAATCAGTCGATTGCATAAATATAAGCCTCAAGACAAGCAACCTTATAACCTACTATAACCACGTACTTATATGCTTTCCAAGTCCAATTATTCATTGATTTGACACACCATTATACGATTAATCCTAACGTTTAAGTCCTATGACAGCAAACCTCATAAATGCTCGTTTTGTTTTATTATTCAACATAAACGGGAGGGAACAATAGCAGCATCAACAATGACACCAATAAATCATTGTAACAAGAAGTCTTCTCCAAGCCAATGTGGATCCTTCTATCACGTAAGTGGATAATTGACAAGAAGAAAGAAAATGGAAAAATGAATTCAATTACAGAGCTTCAAGATCAAGGCCTTAAAATTTCCAGAGAGAGGAAGAGATGGGTACGTAACAGCCCAACAGCATGCAATGTACCCAGATATTAGAAGATCAACAACAAAGATATTCATCCAACATGGTAAACTTGTTTAGAGAACATAAACCCATATTTGCAAACACAGATTATGCTTCCACAAATGCAACAATAGAATAACATCTATTCTCATCACTGATCATCTCTTAAAATGACCATAATCCATACCATTGAATTCAAGAACGTTTCCAAGAAGAAAATTTTAGAGGTGAATGCAAGACCTCCAATGAACCCTAATGAAAACAAAATTTCAAAATGGCCAAGATATGTACTCCCCAGTTACTAGAAGATAAATTTTTTAAAAACAGCAATAATTCTCTAGGTTTACAATCATGAACCCAAGCACAGGGCTTCTACTCATCCACACAGCTTTGATACTGCTTCTCAATTGAGATCCTCAAAATAAGGATCTTGAACCAGAGAACACCAATATATAAGAAAGATTTTTTCATGATGAATAACACAGACGAAGCCTGAAAAGACCCTGGTAGTTGAATCCTACGACAAAACAAGAAGAGCAAAAAATTGCAGTCATGTTGCATAAGTATTTCAAGCTCTTTATAGTTCTTAAACACAGATGGTTCATGCAAGTACAGATTCACATAAGAGCCTCACTCTACCTCAACAGGCACATGCAACTATGGGTCAAAGTATTGGCCAATACCTGAGTCGTATCGAACTTGGTACCTTCTGTTCCACTGATATACGTCCCTCATGAACCACAATACTCATTAGAATCATTGTTGACTTAGAGACTTCTCGGACGACTCGATGCCCTTTGAGTCCATGGCAGATACAGAAACCTGGAATCATGCATATAAGCTACTTCAAGCAAGGCCTATATGTGAGGTTTTGACGTAGCAATCCACATGGTACAGAAGGCACTAACAACAATTTGATGACAAGCTACCATTCCATCCAGCATGACAATACTGATCCACATCATGGTATGCCAGGCAATCGCAACAACTAATGAACAATCCATCTATGATCCACCTAAAAGATAAAATACGATATTTATTCCATCTTGTTCAAAATTAACTCATAGTTCTCCATGCCCAAGTGATAAGCAATGACAATTCGGTTAATTACTCTAATCAAAGAGAGAAAAAGTACCAAAAGTGGATCAACAGTAGCCTGACCTGCATGAAATGGTGGCTGTTTTTGAAAATTATGGCAACAATCATAATGATTACCCCAGCAGTGTATTCATGATAGTGTCAAGAATAGGAGGATGTACTATTACTTGATCAACAAATAGTAGTCAAGTGCTGCTTTTGGGATAACTTGATGAAAGTTAAAAAGCAACACTTATTGGCAATAGAGTCAAGTGCTCCTTTACATGCATTATAAAGTCCAAACGAGTCACAAATCTCAAATACATAACACTTGAGATTCAGAGAGGATGAAAGTGGGGAAAGATAGAAAAATAAGATAATGACGAAGAAAGAGAAGGGAAAAACCTCAAAAAGATGACAAACTTGTTGCTTATAACTAGCCCTTTTGTGGCCAAGTACATCAGCTTTTATTATTTTTCTGGTTCCTATGGTTACCTAGTCGAAGATTGCTTTTGAATCCATTTCACCCATAATGACATCTCCAATATGCAACCATGATGTCATTTCCAATATGCTGATTAATTAACCAATTAGGCTAGTTGAATGGAAAGTTCTCAGGGGTGAAGTATCACAAGGTATAAAGTTCGAGTCCCAAACAAACCCAATGTGAGTGATTGCGAGCATATGGTGTTTGCGTTATAGAAATGTGTCCGAAGGGAACACAATTAGAACAATTCTTCGTTGCCCAAAAAAGAAACAGAAAATATGCTAGTGCATTGTTTACTGAGATGTTTGCCTATCTTCCATGTTTTTGGCTTCCAAAACTATATTATAGACAAGACAAGTAAAAATAAATCCAAGACAGAAATTACAACACCACTTCTTTGCAACTCTTTGGTTGATCTGACACTCAAATTGAACAAAACATGTTTTAATCTAACTCATTTTGTAACAAGCTAGTTACCGTCTTCAGTGGCTGCAAAATATTCATTGCTTCCATTAATTTTTTCCCCTTTTTCCTTTGTTTGATATTGTGACATTTAATTTGTACCATGCAATATAACTTCATAAATGTTATTCATGGTACTAAGGTGAAAAATACTGACGAATAATACAGAAAAAATCAAATTTCTGAAATCATCATTGGTATCAATTTTTGTGTGTTCGTGTGTGTGTGTGTTGGGGCGGGGGAGATATAAACCAGATTTCATTAAAAGATAAAAAGGAGTGCAATTTAAGGATATATTAGAAGGAAAGACATCCTACCAGAAATCCTTAGATCAGTATAAAGAAAAAAAAATCAAAACTTCCAAAATAAAGATTGTACAATTCACACAACCATCTCCAATCAGACATTAAACAAAAAATATGAATATCGTTAAACTCCATTCTTAGCAAATATAAACAAGGATGAATGCCATATTGCAAAACATAGCTTAATTTTAATGTAACAAGAAGTGCATTTACCAGACTATCCAGTCTCACAAAACACACAGAAACCGATGCACACCTAAGGGCCACTTTCATCTCTCTTCTGCATCCTCAAAAAGACTAATGTTACAAAGTAGTGCCTGCAACCTTTAGAAAGGGTTTTGATGGTAAGTTGCTCCAACAAGCAAACTGACCAATTCCACCAAAACATCAAAGAAGCACAGGAGTGATTAATGACCCACAACTAATATAATAAGACAAAAGCAAAGATTTAATGGCACACTATAGGACAATATAATATCACTGAAACAATAACCTGGCAGAATTAGAGCACCAAATCTTGGGGCATTTGTTACATGTTGACAGAAAACTCAATGTAAGATAACTCAATCTCTCGCATTGTCCCATGAAATAGATCACTATGTTACACTCTATGAAGAAAGTTATATGCATGCTTAGTCTGGTTCACTTGTCAAAGATGCCAATGTGGTCATCCATGTCACCGGAACAAAAACCATAACCTTTAAATTTTAAAATACAACCCATCCAAGTAGAGACAGACATAGGAGCACCACATTCTCAGTATGATCTAGCATAAAAAAAATTCTCTTCAACCCAAGTTACATAGAAATTTTCATAAACAGAAAAAGTAAAAACCAAATCACATATATTAAAGATAACAAAGACAAACAATAATGCAAATTAATTCCCAAAATTAACTCTGAATGTCCACCTTCAACCAGAAAATATGAGGTTGAACCAAAAGACCACAAAAACAATCGGTATCACAACAATTCTTTGAAATCATCACTTGAAAACATGTGCATTGTTTGATTAGAATTTTGAAACTATTACTCTTTCTACTGGGAGCCAAAAATAAAATGCTGGCCAAACCATCTATTCATGGTAGAAACAAATATAAATGATGGATGCAGAGGTCCAAAAGTAATGGCATCTAGAAAAATATCATATCTAGCGACATCCAAGGGAGAAGAAGCTCTCAGTGTAAATCCGCAGCCAAGTCCATTTGCCTGCTATCAGATTGTTCATTCTTTTGAAGCTTTTGTTGTCCACATCATAGTAGTCAAGACTCTCTTGCTTCTCATCCATCAATATTTCTCCATCCCGTTGATCCAGAGGAATGATCCACTTCAGCAGCCCATCATCAAACCCATTCATATCAATGCTATACTCTTTCACCCACATGTGATTCTCATAATCCTTCAACACCCAAATATCCATAGCAGATGGGCGCGATGCATTGTCAACCAAACACAAGCACCCTCTCAACTCCACCAAAAACCACAATCCATTTGGATCCAAACACCCATCTGGTGGTGAAATGGTCCCAAATTCTTCTTTCCCCAAATCAAAAGACACAATAGCTTCATTCCCGGGATGATCATACTCGTCCCAAATCATCCAATAAAACACATTCTCAACCAAGACTCCCCACCCTCTAACCACATACGGACAACTTGCCCCAACCACCTTCCAAGAACAATCTTTTACACAACACCCATCAGTTAATGTCAAAATTTCACAACCAACATCGCAATCAACATTCATATCCAAACTCCTATCAAACAAGTGAATCAAAACATACTCATTTTTCTCTACAATATACCCCATGCCAGCATTGACGTCCCCCGAAGTACAACAAGTAGCCTCAGGCAATTCAACTATTTCTTGGGTGCTTGGGTTACATACATAAAACCCATTTTCACCAGCAAAGCATATCAAGTCCCATTTTGAAGGCAACAAGTCAATATCATCATTCGCAATGAATGAAAAATCAAAATTATGTATTCCATCAAAATCCATAGAACAAATATCGATTCTTGAATTTTTATGAGTCTGGTATTTTCCAATTTCACTATCATTTGAATTTTTCCTGAGCAAAAGAAGATTTGGGCTTTGCAGTGAACGACTTCTATGTGAGAGAATGAAATACGTGTCCGTGATAAGATGAAGCCACTGTTTGGAAACCGACTTGAACTTACAGAGCACCTTGACGGACAGTCTTGAGAGGATGTTGATGATCAGATCTGCAGGGAGACTGGGACCCGCATAGGTCGGAGTGGGACAAACCGGTTCAGTGATTTCTGAAGAAGAAGCTCTTTTGGTCGGCGAAGAAGAAGAAGAAGAAAGAGAAAGAGAAGAAGCCATTACTGCAGCTGTTGTTGATCGGTTCAAAGCTTTGGGTGTCTCGTTGATTCTTCAGAGTCTCAGACACTCTCTTCTCCCTCTTCCGCTTTTGGGTCGGTCTGTCTGTTTTCACACATTCTCTCTTCTTCTTGAATACTAGAGTAGAGGAATTAAATAAAAGGGTAAATTGCGCTTTATACCTTAAAAACATTAAAAAAAATTTATTTTATACTTTCTAATAATATTAAATTTGTTATATTCTATCTTCAATTTACTAAAAACGTTATAATGTGACATTTTTATTAATTTTTGTTAATCATTTTATCAATATTAATGGAGTGAATTTTAAAGAAATAAATATCAGAGAAAGACCACATTCTAATATTTTTTAATATTTTAAGGGTCAAATATCATAAATCTTATCTTTGAGAAAATAAAATAAATTAAATTAAATATTTCAAGATATAAAGTAGCTTTCTCCCTAAATAAAAAAAACCGTGCAGAACTTCAATAGAAATAGATGAGTGTGAGATTTTATTTTGTTATAATTAGGGACATAAACACAAGCAAGAAAAAAAATATGAAATCTCTAATATAAAATAGGGCGACTTCAACAAGCCGATCATACGGTCTCAAATTTATTCATTCAACGGTCAAGAAATTATAATTTTTTTTTTAATATTTCTTCCCCCAAAAGTCAACGATTACGACTGATCTTGGAACACATCCTATGATCTAAAATTCATTCATCCAACGGTCAAAAATATATTTCGCTTCGAAAAACATTATATCGCTTATTTCTATCATATGTTTAATTATTTAATATTTGATTAATTTGTAGTTAATATAATTTTTATTTCAAACATTATTCATATATAATAGTTTATACGTGTTGAAAAAATTTATTATAGTGGGATGAATTTTTTGAGGGCTCGAATTTTATATTTTATTGTGTCTTTAAGCACGGGTTATGACTAGTTAAAAAATAAATTAGAACAGATAAATTTAGTTAAGTATGATTAGGGGGATGTTCCATGTTTTAAATGAAAAAAAGAAGATATTATACATAAATTTTTAATCCATTATTAAATAATTACAAATAAAAAGAGAAGACAACAAAGTCTTCTTCTGCCTTTATTAATAGTATAAATTTATTTTTACAGAGGTGGTTATAAAAGATATATAATGAAAAACCCTCGAATCATTAGTTTAAAATTTTAAGCTCTCTGTATTTTAAAATAATTATTAATTTATATAGATAAAGATTATACCATGCAAAGTACATACGACAAGGCATTAATATAAAAAAAATAGGGGAAATTACATTCACATGCACGGTATTTTCTTTTGCACGCATGATAAAATATCCTAACTATAATAGATTATTGTCAGACTAATGGATTTAAAGATCTAAACAGGAATGCACTCATTTTAGGTTAGGCTAACTATTTAGATGTTTCAACAGTTATTCTCTCGTACGTGACAATCTAGTATTTTTTGTGGGCCCCATAATTAGCACATCAAATGTGTGTTATTCCCAATCCGCTCATATTAGAAAAAAGTCCTCTCATTGCTCTAATACTCAGATCGGATATGGACCAAATTATCTCACAACTTTTTGAATCGAACTTATTTTTGCCCATAAAATATCTAATTATTCACCCAAATAACAAAATTATTATATATATATATACATATATATTATGTCCCGACGACGGCAGATAACGTAGCCGGCTGGAGGCGATATGCCTAGCTGTGGCAGCTACAATGCTTTAAATCCAACGGCTGTGAGCCCTAAAATAAAATGATCAACTATAAAGTACTCACACACCAATAATTTAACATTCTCGATTTGATCGTAAGCAAACAAAAACAAAACGTAGAACAACGTTGGGTACTCACCCGTCTCTTTTTGTTCCTTTGTTGAGTTTGTCTATTTTTTTGTGCTTATATTCAATTTGAGGATGTGATAAAGTCTCTTAAAATATAATATGACTTATTAATACATGATACAAATTCAATATGACACAACTCGTTAGATACAAATTAATAAATAAATTAAATATTTTTTAACATAAACCCGTTTTATTCGACACAAGTGATGGGCATAGCGCCCTCGGAGGAATGCAGGCCTACAAGTCTTTCAAATTTCATAGCATTTCATTTATAATGCTGGCCTATGAGTATAGCAAAGTTCTCAACGACCCGTCAGAAATAATTGTTAAGAAGATCCCAATACTACGTATATACAAAAAGGGAAGGAAATGTTTACACTGCATAGGGGATAAGACAAGCAGCTTCAAAGCATAATATTTCACTTCGGTCACTTCAGTCTTCAATTAGCATAATACACAAGCACCAAAGTGATTCTAAAACAAGCTTCACATTCAAAAGGCCGAATTCGGTATGCTTGACTGAATAACCTTTGTCACCAAAATTTCAAGCACTCAAGACATCGTCGCCCTATTTGTACTTCTCTTATCACGTTCCATGTGTTTTCAAAAGAGACCGTGGACAGCATAAATCAAAATGTGGAGAATAGAAGACTCCCAATGGAAGTTTTGGTTGGTTACCGATACCAGACTAAAGGTGTGGACGCATTCTGGGGAGGCTGTGGAATCATGCAATGTTGTTGCTGCCACGGATGTAAACCTTCACTTATCCCACCAAATTCATTTCCAGGTCTTTGATCAACACCAACATTCTTATCCTCTACATCCATCGCTGATGCCTCTATTACTTCAGCTTCCATTAAATCAGAAGCATCTGTCTGAAAAACCTGAGCTTCCGATGTAGTAGGAAACGGAGAAGGTACCCAGGGTACAACTGCTAAAAGATCATTAGTGGCAACCGAGTTCAAATCCTGCTTCACTACATCATCCTCCGCGGATTTCAATGGACTTGACTTGCTTGACCATAGGACTTGATCTGCGTCTGAGATAGGCAACTGGTTACTTGATTTTGAAACACCAATGCACAAAATCAATGTACAGATATGCCCAGCATTGACATTACTAGAACCTCAACAACAAAATCGATAGTGTCCACAAAATCTCTCACTATGATTAGCACAAATATCGTTGAAGTAAATACCATATGCAATAGAAAACCTCTACTTACGACATCCCCTAGACTCTGTATTTCATTTAAGAAATTTAGATGTTGGAACCATGGTTGTTAGTATCTAACAATCACGATATGTTTTCAATACAGGAGTAAAACAATACAGTTTGTACAAGTGTATCGTTTTATAACATATCATATGATAATCATACAATCCTATTCGATATAGGATACATCACGGTATACATCATATAAGTATACTGGGTGTATAAAAGATGATGAACGCTTGAGTCTACTAGGTGTTTCTCATGTAAATCATTTTTTTGAGTCTTTAATTAACGATCCTTCTTGTTCAGTTTTACTACCCTTTTGATGATTTTGGAAGACTGAAGTACCAATTAAGGTGAAGGTTTATGGATGGACTGTTGGTCATGGTAAGATTAATACTCATGATATGCTTCAAAGGAGAATTCCTCAAATTTGTGTTTCTTCACAGTGTTGTGTAATGTATCATGGTGATAGTGACTGTGTTAAACATCTTTTTTTTTGCATTGTCCTACTGCTTTCAGTTTGTGGAATATGCTATTTTCATTAGCATGTTTGAATTGGGTAACTCCTTGGTCCTTCTCTTCCATATTTGTTGAGGATTTTTAAGGCCTTTGAGAATCATAATAAAGAAGTCACACAATGAAATGACGCAATACTTCATATGGTATGAGCTATTTGGTAAGAGAGAAATACTTGAATTTTTAAAGATTGAAGTGTGGTTGATGATTTATAAAGTCGTATCTTTTTCTTGGCATCCTTATAGGCCTCAGTCACTAATGATTTCAGGATATCCCACTTTTCTTTATCTCAGCTAGATGGACTGCTTGTGATTTATTTATAGATAACCACATTTGATATTTTTTTGTTAAATCAGGTTTTCTTTCAATGCCTGGTAATTTATTTCATTGAGGATGAATCTCTTGTCCAACTTAGCCTTGTGTAATATATTTGATTGTATTAATAAAAGTTATGTTTCTTATCAAAAAAATAAATATATATATTGAAGAGAATGAAGATATATATAAGGCTGAAAAAGATAAAGCCTTGTTGACATCTAATGATGGAGATACTTGTCGTCAAAAAAATATGATTCACAAGCCTGTAAGAATGAATTGTTTTGGATTTTACTAATCCTTAGATTTCAATATTGTTGAATTATGTTGTAAACTTAAAATATTAATTTTGTTTTGAAACTTGGGAGGTTTTTATGATCTTGTATGGAATTTAAGTTGAAATCTTATTTGTACCGTTTTGACACTATACTTGTGTGTGTGTGTCTGTGAGAGAGAGAGAGACAAAAGTAAAGCATATCTAATGATACACTATTTACGATAACAATACACATTGAGAACTTTGGTTGGAATTGATCTCCAACTTTCCTAGGTCCAGAATGAATAGGAGGGAGAAACCCAGTGTCTTGTCTTCAGTATCTGCCACTTATCAAGTATTTGTTAACACCACAAGCCCCATTAGAATCTATGACAGCAATTAAGGGAAGCCCAAACCAGAACATCCTACAAAATCTTCTCATTCATTGAGACAAAGTCTTCTCCTACTAATTTGGTGTTGTTGTCATCATGAATCATTTCTCTACTCTTTCAAGGGTTATACAAACACTAAGCTATAACAATCATATTCTTCTTCACCACCAGATAGTCATATGAGATCATAAGTTGCATATCAGCCAAAGCAATAGAGAAAGCAAAGAACACACACACAAGCCAATGTATTTGTAATTCCCTAGAACAACAAACAGCAAGAAAAATTAGCTATCCTTTAATTTCTCAATGACCCGAGACAGTTCCAATGTGAATTTCTTTTCCTATTGTCATTTGAAGTTTGCTTTTCCTCCTCTCTCACCTTTCTAGGCAATTAAACAAATCATTATGTAATTTCCATTTTGTGCAGGAAAAAAGTCACCATCTAATTAAGCAGTAGTAATAGAGAACTGACACTTACTTTTAAAGCCAGAAATTAAGTCAGGATCCACTGACACAGAGAAAGTAGAAGGGAGTTGCAACAGAGGTGAGTTCATGGGCTTGAATAGCACAATAGACCTCTCCTCATTCACAGGCACAGTGGGTAACTCTTCAATCACTGGCCCCACATTGCTTGTTGGAATAGTTTGTTGTCCATAGGCTGGTGGAATTTCCAGTTCCTCCTCCTCCATTATCGGTGGCAATGGCAACTCAGCATCCTGTACAAAACATATTGAAAAACCTCGATCAAATTTAGAGAGAGAGGAAGAGAAGCTATTACATAACTAGGCCAATATTGTATATCAAGCTTTCTTTTTTTTTTTTTTTTGGTAATGCTTAGGGGTGTACGGTCCGGGCCAGGTTATGGACAAATCAATTAATCCTCTATTCAGTCCGGTCAAAGAAAGACCATTAAAGCCGGAATTAGGGTATTAAATTAGGGTATTCATGAATACGAGATAAATTTCTCAGGCGCCAAGAGATTACTGAGATTTGATCTCAGGATGTCCTTGTTACCACTTGAGCCACCCTTGTATATCAAGCTTTCGACGCCACCAACGATTGGTCCACAGCTCTGATATAACACGTCAGAGTACCAATTGATAGAGGGACACAAGAACATAAAAAAAGTAAAATGAAAGACAAACTAAAATTTCAGGCCCTAGGAGTTAGATTTAGATGGAATATAAGGGGAAGCTATTGGAGATTCCCTGAAGGACAATTCAAGTTGTAAAGGTCGTGTTTGGCTTTCAAGAAAATTAGCGAAAATCTCAAGTTCGTTTTCTTTGAATACAAAAAATAGTTTAAAAAAAATCCCTGCTGGAAATTCAAGACTACTAAAGGGAAGGAGCAGAAAACCAAAACTCCTACTAAAGTAGCAATTTTTCTACAATCCGCAGTACAGAGAGAGAGAGAGAGAGAGTTACCAGTCGACGGATTTTTCTTGCAGGAGAAGAGAGTGAGAAATCAGAGAAGTCATCGTTAATTTCTTCAAGATCCTTTCTCTTCAACTTCAACGGCAAAAAACCCTTCATTCTTACGCAAATCGAGCAAACAAAACCCTAAAGTCCACTAATAGAATTCTCGAATACCCCTGTACTCTCTCTCTCTCTCTCTCTCTCTGGAATTGGATTATGATCAGGTATGATGAACTAATGAATCCTGATGGTGGGTCGTAGAAGTAAGTATATCATGGCGATTGTTTACATAGAGGAGAGGGTTCGTACTCTCTCTAGATGTCTCCAGAAGGACGGGAGAGAGAGAGAGAGAGAGAGAGCGAGACCCACCTCGGCACTACCCTCCCAACTACACTATTTGTTTTTCTTTTTCTCTTTTATTTTTGAGCAATGTTACATGGACTTAAAAAATAAATTTAAAAATTAGACTTGATAATTTTAATCATTGATTTCACTATGGGTCTCAGCATTTATTAGGATCCACTATCTATTCAATGGTTGAGATTATCAAGTCTAAGTTTTAAATCTACTTTTTAAGTCCACGTAACATTACTCTTTATTTTTTTTCGGTATTATAAGTGTGACCTAAACCAATCTAAGACGAGATAATAAAAAGGGGAAATTATACTTTGACTTTTTTATAATGATATTGGCCTACAACCCTGTCGAATGAAAACTATAATTTTTGGAATATTCATGCCTGTTTACAAACCTAATAAGATTCAGTAAGTTGATAGAAGTGTGAGTTACTGATGCTTACTTGCATGTTAGTGTACACTGTTCACAGTTTTTTTTATAGTTTACAATTTTTTTTTTTTTTTGAAATGTTGCTGTGTTAGACTAGATTTGACAGAAGTATCGGGTAGAATGAGTTCGTGTTAAAAAAATCTTTCATCTATACTTTATTCATTTATATAAATAAATCTAATTATCACACTCGTACACAACTCGTTTATTAGGCTGGTTATTAAATGAAATCCGTGTGTCGCCCATTAAATAAGAGAAACGGTTAGAGTATTCCGAATCCACACGAAAAATCAATTTACCATAAATTACACATGTTTGACTTATTTATTATATTAATAAATCATAACAAAGCAAAAAAGTAAAGACAAAAAAATAAATATTAAATTATTATCAAATAGATAGAGTCTAAAAGATGGGAGGCGTGAGATGATGTAGAGGCTTAGAGATTTAATTTTATTTTTTTTAAAATTATTGTGCCACTGTTAACGGATTAAATAGGTTGAAACGAGTTTATGGATTAAATACGAATTCGATTCGTTTATTTCACTTGTCTTTCGAGTTAACCCGTTAACCACTCGAACTCATTAAAATTATACCCAAACCCGTTAAAATCACGTTGGTTTCAGGACTCATGTCTAGGATTGCCATGCCTAGGTGAGACCGATGGGTTGAATATTTTGGGCCAATATCAGCTTAGAGTTCATTTGTTGGTTTAGGCTTTCATAGGGCATTTTTATTAGGCTTGTTTTTATGGGTCCAATCTTTTGGCATCGGGGTTATACATGTAGACTTTTCAAAATTGGCTCCTTCTTTTATGGTGGGCTAATAACTCTACTTTATTTACTCTATTACGAGGCTGGCCGTGGTTGAAAATTTAATAGTCAATAATGTCTTTTGGGGTTATTAGCAATGCAATATGTACGGTGTACCAGAATAATTTTCATACACAAAATATTAGTAAAAAGTGTTATTTCATTTGTATTATACTATAAAATTTGAAAAATACTGTTTGTTCTTGTTTTAACTATAAGAAAAAAGATAATAATAATAATTAGCAATTAGATAGGACAATATGATAAAATATAAGTTTAATAACACTATGAGACTCTAAAGTATGTGTTTTTTGTCAATTTCATCCTCAATATATGAATTTGGTACATAAACTCTTCAATTCTTGTTTAAATGGTCCCTAATCAAATGGTCTATTGACTTTTTTTGACAGAAATGATCATGTTTCATTCCGTCAAATAGTATCACGTGACCATCACTTCTATAAAAAAACTTAACAGATTGTCTATGTATAAATCGTTTAAACACTAACTAAATATTTTAGAGAACAAACTGATAAAACATGTATATTCCAGGGACTAAAAGTGTTATTAACCCCAAAATATAATATACTACTCTATAATACATATTTTAAAAGAATATTAAAATTTTAAAATTCTAGTTTTATTTAAAAATATACTATAATTTTTTTTTATATAAACTCTTAATAAATCATGAAAAATTTATTGTGATTGAAGAATTATGTTGATTTAACATAAATTAATTTAAAAAAACTACATAAAAGATTATTTTTTATCTTAAAAATGAAATAGTTGAAATTTTGGATAAAAAATTACACATACATAAATATAATGTTATATTTATATTTAAAATGAGTAATGTTATATTGATGAAGTTTTTAAATATTTTTTGAACATTTTATTGAAAACTGTAGTATGTATATATTTTTTAAGGGTAATGTAGTCAATTAAAAAAAAAATTAGACACTAATACTTATATATGGTGAATAGATAATTAAAAGAGGTATTATGGGTAATTTAGAGCTTTTAACATATATGATGGTAATTTAGATATTTAACTACGAAAGAATAGTGTGGTATTTAAAATTTTTTATACGATTAAAACAGTGAATCAAAAGTTTTTCATTCTAAAGTATTTTTATTAATAATATAAATTATTAGTAGTATAAATGAAAAAAATACATATATATATAGACATAATGTTCTTTTTATATTTGAAAAGAGTAATGATTTATTAATAGACTTTTTGAACAAGCTATTGAAAACTATAATAATGTATATATTTTTTAAGGGTTGCATAGTCAATTAAATTTTTTCATAGATATTGATATTTATACAAAGATAATAGAGAATTAAAAAAGATGTTAGAGGGTAATTTGAAGATTTAAATAATTAAGATTGTGATTGTATTTTAAATATTTAACTATGAAAATATAATGTGATATTTAAAATTCTTTATAAAGGTAAAATAGTGAATCAAAATTTTTTTACTTAAAATATTTTTATTAGTAGTATAGATAGATATAGATATAGATAATTTAAGATTAATTTTAAAATATTTTTTCGAATTATGAGTCTTGTTTTAATTAGCTCCCCCAGATTTTAGTATCAACAATTTGTCCCCTTCAAATTTTAAAATTATTTTTGTACCCTTCACCTTTACTTATATCAACTGGGTCAACATTCCAAACGCCGACAGGCGACTGCCGTCACTACATCTTTATTCTTGAATTATTGTTTTTTCTTTTATATGTAACTAGCTCTGAAGTGACGAAAGATGACTCTATCTGCCTCTCCCTCCAACACCACTGAATAGGAGATGCTGCAATGATACGCTACAGGCTATACCAGATTTGGGGTTGAATGGGAAAAAATCAAAAATGAAAAATTGCAAATTGAGAAGCAGAGTGGTTGATCAAAGAAACCCTAGTCAAAGATTCACATTATTTGATCCAAAAAATAAGAGATGAGGGTAATTTTGTCTTGGGGAAAAATTTTAGTCCATGATTAGGTCATGTTATTAATTCCCGTCATCTTTTAACAAAAAATTATTTTATTAAGGGCAAATTATTGAAATTGAAACCTAAAGAATCTGATTCAAAAATTATTAGTTTATTAAATGTGTACTTTGTGACACTATTAATTTTTTGCTATTAGAAAAAGAATAATGCTACAAAATTCAAATGAAATCAAAAAAATTATAACCCAAATGCATATCATCTTTTAGATAAGTGGGTCTTATCAATTTTTTTCAATGAGGCCCACTCATCCCATTCTCATATAAGGGATGATATGTATTTGAATTTTAACTTTTGAGTTTCATTTGGATTATGTAGTATTTTTCTTAGAAAAAGAGAGGGTGAGGGCGAAGGAGAGTGCCCAAAGATTACTCCGATAAGTCTTTACAAGTGGGATTACAAAGCCCCTGACCGTGCCCGTTAACTTAGCTAAATTAGACCAAAAGCTCGTGGACTCTAAAACTAGATCACTCCACTGGGTGATTTTGTGACAATGTTATATAATACTAGTTATACTGACAAAGAAACCAAAATATTTATTCGGAAACTTGTTACGCCACATTTGCTGCAAACCATGAGACAGATACAAAATCAATGAAAGGAAAAGGAATATGAAGTTATGCAATTGAACACTCCGGAGGAAATCCTTGAGGGAAGCGTTTGGTGTCGGTGCAGTAGTTGTAAATCATGTAGTTCCTTTGCACCCATTTTATTCTTGCTTGGCCTGTGTTGTCAAGTGATTCAGTCAACCACGACGAACCTCTCGAAGTACTAGAACACGATGATGAACCTGAAGACCATATACAAGCCTGAGCATTGAAGTTTCGATAGGAGGCTGTGAATGGAGCTTGGCTCCAATCGGTCTTCACGAGACCTCCCCGTGTCGCCCAATCATCGGCGTTCCATAAGCTTGAGTATATCCACATGGGTTGATCCTTTGGGAAGGGGATGTTGTATGATTCCAAGTTCTTGAATTGCCTGATGGGTGTCCCATCCACAGAGAAGCTGATAATATATGCAGGTTGGAAGAAAACTAAGTTAATTCATTACCCATTTCATTATATATATGATGATGTTTTATACAAGAGAGAGAGAGAGAGAGAGATCGGCTTGAATTCGGGAATGAGAAATGTTATGTTTCCAAAATATATCCCAAATTTTCCATAACAAATACTTCTGCACCATATATTAGATGAAAAAATTGATTTTTTGGGTCCACAACAAAATGTGTGTGGTGCATAGACATTTGAGACGAAGAATTTGAGATATATTTTGAGAAACATAGCATTGCTCGGGTGGGATATTGTTACCCAGCCTACTTGGGGGAGACCTAGAATGAGTTTCGTAGTGTGAACTGGAACCCCTAACTTGTTTGGGGAGACTATGTTGGGTTAGGCCAGGGTCTATTATTAATACCACTTTGCTAGCTTTATGTAAAAAGGAATATAATACGAAGTAGAGATGTATTTACTAAAATATTATGGGTTTGATCAATTCAATCGTAAGTTTGGTACAGTTTTTGTGGGGTCTATAGCTAAAACCCACTTCGGTCCATGACCGGAGTTGCCAAATTTTGAAGGGAGAGAGAGAGAGAGAGAGAGAGAGAGTGAGTTACATGATGGTTAGGGGGTTCCATAGGATGGAATAGGTGTGGAAGTCCTGGGTTGGGTCAAACCAAAGATAAAATTGCTGCTCTCTGTTGCCCTTCCCTTGTGTGAAAACATTTGTGTGAAGTATGTAAGGGTCACCACTTAGGTTGCCAAGGAATTCAAAGTCGATTTCATCATGAGTCGACCCTTGCGAAGACAACTGCAAACACCAGTGTTAGTAGTAGTCACTATCCAATTATATCACACAATAACTTTCAATGAAAGCCTGGTTTGACTTCATATATTTTGACGTAAAAATATACTTACAAATTACGTTTATGATATACGACATTTTACAAACATGCTCTTACAAAAGAACTGTTTTCATGTAAATAACGGAATATTGAGAAATAAATTAAGAACGATGAACTTACGTAGTATGCAGTGACAGTGCCAGCAGAGTTTCCGGGCACGAGCTTTAGCTGCATATCAATCTTCCCAAACAAGTACTGGTTCTTGGATTGAAATCCCGACCCAGAAACCTTATCAAGAGACAGTGTGAGAAGCTGCCTATTATTCAATATTTTTGCACGCTCATCACCCCAAGTTAATTGAAAATCTTGGTCAAAATTGCTGCCAAAAGCAGCCACCAAGAAGCTTAGCATAATAGAGCACACAAAGACCCTTCTAGTTGAAACTAAACATTGGGAAGCCATAACTGGTTGGCTTGAAAGCTATTTGATGTTTGGAGGGGAAGAAGAAAAGATATGTGTTGGTAAAGTGGGTGAAGATGGTGAGGGTTTATATAGTGTGGAGTTGAAGCTGATGCAATCAATGAGTTTTAGAGATCAAGCTAGACTCACCAAACAAAACAAAAAAAAAAACACAACTAAGTGGAATGGTCCAATGAAGTATCGGTCAAATTTTTTATCTTACGGTCGGAGGTTCAAGTATTATAGTCTATATTAAGACTCAGTAATTGACTGTTATATTAGCCTAATTAGGTTCAATTCCGAGAAGAGTAACGGGTACAGTCAAGGATCTCATAATCTTACCAGTGAAGGTCTATCAAGGTTATCTCTGGGCACTCTCTTTTGCTCCCACTCCTTTAGTGATTTAATGGTGTGATGGTTGACACAATCCAATATTATTATTATAATTATAATTGTTAGATTTTTTAGTGAGACTGTATCGCTTGCCGTGGGAGCATCATGCAAGAGTATTAAGTCAGATATTTAAATTTCAATAGCATTAACTATTATTGAAGAATGCATAATGCTATCGAAATCTAATAGGAATAGTGCATTAGTGTCATTAGATTATTGCAGTGAGTCCTAAACTTGAATGAAATCCACTATCAATTCAAATTGTCATAATGCAAAAAGTTCTAAATTAGATCCCAAATTATGTACATATAGTATTATTGTCCAAAAAAAAATAAAATTTTAGGATTAATAGTAATTTTGGTCTTCAAAAGTATGTCAGTTTTGTTAATTTGGCACTCATTGTATTAATTTTATCAATTTGGTCCATAAAATTTCAATTTATGTCACTTTAGTTCCTAATCAAACAATTTGTTAAGTTTTTTTAACGGAATTGATCACGTGTCATTCTTTCAGATGATATTATATGACCAGCACGTGAACATTCCATCAAAAAACTTAATTGTCCGTCTATATAAGGACTATTTAAACACGAATTGAATACTTTAAATATCAATAATAAGACGTAAATAATAGTGTTAGTAACCCTAAATTTAATTCAACATATCAACGTTACATCATTTAATGCCTACTTTGTCATCTTATTTGTTAAAAGTCAATTTAACATTACACGGTTTTAAAGTAGTTGGGAGGTATAATTTGAATGCTGGAGGAGATTACTCTTGTGAAGAAGGTTATGACTTGACTTGGCTTGGCTTGGCTTGGGTAAGCGTAGGGACCAGACAGCTAATGCCAATGACCAGAGGGTGTTGGACGAATCAATTTTATTTTGTTTTATTTTTCTACATAGCCAGCCATAGGCTAAGGTTCGAGTTATTGAGAAGGAGACGGCAAGCGATCCATTCATCCCCAGCTGTCGGATGTAACCCATTATAATGTTGTTAATGATTGAGTGTTTTTGAATAGAAAGGTCATCAAGTCTAGATGTATAGTGCTTCTTTACTGTTGTCTGATCTAAGGGTCAAAATTTTATTTTGGTGCATAATTTTGATAAATTCTGAAAATGAAGACGTTTCAAGAATAATTTGAAAATTTATTTTCGTAATATTAGTCGAAACATGCTGAAATATCTTAAAATTTATCGAAACACCTCAAAACATGTAAATTTTTAATTCCTCGGTGTTATGAAAATGGTTAAGGTATTGTATTGAGAATTATGATGTTTGAAGGTCAATTTGTAATTATTTGGCTTTTAAGTTACAATTTAAAATGTTATGATTAATGAAAAAATATATAATTTTTAAAATGTTAAGTTACAACTCATTCAGTTTATTCGAAATGGATCATAATATTTAAAATGGATCATAACGTTGTGCTCCATTGTGAATAATTGTACCTTATCTTTTACAATGTGTAGCTTAACTCCCCGACGACGGTATTTTTTAATGCGGTATAAATTTTTTGTGGGTTATGTAGACGTTTTCTTGTGTTATATTCAAGACAACAAGCTCCTAAAATATAAAGGCACAACAATGGTCCCTGATTGCTTGCAGCTAAATGCCTAATTGTACAATTTATATTTTAACCACCCTTACCAAAACCAAGTCAACAACACAACTTTCTTCAAACTAATCCTTATAAGGTCCACATTTGTATCATTAGACCAAACAAAAACATATTAATTAGTAGGATAAGCATTACTCAATAATTAAATTAAAGAGAGAGTACCCTATACAATGTTTTCTTTGGAGATGCAATAAAAAAAAAAGATGATATCATTTTTCTCATTAAAAATTGTCCCATGAATCATTGTAATGAATTAAAAAAACATGTTTGTTTGTTGGTCAATCAATGTAGAATGCATAAAATATAAGAGGCTAAAATAACCACTTTTTTTTTTTTTTATATTGATTTAAATGATCGAAAGTGTTAAGTCCAATTTATTCCAACAGCGTATCTCAACTTATCTCTTCTCCGATTCGATCCCATCAAAAACATACATTCCAACCACCTTTGCAGCCTCGAAAGGCGACAATATTATTTTAGTAAGTTCATAGCATGAGCCCAAAAAACTTTACTGTCCGAGTAAAAGGTGTTGCTTTCGTGCAAAACCTGGCATTTGGCTGGTGATCACGAAAGGTATGTTTACCATGTAATTAATTCACAATTATTTAAGAAGCACAAGCAAACTATGCCTTGAAAGACCAGGTAACTTACTTACTAGGTATTTGACGACCCATGTTTTTGTAGGCTGTTTTTAAAATATTAATTAACTAATGTATTGTTGATAATATTTTTTTTAATAACTTGTTAAAGCAAAAAATATCTTATATATATGTTTATAAACTCTATGCTTCACAAAAAAAGTATCATAAAAAAATTAATTTAGAAAAATATAAAATATATATCTAAACTCGTAACAATCACAAAATATCGACTTTAAAAGTGTGGCTTTAAAATCCTCTCAAAGTCACAATTGGTCCAGAAGAAATTTTATAGATTGAAGATAAAATAGTCTAATTTGGGTAGTCAATTAAAAAAAAAGAGATTATATATATATATTTTTTTCCAAATGCATGCTCTTAAATAAGATTATTGAAGTTATTTATCTCCGATACTTTTCTAAGAAGTTTTTTAAAATTTCAATTGATGCAAACTTAGCTAAGCTCAACTATGTTATAAAGAAGATTAAATTATTAATCATACCACAAATAAAAAAAGTTAGTTCGCAGAATTAGAATATAAAAAGTTTGCATCCCAAAAAGTGAGAAGAATAAAATTTTAAATTAATTTTTTTAAATTGATTGAACTAATAACCAATTTCTTGTTCAGAGTTATCGCTTAGACATGAAATTTTCTCAAGGTAGACCTTGATTGTTCGCAAACCTTTTCAGCTTGTGCATAATATATTTACATATATGTTTTTTTTCTCGATAAATAGCAGGTATCCTCTAGTGATTTGGTAAAGTTTTTGATTTTCAAATATAAAAAATAAATATTTTTTTTGGATTTTTTTAAAATAATAGAAAAAAATGTTAGGTTTATGTTTCTGTTTCTGTTTCTGTTGGATTTGTTTTTGTTACTATTTTTAATGGTGTTATAAAATTCAAACCCTTGATTTCTATCTAAATACACTTATGTTAAACATCAATAAGTAATCGCAACAGCAACATAATTTTAAAAAAACCACAAACAATTGCTTAAACAAATATCATATTTTTGCATTACTAAATCAAAAATAGTGCAAACCATAAAATTACACATGAAAACATCAAAATAGGAACCTATTTTCTACATCGATTCAAGTAAGGTGAAGGAAATATTAATGGATAACTCAAGTGATAACAGAGACAAATTATAAATTTAGACGTCTTTAGTTAGAAATTTAGCAACTCTTTGATATCAGACCATAAAAAATTTATTTTTCATAAATATCCTAATCCTGACATGAATGACCGGGCCGAAAAAAGAATTAATTAAAATGTGCGTAAACTGATCAAAACACTCATAACACAAATAATTAACACAAATAATATTTGTCGAAAGATAGGAATTCAAAGAAAAGAAAACAATAAAAAACATAACACAAATATATAATGTGGTTCGATACAGCATACCCACTTTGGTACACCATACATACTTACATACACAGACCAAAAATCTACACTGAAATTTGGTCATCTACTAACTGATTACATAATACTCAACCTTATTTATAGGGATAAAATATTGTAACCCAAAATTATTTAGATACAACTTGATCTTTAATTTTCCTTTCACATGTCTAATATACCTATTTATAGCATATTAAAACCCTTTCAATATAATCTTATTTCATATAGGATTCTCGCATTGATTATCTAACAAACTCTTATTCATGATAATTAGGGAGTTTGGGTCAAATTCCAACAATCTCCCTTGAACTAAACTCTTCAATTTTGGTCTTGTCCAAGATCGAACTTATCACCCTTAATTCTGATTCACCAATTTTTTCAAGCACTACGTGCAAACCCGCTTTTCAAAGTAGCCACAATCCTATCTGTTTTTCAAAAGCCTGCATTTTGGCCTGCATCATCGCCCGTATTTTACCTACTCTTGGAGGTTTTAATGGTCAATGTTTCACAATTCAAAAGTAAAAGCATAGTGACTCGTAACCCACGAAACACCAAATCATTACTATTGAGTTTATGTCAACCCAATAGCTCTCAAACTATAGGAATACCGCGACTTCAACTCTAAGAGCTAACAAAAACTGAAGAAACATTTTCAATAAAACAGATGTGATAATCTTTAAAATCCAAACAATCAGAAAGCAACTTAGTCTTCTGTTTGATTTCATACCAACTTAATTTTTTTTATTATTTTTATGAATCTAAATAATGAATTGTACATACGTGGCAAGAGCGTATTCTTCAACATTAACACCAACTTGATCATTGAATTGCTAATAACTTGTTTTGATTGTTACACTAGAATCATCAATCTAGCTCTAATTGTTACACCAATAACATCAATTTGGCTCTGATACCACTTGTTGGAATATAGCTCTAATACCACTTATTGATTTTGCACAATAGATAATTAATACAAATAATACTTGTTGAAAGATAGGAATTCAAAAAAAAGAAAACAATAAAAAACATGACACAAAGATATAACGTGATTCGATACAGCATACCTACCTTGATACACTATACCTACATCCACAGACCAAAAATCTACATCGATATATTATTTATTGAAATCTGGTCATCTGATAACTGATTACATAATACTCAATCCTATTTATAGGGATAAAATACTGTAATTCAAACCTATTTAGATACAACTTGATCTTTATTTTTTCTATCACATGTCTAACATCTATTTATAGTATATTAAAACTCTTCCAATATAATTCTATTTCATATATGATTCTTACATTGATTATCTAACAAACTCTCATTCATGATAATTAGGGAATTTAGGTCAAATTCCAACAGATTTGATAAAATTTTGGATTTTCAAATAAAAAAAATAAATATTTTTTTTGGATTTTTTTAAAATAATAGAAAAAAATGTTAGGTTTATGTTTCTGCTGTCAAAAAATGAAAGAAAGAAATCGAAAATTTGTTTTTGTTACTATTTTTAATGGTGTTATAAAATTCAAACCCTTGATTTCTATCTAAATACACTTATGTTAAACATCCATAAGTAATCGCAATATCAACATAATTTTAAAAAACCACAAACAATTGCTTAAACAAATATCATATTTTTGCGTTACTAAATCAAAAATAATGCAAAACATAAAATGACACATGGAAACATCAAAATAGGAACTTATTTTCAACATCGATTCAAGTTAGGCGAAGAAAATTTCAATGGGTAGTTCAAGTAATAACAAAGATAAATTATAAATTTAGACGTCTTGAGTTCAGGCCATGAAAAATCTATCCCTCGTAATACCCTAGTTCTGGCATGATTGACAATCAGAGGAAAAATTAATCAAAATACGTATAAACTGATCAAAATACTCGTAACTATTAAAAAAAAAAATTAGGTGAAGGATAAGACATGCGATCTATTCCAGCATAGCTATCCGATCGAGGTAACTAATACCTTGTGTAATAATTGGCTGTTTATGAACAGAAAAGTCATCTAGATAGTTCTTCCATTGTATAATTGAGTGCAACAAATTGCACAAACTGACAAGGGGGCTCTGATTTTTTTTTTCTTTTTTTAAAGATAAAGATGTATAGAAGTGGGGAAAGAGGACTGCAATGTGACTTTAGTTGGAGACTTAATTTAATAAAATAATATATTGAATTAATAGTGAATCCTAGGATTAAGTGGAGTTCAGCATCAAACTAGTTGTGGCATTAGAGTACCTAACTCAAGTTGAAAGGGATAGATTGAAAAAAAGCACAAATCTTACCTTTGATACTATCTGTTACGCAAGAGTACCCTCATATTCCAGCTCATAAGGTCCAAACTTTTATCTTTACACCAGGCAAAGCCAGCCATCTTAACAGGATAAGCATCACTCTAGAATTATGTTTGGATTGAATTCAATAATGCATTCCCATCCAAATGTATTGAATCAATGTCTCATTTTAGGCTACATATTTGGATTGACTAATTAACTTAGTGGTGGGTCTCAATGTCAACAAGTTCATTATGACTAGAAGCCCAGTTCCCATTTTGGTGCTAAATGGCTCGTTTGGTTGGCGTATTAAGAATTGATGGATTGAATAAAATAATATAGCCTAACACAATACAAATGTATAAAAAATCAGATTAAATATGGTATTAGAGTAATACGTAATTTTATCTAGTGTTTGACAATACATAATATAAGCGTTGGATAATAGTTATTTAATTCAATCAGTTATTTAGTTAGAGAATTATTTCATCGTATTAATGTTGAATTAACAAAAATATTTTCAATCAATGTTTGTTACATTGATGATTTTATCACTTAGAGGGTTATAATAGTAAATGTATAGAATAATATGTTTGAGTTGAATTATAATATCACCTCTGTTGGTGGTATTAAAAGACCTCCATAATACAGGTCTATCGTACAAAAAAAATACGATAAATAAACAATTACTATACATTTTTGAAATTAATACGATATCAAATTTGTTTACCAAATAAAATATTAAGTACAATTAAATAAAAAAAATATAATATAATATTTAATTCTCATAATACGTCTATCAAACAAACTCAAAAGATTTGAGGCCTATTCTTTTTCCTTTTTATGAGTGTGGATGTATGAAAAGAATTATGTTTCTTTCTCCTTGTATAATCCACTTTACTCTAGATTTTTTGTACCAAAATATTTCTTCTTGTTCCAAAGTTTCATTGTAATCTCTAAGCAGTGAGAGAGAGACCATGGCAGGTGGTTTCAACTTTCAAGAATCTGTAGTGAGAACGGGAGGGGGGAAAAAGAGGAAAAATGGAAAGAGGAGTGGAGAAAATGAGTCAAAAGATGGTCCGAGTGTTTGACTCTAAACATAAACAAAAACATATTGTCTATGTATGTAAAATATTATTTTAAAATTTTTGGATCAAATTATTAACAGACCAGATCACTATATATCCATATCCACACCCGAATAGGGTTACATAAACAGACTTGAATCGAATTAATAGATTAAATTTCTGGTTCATATCTTACTAAACGAGTTTGGTATCAAATTCAGACAAAAATCCAAACCATTGACATGACTACTCGTGGGTCACTGATTTTTCTTTTTAATTTTTTTAATTTTTAGCGATTTTTGATGCTTTTGGTGAATTATTTGACTTGAGGAGTTGTGTTGTTCTTCGATCAAATCAATCCTTTATTTGAGGTAAAAATTGCGTCGACAATGTCCATAGAATGAATGAACATTGCCGTAGACAAACTCTTTGCCACATTGAATGAAAATTCTAAAGTATGTCTTTTACTTAACACAGCCCATTGGCATTTTTCAAGAATGTTAAAGGAAGAACAGGCCATGCTTGGCACCTTTACGGAGGAAGAACTGGCCATACTTGGCACCTTTACGGACCCCTACTCATTAGACTTGATCAATTGCTGCATGGTTGGGAAAGAGCACTTGGCCACTGGGATGCCGACAACGGCTGAAAATCTGGAATTTTTCAAATTTAATCTGTACTTGACTTGTACCCTCCCGCAAGCCACCTTTCAATTTTGATGCCAAAATGACATTAAGAAAAAAAAAAAAGAGAGAGATCAAAAAACCTGAATACAGTTTTCACCAATAAGCGGCTAAAACTTCAGCCCTGAATGGATAGCGACCACTCCCCCAACAAGATTTTCATATTCAACCTTCTGAAACCCAGCCTCTGCAATCATTGTAGCAAATGTCTCCTGCAATGACCGACACATGGATACAAGAAGGCATAGCACAATGAAATTGAGAAATGCAATCAAGGAGCAATATGAGCCAGACTCTACTCCAAGCCAGTGGTATCAAGCCCGTTTCATTAGTTATCCTATTGGTTTGCCATTGCATTTCTCATGAAAATAAAACACAACTTCTGCAGGGCTTGTAATCAAACTGCTATTCGTGAATAATTAGCCATAATTATCGTTATCTGTTTCACATAGAAAAAGGGAATGAATCTTACAAATAAGATGTGGTGCTTATAGTATTCGAGTCTTTAATATACATCTGTGTGTATGTTTGCACACGCGTGTAGCAAATATAGACACTGATATATGCATCTTTTTTAGCAAAACTTTTATACATCTTTAGTTTTTATTGGTATAGTTTAAGTATAACTTTAACAAGTCTAATCTCAGCTATTATATAATCCTAAATAGTAAAAGATTGTCCTTTGCAAACTTTTAAAGTGCGTTCATTACATGTTATTTTTTAGTACTACACACGTCCTAGAGAGGTGTGGAACATGCCACAAAAGGAGTGTCAAAGACATGTCTTAATTCATCTCTTACTTATGCACATGGATAAGAGAGTAATATCAGACACGTCCCTGCGGGTGTCAGAGAAAATGTCTCTGCCTAACATGGACATGTCACCCTCTTAAGAGTATTTGTGCTTCTTAGCTAGTATGCCACATGAAATAGCTGCGGAAATTGAATCGTAGTAATGCTTAATCCAAGAATTTTACCTGAGGGGGAAAGCGACGAATACTCTCAACTAGATATTGATAAGATTCCCGATCGCCAGCCACGAGCTCTCCAAGAGCGGGGATGACCGAAAATGAGTAATTATCATACCTAAACATAAATAAGGAGCAACATTAATGATATGGTTAAAGCAAATTTAAAGGCAAAAAAAGAGTTAAATTGCCTAAAGTTTTGAAAATAATAAAATTGCCTAGGAGAAGTTTGATAATTGTTCAATTTAAAGGTTTTAGAAACTTCACCAAGGCTCCCATAGAATTGTTATATCTTTCAAATTTAACCCTTGGTACATACTTTAAGACATTTAGCCACATAAAGAAGTTTATTAGCACCTCCTCAAACATGATAAGCCCCATCAAGATAAAAAGTATGACAAACATAATATCTACCTCCATTATATGAGTAACCCGAAATTTTCTAAGAAATTCATATGCACACCAATTATAAGTAAAAAGGGATTGGAGTTTCACATTTAAAGACCAATTACATGTTTCCAATTTTGATTTCTATAAAATTTCCAAAATACAGTTAAAATGCTAAAATTGAAATAATTTAGGATTCATGCATGTCCATGTGTCCTATGCATTTTGTGTAGCAACCCCATGTTATTAGTGTGATATTGACCCATACATATTAACCCCCACCATATCATAGGGGAAGAGCTAATACCGATTTCAGCTCCAGAGTTTGAAGCCTACTAGGCAATAAATATGTCTTGGGTCAGGTGAGTGGATATGACTATTATAGTGGTTTAGAAAATATGCAGGTTTATGGAATGTTGAAATTTATAAAAATACATGCATTTGATAAACATGAAATTGCTTGCAACTGATTATGCTGCATGAGAATCTTGTTTGAAGGACACTTCCTACAATATGAAGAGTCTGTGTTTGAGAAATTGAGAAACCTATGCTTCGAACTGTACTACGATGATTTTACTAGTGCTTAACAATTCATCTATGTATTACACCCGCCATGTATGTATGTATGTACGATTATCAGGCCTTTGGGACCACAAATGGTATACATATGGTTTTTGGCGTGTACACATTTTTTGGGGTGGCTTCACTTTTGGGGCAAGTTGTGTACTTGTATGATATGGCTATGCACGCGTATGACCATAATACCTTTTTGCTTCGCACTTGCATGACTATGATACGATATGTTATGATGTAGGTTACATCACTTGGATCTACGGTTTTGAACCCCCATTGTTTTATGTGAATTAGTTTATAACTGATACAGACATGGTTTCATCAGCTCACAATTTTTTTTGGAATGCAGTGTCGATTTCTCTACAAAAGATGTTCACGAAATTCTTTTTAAAATGCATTTCAACAAGTGGGTAGAACCCAAGGGAAGTACAGCGGGATTTCCTGTTCCATCCATTCCTATGAGGGGGTGGGTGTGGCACATCAACTGAAGGAAATTCATACACACTTCCTAGACAGGATCATGAGTTGTGGAATTGATATTACTCAAAAAGTTTTTAAATTAATAATTCTTAGATGGTCCACAGCTTATGCCCAGGCAACTACACTATCATTTGCACATTGCTACTAATGACACAATAGAAGCAACGTGTTCCATTAGTATCAGATATACTCACAATTGCTTGAAAACTGGAACTTCTACATGGCTCAATTCGAGGCAAAGGAATCGTCCCCCCTGTTTAAGTACCCTGATAAACAAACCAAAACCAATAAGCATGACAGATACGAGCACACCAAAATTTACTCAAAAATGAGGAAGAAGGATGCAAATCATGGGAATCAAGAAACAAACCTTCAAAAAGAATAATAGTTGGCTTATATTTAGACGTTTCGAACAGATAAAAAAATGTTGCTCATCCAATGTTTTTTCCAGTCACTGTTGCTCAACTGATGCAACTCGCAGTGATACTCTATTTCTTCAAAAACCCAGTTTTTCAGACAAAATCTCAGTTTATTTACCAATCTATGAAGGAAATTACTTTTTCTGAACAAGTGAACCGATTAACTCACAGTAATGCACCCCTTAATGATGTAAGTTAGATCAGTGTATCAGTTTGGTTAAAAAGATTGTCAACATAGACGTTCCAGGCAGCTTCTCTCATATGGTGAACACATAATAATCTTTTGATACCCTTTGGAACAACGTGAGGTTGAGGCGCAAATCACCCCAACCCCTCTCAGTAACTCATTATACTCTACATTGTTATGTTCTCTAATAAAAGTGAAAAGCACACATATTTCATAAGCACAAGTGCATGTCTATACATTTGATTTAATAGATATGCATAGTTACATACACTATCAGAAGGCACCCTTGACTAAAACTCGAAATTTGGATCTACTGCATTCTTGGTCCCACTCTTATTCCTGCTTTTCCCACAAGTCAGAAATTCGTGGTGTGAGCATTGCACGTGCAGGCACATCCCAAATGACGAAATACTCATAAAACAGACAACCCTATTAGAGTGGTTTGCAATGGAAAAATTGCCTTCTGACTACTAAAACTCATGAATCAACCACATCAGTTACAAGGTGCAGCAACTTCAACTCATGGTAAGATTTGTTTATGCAAATGTCCCATAAAGATAACAGAAATAATAGTTGTTCTGAATTAAAGCTTCAATAGTCATGTCAAAATGTCACAAGTTTTTTGAAGTTGCTTAATACTTTAATCCAATGGTAATGAAATTTGACATGCTACACATTTATCAACTTTCAACAAGTCATTATCCTGAGCACTTAAGGTGGGCTACATGTATCCAAGCTCCCAACTTGGCTCGTTGTAAGCCCTTTGCTACAGTGCAATGCATAATTGGTGGTAAACAGAATTCTAGGTATCTATGTTCATAAGGACTGGTCCAAAGTTCCACATTAGCAGTCTAACTACCACAAACTGTTGTTCCCCTGATTTTGGATTGGGGAACAAAAAACATATGAATAACTAACCACAATATTATCCATTAACGCATTATATGGTTTATTTGGCAAATTAATTATCTACATATACTTTCAGTGAATGGCTTCTGACTAGTGACTAATATAAAATACCCCCTAATCTAAGTACCGGACACGGATACGGACACGCGGACACAAAATTTTCCAAAAAAATAGGACACAGACACGTTAACTCATTAAGGACACGTTAAATAATATATATTTTTTATAAATTATATATATATGTGCATATAATTATATGATGTCACACATAGTAATAAGATGTTCTTCGTTACAATTATGGTGACCATTTTGTTGTCATAAACCAAGAACAACTCCAACAACATTAAACTGCTGCATATTTTAAGGGGATTTGGTGAATAAGTTGGCATTGCAGTGCCAAGCAACAACATCTGGCTGTGCATTCAAATTTGTTTGACTTGATCAGCTATGTGAAGCTTCACCAACCGTTGGATTGCCAAGCATAAACACACTATTGTATGGGCAGTTCAAGTTTTGGCTCCAAACTCTTTTCATGAGTCAGTAGCAGGGACCCACCACTATCAGTTTTTAATGGAGTTGCTGGATCCAGACTTCACAATAGCTCTCTATAGACACTTGGCAGCACACTATTCATCTATTGATTGACTAATCTACATGCAAAGTTGCAAGTCAACAAAGTGTAGAATGGCTCATTGCACTTAATTTCTTCCAGCCAACTGTAACACCAAAATATTTTCATTAATAATTGTTCCTTCATGTGGGTAAAGAGAGGCCTTATCCTCCCTTATCTCTAGAACAGTCTAAAGACTCTAAACCTCTTGTCTTTTTCTCTCTCCAGCCTCTCGTTTTCTCGGTCAAAGACCTTCTGCAACATTTTTCTTCGATCGGTAAATTTGTTGTTGCTCTCTCTCTCTCTCTCTCTCTCACACACACTCATTTTTGTGTCTAAATCGATTGCAATTTTTCTTCTTCTTGATATTTGCTATCTTCATCTTCTTTAAATCTAGATACGAATGTAGAAAGTAACGTGTCGCAAACGTGTTGGGACGTGGCCGAAAAAAAAAAAATCGGCCACCATTTTTTGTGCGTCCGACACGTGTCCAGGTGTGTCTGTGTCCCAGACATGTCGGACACTGATATGTGCGCCCAAATTGAGTGTCCGTGCTTCATAGCTAAGTACAAGAGAGATGGTACCTTCAATGATCTTGAAACCAGCTTAACTTTAACAGCCCCCTAACTCAAGCTTTTATAACATATGATACATACAACAGTCAGGCCAAGGAGTGAGAGCTACCTATAAGCTTCAGATAGGACTTTCTCTATGTGTGTAACATTCCTGATCCCAAATGCAATTGTATAACCATCCATCGAATTATCTTCAAAAGATAGGGCTTCTGCATCTCCTTCCACCCATATGAGGGATCCATCATCTCCAAGACCTAGACAAGTCATAAGACATCTGTCACGCCAAGCAGAAACAGAATAAATACTCCAAAGAAAAAGGCCATTAAAATACTCCAATTTCATTCCCATTGATAGAATATAAAACATAATGCACATTTAAGGCAGTACCTCTTTCTTGGGCACGTTTTTTACCAACATTCAACATATTTGGATTGATGTCACATACATATATCTGAGTTTCTTCCTGTAAATTGTCTTCAAGAGCATCTTGCATGGCTCTTCGATTGACACTATTTATAGTTTCGAGGATCCTAAAAGCAACATCCCCTGTAAAATTAGAGAAATTTAGACTCAAGCTCCCACAGATAGTATAATAGGTCAAAAAACAAACGTAAATAGTTTCTGCCTGCAGATGTTTTCCACCATTATAACTAAGGCTTCTTTCTTGGAACAAGCAAAACATCTATCCTTTAGTTCAACACCTTGAACACTCATCTTAATGCTTAAATTCCATGCCTTAAGTTGAAGGAGAATGGCAAGAGTCTCTTTTTAAACTAGAGAATTCATAGTCTCTATATAAGCTCAGAACATTTTCTTCAGTACTGGAAGCTTTAAGCAGTTGTTTGTCCTTTTCCTTCAGCTCAAATTTAAATGCAAACTAAAAGGTCTGCATTTCATTTTCACTGCAATTCTTCCACTTTTTCCTTATTCTTTTTGAAATGAATCTTCTGTTGCAATTCAAGTTATAGATATGTTAGAGCTTGTCCTACATTGATATAATAATAACTCTTAAACTAGTATATGCAAATGTGAACCTCTCTACCCATTGCAAATTAATTTGCAGTTGCATGCTTTTGACATGGTATCAAATATGGGCTTCAAGAGAGCTTGGGCGAGACTCGTCATTTCAATTTCATCATTGTTGGTATTTCGTTTCTTCCTTATTTTTGATATGGATGCATTTGTTATGCCTCTGATTATATCTTCTGATTCTTCTGTCTAACTCCTTATGTGCAAGTGGGGACCGCACAATCAGGTTAATAATTGAACTGATCCCACACAATAAACATTTTGGATGGACTTTTGCTTGTAGAAGGATAAATACCTGTGATGTGATTCATGGAAGACCATATGCTTGCCTTTCTTTCCAGTGGGGTGTTACATGTAGAAGAAGTATTGAGGACATTGAACATTTTCTCTTTATTATTCTCTTGCATCAAGGTTGTGGCACAAATTACTGATCAAGAAAACCAATACAGAAAGTGATAGAGCAAAACAAAACCAACCTGTTCCACCAGCCACATCAAGATGCTTTATTCCTTGAAATGGATTCAATTTAGCAACCAGTCTGATTAGAGATGAGCGAAAAATAAATGCATTAGCAAAATACTCAGAATATATGTTTGCTTATTTTAAAAACCTCAAGCTGCATAGCCAAAACATCTTACCTATCCTTCCATAATCTATGTAGTCCAGCACTCATCAAATCATTCATCAGATCATAGTTTGAAGCAACACTGCTGAAGACATTACCAACCATTTGGCTCTTTTCTTCTTCCGGTACTTCTTTAAATCCTGCAAACGTAACCTTGGGAAGTCAACATGTAACCTATGATTTTTTTCTTCGGCAGCTAATAAACTTCATTTAAAGAAGAAAAATAAAGAGCACAATCCAAGGATACATTAGAGGACAAGACAACCTACCAAAGATCCTTACATCAAAATAAAGAAACAAACGAGTCAAAACATCCAACATAACATTACTGCAATCAACAACAATCTCCTGTCGGTCATTATACAAAAGAGAGGAAAATCATTAAACTTATCTATCACCGAAACCCACAAAGAAGTCAAAAAATGAACTCTATTTCAAGCATTCTTCGTGCTCACTTCTTCCCTCAAATATTATAACATTTCTCTTCAACCAAATAACTCAGAAAACAACTGTTTGCACATTTCCCAAGGATAGAAGCTTTTTTATCCTTTCCAAGATCCTAGAGAGTTTCCTCAAATGAAGGCACACATTGTCGTAGGAATTACCCAACGTTCCCCTGCCAATTGTCATAAATTCTACCACAATCCCAATGTAACTGGATAAGGAACAAAACAGGCGCTCAATACTCTCATCCTTCATTCACCACATGACACAAATCTGTGGTAGCAAGCAAGCACTACGTCTCCTTTTCTGAATCCAATATTTGTGTATTGATCCTACCATGAGTAATTGTCCATGCACACACACAAACCTTAATGGTCACCTTAGCCTTCTGTATCATCAAAGGTGGAGAAAAGACTAGAATTGCAAGGTTGTCGAAAATCGAATCAAAGAAAGACTTACGAGATAATAGACTTGAGACTCAACAAACCGAGTTCTTCTATCAGATGACATAGGATTGAGAGAAACCACCTTAGTGCAAGAAAGTAAGAAACACATTTCATGAAAATCCTCATTAAAATTCCAAAATAAATTGAAATTCCAAGTGATGTAGAGGAAGAAGAAAAAGCCATATGAGCAATTGAAACATATAAACTCTAGACAAGCAATAAATACGAGGAAAAATCGATGAGAATGAAGAATCTCCAATCCACACATTCACCCAAAACAAACCCCCTCCTCCCTATCACCCACAACCAAATTGATAATTTGAGAACACCAAGATAAACCCTAAGAAATGAATTTCATGAACATTAAAAAGTTATCCTTTCAACCACACTAGAATCTCGTCCGTGCACAACATATTTGCTTTTTTATGCCCAAACAAACAACATGACTTTTCTTCCAAAAAAATCTCCATAACCATTTTCCAATAATGGCTACATTTATAGCAATCAAGTTGCCCTACTCAAACCAAACTTGTCCCTAAATTTAGAAATCGAATCGCAACTGAACAAATGATTTCTCCTCCCTTTCCCACTTCCTTCCCAAGAAAATCACTCACCATTTTATCAAATCTACAAGCCAACTTATTGCATTTCAAATAGAGACATCTTGGACAGGAATGCCACCAAACACCGATTCTACTAGAGAAAGACTCCCGCCACGGGAACCAAAATACTCAAAGCCCATGGATTATCTCCTAAAGCAAGCCCCAAGGTTTGGGTTTGTTGGAATTTTAGCTCCATTGAAATTTAATGGCTCGAACGTAAGTATGACAAATTAAGAGTTGGAATGAGGCTTTGTTGGAATTTGAGCTTTTAGAAGTCAATATTGCATGTTAGTTGCTAAACTGGTGAAGTGTAACGCTAAGGCCGCGCATCGAATCGCAGAAAGGCCTTAGTGATTCTCCAAATTGTAGAATTTTGTCTCCCAATGAGAAATCAGTTATTTCTCTTCCTAGGAAACCCTGATCGATGTATCATTTGGAGTGAAAACTGGGAATTGTTTAAAGTTGGCTGAAAATCTGTGACTGATTAAATGCAACCAACTTTTAGTGTAACTTTTTACATGGAACACAGAACTCTAATTTTAGCTTATGACATATGGTTTGAAATACTGAGAAGTCTAGTTTGAAATGAAGATGGTTTCGTTTAAAACTTCAAAGTATGGAGCCAGTAAATACCCAAAAATTCACATGATAGTCAAGCTGGTCATTAATTTTAGACTTAGAATTGCATTGTTTTTATACTTAGATTTCAAATATAACCTAATTGGAAGTTTTTGTATGTTTTCTATCATTCATTTGAGCAAGGGATTAGTACTTATGTGGATCATATGATAATGTGTGCTACGTGCTGAGGCAATTACACCAACATCAGTTTCATCTATGGTTTGATAGACAGATTGAGTTTTGGCGAAGATTTGAGACAGTGTGAAAACTTGAATAGTTGCCTATTTACACTATGTTTATATGTTCATATCAGGTTCTTTGTTTATGGGAATGGATATAATTATCCTTGTCCGAGTTAAATTATTTTGGCTTAATTATGGATAACAAGTTAAAGGTAATTGCATCATATGCTAGTGAAGGTTGGGATTGACCTTTCGAGGATAGGGTGCGACATTTTTAATACTAGATTCGCTCAATTCCAAATCATCAACCACAATCTAACTGAACTCATTGCATTCTGGTCTACAAAAGTGTATGTGTGTGACATGTGTCATACATAGCCATTTCTTGGATGCTCTTAGCGACGTGTTTGACACTCTTTTAGCAATGTCCATAATTGAAAAATTAAATTCTAAATTGTGTATGTGTATGATAATTTTTTGGCAAAATGTCGAAACTATTTAAGTTGCGTATATGACAAAAAACAAAAAATATGGTTGACACTTCTTGCACACTTACCAACATGTGATCAACAAAGTTTCAAAATTTGACGGCTGGACTATCTTATTCTCTGGAAAATATATAATTATTAAACTAACCATATTAATGTTTTATATAAAATATTTGAGACAGAGAGCATTGACCACCTTACCTTCATTGCCAAGTTGCTTTGAGTTGAGGATTATGGTGAAAGTTCCTTCTAGTTGGCAAGAGAGAGTTGGGTGATTCTTAGGGATTGTCTTATTTGAGGACCATTTCAAGGGTTTTGGAAAGGATTGAAAACTAACATTCTTTGCAATTATGCACTTATTGTTGGTTACTGGGTCATTTGGTCAAAACGAAATGCTAGCATTTATCTGATATGAGTGAAATGATGGTGTTTATATGACATGAGTGGGTGATTACTTAAGGAATAAAGTTCACGTCTTCATATCTTTGCTATATTATTTCAGACTAAAGATCAGTATGTAGCTTATGTTTTTTTTATGTATTTATAACTATATAAAATAGTGAACTCTACAATACATCAAACATGATTATGACACAAATAATCCTTGATGACGTGTTTGTGTTGTGTTGCGTCCACGCCCCATGTACAATGTCCATTTTTGCACTTCAAAGGTTGATCCAGACCAACATGCAGCAGATGATACAAATTTGATGAAATTGAGAAAGTTTAATCCTGGAGAGAATCCTAATATGTTGGAATCTAATGGCAACCTCTCTGTGCAAATAACCAAAGCCTAGACTAGTACGGTCGTACCTAGTCCACCTCATCCAACATGCTCAGTTAATGGGAACTGAACTAGGTAACAACCTCTGACAAAAAACAACTAGCCACAATGCCAACAATCAAGACTTCTTCCGGTAAATTCACAAAATAGCAGCATATGAAATCAGAACAAACGGCAAAATAATAATAAATATGCACTATGAATAACTAAATTCTAAACAATAATTAAGAGAGAAAGACCCACCGAAGCTTGTTGCGTGAGAATGCAGCAAAGAAGTAGGAGTGAACAAGGGCAGTAGCTTCTTCCCACTACTCAAATCCCGCAAAATCTTTCTCACTGCCATATCTCTAATTGCTTCAAACTCACCTAAAATTATAATCACCGCCAAAACAAATTAATAATAAGTTCAGTTTCAAGCTAGTGCAAGAAGCCTTAAAATTGACAATTTGAGTGCAAATTTTATGTCTCATAAAATATAAACCACTCACCATCAATTTTAAGGCTTCTTGCACTGAAGCGGAAAATAGACAAAGAGGTGCTTAGATCGTGACCCGAAAGTAATGATATGGCGGGAAAAAGAGACTTCGCTTGAACATGATGGCACAAAATGGGCTAAGGTTTATAAAACATTCAGGCGGTTTGGTTCCCAGTCACAAGGAGGGAATCCGAAGTCCGAACATCAAGTATGTATTTGGACCCACTCAATTTCTACTATTGTCTCTTTTTCGCCAATTCAATCACCCACTTGATTTTAGTGAGTCCCATTGATGGTTTTCTGCAGACCCAGTAACAAATATCTACACGTTGGTGGGCACCATAATATTAGAGCAGGATACATTATTTTCTGAGGACTGAGTCACTGGGGTTTCAAAATATGGTTAATTAAATGCAAATTCCCAAAAATTTAGATTTGGCCTAGATGCTCGAATTTGAATTGGCAAGATCTGGGAAGATTCCATCATAAATTTGGAGTATTCAGCAAAATTCAAGGATTCAAACAGAAACAGTCCTTCAAAAAAGACATGTTTTTCTATCACAATAACTGGTTATTCAAGTGTTCCATGAAGTTATAAAGAATTGCTGAATCATTCCAATTTCACACTGAACTGAACAAAAATCCATGTTAAACACTGTTTATTTGATAGCTCCACAGTCATTATTTTAGCCTCACAGTACAACTGGACAAAAAAATAATGCAGAAACTGTTTCTAGAATTGTTCCCTAAGTTTTCAACAAATTTCTCAATGTTATTATAAGTCTCAACTCAACAAAATTTTATCCCAATTTATTTATGTAATCTAAGTGAATCAACTGCAATTAGATAAAAGGTTATCAGAAAAACCAATGCGTATGGGTTAAAGATATTTAAAAGATTAACCTAACAAATATCTAAATTTGAAGCCAAACAGACTCATTTTGGTGCGAGGCAAAGAGAACGAGGGAGGGAGAGAAAAAACTGACCTGATAATTTTTAAATGCACATATAGCCAAAAATTTGCCCTGAACAATAATTCTCAGTCTTTCAATAAATCACCAAGCACCAAAGAACCTGTGCAATACAATCAAGCTCTGAGTTCCGACATATAAATCTAATTTTCGAGAAAAATACCTTGAAATTGACCAAAGCAATCAAGTTGTCAACCTATTTTACATGGTCGCCAAATTTCGGATAAATTATCCAGATATATCAATATCCCAAACTTGTTTTACAGTACCGGAGCACAATAATTTGCACCAAACTAAAAGAGTCTTAAAAGCTCCTCGAATTAATGCAACCATCAACCACAAACCTAAACCAAAATCCATGCACAAATATTATACTCAATTTCAAGCAAATTCAATCCTCATTATCGCCCAAATCAAACCACCATGAATAGATTCCAAACCAAATTCAGAAACCCGCATATGTCGGGTCTCCCAACCCATGTGCAAAACCAAACAAACCCAGAAACCAGGTAAACTGACTAGCGACTTTTATACTGGTGGTGGCCGAAATGAGGCTAGCTTTGGACGGCGGCATCTTTATGGTTTAACAATATTAGGGTCTCAAACTTAAGGAACAGAGAAAGAGAATCGTACCTGTAAGTTCTAGAGTGAGAGAACTGTCAAAGAGCGGCGGTTTGTGTGCACGAGAGAGAGAGAGAATTGTACCGTCGAGAGAGCTCTCCAGAGAGAGAGAGAGAGAGAGAGAGGAAACTGATCAGTGGCGCGAGGGGGGGGGTCGGCGGCACGTTGGGTTAGAGCTTTGGACCTAATTTAATCAAAATCTAATTTCCTAATCTAGTTATTTAGATCATGTTTGTTTTGTGGGCTTTGAGTAAGGGGTGTAAGGCGTGTTTGGATGGTAAGAAAGAATGGGATAATATGACTAGGATTATTTGGTTTGGGTACTTGTGTATTATATATTAGTAATAACCCGTACCTAAAGATACGGTGTAATATAAAAATCGAGCTCCTCAAAAAATCAAGTCTGATGATGCACAAAAATGGTTTTGCACACCACCTGTCAAATATAGATAATAAATGCAATGAAATCAACGAAAAAATTAGAGAAGACACAATTTATAGTGGTTCGGTCAATTCGACTTACGTCCACTCTTCAATGGCTTCAGTCGCCGGGTATTTTATTGATTCAAAGGTATGGAGAATGAAGATACAAGCTTTGAGAGGGGGAATGGAGAATCAAAGAAAATAATAATCTCCGGTAATCGGTTCGTCTTCTGTAAGTCTCTGATGAGCATGTCCCCTTCCTCTCCCAGATTAGAGTCATTTTATAGTAGATAAGAGATCATTCTTGTGGAGATCATGACATATCCTCAAGGCTTCTTTATCGCAGCTTAGAGATTATCTTTGGTGGAGATCACGACTTATCCTCAACGGAAGGAAGAGGTTGGGGAACTCTTGAAAGAAACGTGGTCAAAGATTGGACCGTTTCCTTCCTTCGGTGGTGCGGATAAGCTTCCTGTGCTCTCTTCTTGGTGACGTGCTAAGCAAGAAGTCTAACCGGCCTTAGGCTCCTTAAGGCGGTGCAGATAAACTTCTCGTGCTCTCCTCTTGGTGACGTGCTAAGCAAGAAGTCTAGCCGGCCTTAGGCTATCTTGGACTTGGTGGATTCACAATGAGGTTGGGCTCCTCAACCGGGGTTGGGCTTTAATACATAAATTGGACTACTTGGGCTTAACCCATCAAAGTCCACTATATCAAATCACAACCACCACTTTTTAAAAAAAAAAAAATTTGACAAAACCTGCAACTGAAGACATTATGTAACCCAATATTGAGTATTAATCATGTAATACAAAAATTTTCTACAACATACAAAAATTTTGAATAAATTTTTTTTTAGTTACGCCATTTTCAATCAATATAAAAAAATTTGACAAAATTTACTTTAAAAATATAACGCAAAAAAAATATATCAACTTGTGTACATAATTTATCAAATATGCTTATTAATAAGAAACATATGAATTTAAAGAAAATATGACCCAATTCATTTTTCAGATTGAATATCACTCCCTAATTCTATTTTAACAAAACAATTCATCAATTGCTGCAATAGAATAAAGCTCAACTTTATCCATATTGATTTGCATATATCAAATCTAACCTGTAATTCCAAATGTACTCATTTAATTAACATCCATATCGACTCCCACATAAAAATTACTACAACAAAAGTAAAAAATTCAAGCAAAATTTAAACAAATCAAGATAATTGGTTCAATTAATCTTGTGCATGTGTCTAAAGATACTGTGTAACCAAAATTAACAATTGGCAAAAGTTAGAACTTCATTGGATAAAAAGTTAAAGAGTTTAATATATTTTAAAAAAATTTGGCTATGTATAAAATTTATTTTCAACATGTATATTAAAAAAATTTCAACATGTATACAATTTATTTTCATACCCAAAAAGGCTATCAAATGTCTCACTGTCATGCCCCAATTTTGCATAATACAACCATTTACCAACAAACGCAACCACGTATCCACCATAACGATATGCAATTAACTTTATTACCATGTTTTTTTCAAAAAAAATTGTATATTTACGCACATGCACAATAAACAATAAATCCAAAGATTTCAATCTAAAGTGAGTATAACAACTCCCACCATAGAATTAAAGGTCTACAACATTTATCCAATACTTTACGCAACAATTTGTTGAAAAAAAGATAGAAAATTGATCAATGATCCCAAAAGAAAGAAAGAAATAAATAAATAATAATTCATAATTTCAAAAGGAAAGATATGAATGAAAAGGGGCTATCGTAAGCCTAATGGAGATTTAAAGGCTTGAATGTTATCTACATACAACTTCACTGGAAAATAACCCCAAGCATGCCTCCATACATACTTGGAAAAAAAAATCAATTTCATTTTCTCAAACAAAAATCAACTACATACAATCCCAAGCATGTTTCCAGATGCGCACGACTACGCGAGCGTTGCGTGGGCTGTGTGTGAGTGCAAGTATGTATAAGTGTTGTTAATCAGTGAGTTGCGGAGTCAATGTATGTCAGTGTTATGCTTGTGGATGTTTGTGTGCGCGGTAATTAAAAAAATAGGAATCAATTAGAAAATCTCAAATGCAATAATTCGAAATACAAAATGCAACATCCATACCATATGTTAAAAACTAATCTTGTTGTCATTGTACCAAAGAAACTTAATATAAATATTTAAAGATAAAAGCCTAAAATCCAATTAAATCAACTTAATATTAAATTTGATCACTAATCAAGCACCAACGAAACTCACCTAATCATAGACCAAAGAAACCCATTCAACCAATTAAATCAACTTGATATCAAAATCAACTAAATATATCAAATCTAACACCAAAAGTTTAGCAAAGTATCAATTTTCCCCTAAAGTTACTAAAATTTAATTTCAAATATATTCAAAATCAATTTCAATTATCAAGTTTTTTGTGTCTTTTTGCATATATTGTGTGTTCGCGCTGTGTTGTGTGTGTATTGTAAGTGTGTGTGTTGTGTGTTGTGCATGTGTACATGTACTGTGTTAGTGTTATGTGTGCGTGTGTTTATGTGCATGTGTGTTGGAGACGAAGAAAAAGTGACCGAGAGACAAAAATGAACATAGAGAGAGGAAAAGCGAGAGAAGGATACCTAAATTTGGGCATGCTAATGAGGGGTTACTCGATGGTGGGTCGCTGTTTCATTGATTGTGGCTCCATCACGATTAAGGCTGGGTTAGAAAAAAGAGACAAAGACAGAGAGAGAAGAGATCAGACTCTTGCATGCTAATTTTTGAAACAACTTGAACTAATAGGCACTGTAATGCAAGATAAAATTAAACAAAAGTTTATATTCAAAAAATAAGAAGTAAGCAAACATTGCAGAAATGTGATGTCATTGAGGGTCTTGTTAAGAAAATCATGTTGTCACTTAACCTTTTGTTTATTGAGGGTCTTGTTAAGAAAATCATGTTATTATTTAACCGTTTTTATTCTTCTAGTCAATAATCAAATCCTAAAATGATTACTGAAAACTCTTGATAGAATCAACCAAAGCTAGAACCACACCAAGGGATATGAACAATCAAGAAAATTACCACACAACAATTCAAGAAAATGGAAAAAAAATTTTAGTGAATTTTAGAAAAGAAAAGTACCACAAAGTAAAGATGTAGAGTTCTAAGTTGAGCAAATGTGTATGTGTCTGCGAGAATGTTCATGTGGGTTGTAGGTGTTGAGCTCGTATGATTTGCACAGGTGCGATGCTGACATTAATGAGTAAGAAAGTAAAATGTTTGGGATGATTTTTATCTGTTTAATAACCCGTTCCTAAAAATACAGTACAACATCAAAACCCATCCCCATGATCGTTAAAGTTCATCTTAAACCATTTAAAGTGGACCTTTTTGGTCAACTTAACTTGCCAAGCAAAACCCATTATATTCCATGATCCAATCCAAAACCCTTGTTACAAAATTCACAAAACCAATCCGACAATATCACCATTCCACTTTGCCAATAGAGAACATTTCGATTTCCCAAAATCAATCCGACTCTTATACTTCAATTTCACATTTCGAAAATGTGGTGGTTGTGGTTGGTGGCTGGTGGTTTCCATTTCAATTACTCCAAATCTCCGGTTTCAATTTCAAAAAAATTCACTACAAAATTTACCAAAAAAATATCAGACTACAATAACACAAAATCACAAACTCGTTTTTTGTGTTTGTAAAGAAAAAGAAACTGTGTTGTGTGTGTGTGTGGTTGGTGATGGTGAATCAAATCAAACATCCAATGAAAATAACACTAACAACTATAACATGCATTTAATTTAAAACACACAAATTATGAAAAAAAAAAACTCAAATTATGAAATCACCCCATTATGAAAACACCAAATTGACAAATAACCCTAATTATAAAACCATTCAAAGCACTCAAGTTATGGGAAAAAAAACACAAATTATGAAATTTTCGAACTTATCAATCGGAACTTCGAATCCTTGTCCTTCCTGCTTCTTTGTAGATGTTTGCGAACTACGACAGCCTTCTTGATCAAATGGTACAGATCCTCAGGAATCTTTGGAGCAAGGCCTAAGCAAATGAAATGGACACCACCCATCGACAACCGTAATTACACGAAAATTGAATTCAGAGAAATGAGAGAAAATGTTACCGTGAGCCTTGAGGATACGCAAGATCTTGCTTCCAGTGACGTTCTTGACCTGAGCAATCCCATGAGTCACAAAGGATAACACTGATATGCAACGGTGTCAAACCTTTCTTCGCAAACTTGCAGATGTTTTCATCAACCTATAACAAAATCAGAATAAAGAGTGAAACAATTGTGAAATATTTGCATCCATACATTGTCCATTGTACAAATGAGTAGATAAATATTAGAGTTAATCTAAATAACTCACATCCTGAGAAGAAATCTTGTGCCATCTTGTAAGGCAAAGTAGAAGCAGAGATACCCTTCCTGAAAGCACACAAAACGCACGATTCAGACTAATGATCATAGAGAAGCAGATATACCCCTTATGTGCTGGGTATGTTTGAATGTGTGTGCGCGTGTGTGTGTGCTGGGTATGTATGATTGTGTGTGTGTGAAGAGAGAGAGGAGGGATACCCGGGATCGTGCCTAGCAGAGGAGAGAGAGAGGGAGGGAGAGAGAGAGCTGTATGTATTTGTATGTGAAAGTCGTGAGAGAGAGGGGTACCTGGGCGTCTTCCGTGGTAGAGTTGCAAGTGCGCGCAAGAGAGAGAGAGAGAGAGGTGGATGAGATAGACTGGAGTGTGATTTTGAATGGGGTGGCGTGTGTGTAGAGGTATAATGGCGGGATTTGGGTTTTAGCTGGCGTGGATTGTGAGCCATCAGATTTAATTAGATGAATTTAGATGAGATCTAAACTCTATATCTAAATTTCAATCATATCCTAACCGTTCTTCTGTTTTTCTAAATTGTAAGAGGTGATTTCAATTTGAAAAGTTTAAATTTGCCTCTATCTTATTAGTATAAATATGTACTATGTTTGGAAAATTAATTTTTAGAATGGGTAACTCTATTGGGCCATTTCCCGGCCCAACATGTACAGTATATTTTACCATACCTATATGTGGGTTTATTGTAACCCACCTGGGAGGTGGCATAAATTCTGGTCAGGCAGGATTTGGGCATACAATTACTGTTCTATTCCTGGTATTTTAAGCCAGTTAGGATTGAACTCTTTTAAGGGGTATTTTGGTACAATTGTAATAAAAAAAACAAAGCTTGCAATTTGTGGAATCCACAAGATTTTAACTATACTAGCCAAACATGGAACTAGATAGGAATGCATCTATTTCCTTTCTAAGTGCATTAGTTGGGTTAGATTAGGTTGGGTTGGGTTGGCTAAAAATCTCCAAGAAAATTTGGAGATCAATCCTCTTTTGTGAACTTATTTGATGATAAATTTATCAAAAAAACTTGTTTAATATTAAGTCCATTTTGATATAGATTATCTAAAATACTCCTAGTAGTGTTTAATTAAAACAAATTTAAAAACTAACAACTCATAAATTTTAAAAATTTGACTAACATTCAAATTTTTTCTCTCTATCACATGATTCATATCTATATATAGAATATGAATATTTATTTATCTCATTTATATATATACACGCACGCACATACATAGACTAATATTAAAAAAAATAATACAATTTAAACACAAAAAATCATATCACTCAAACACAAAAAAAATAATTACAACATTGAGTATTAACAAGTTCACATGCCCAACAAAAATAGTGAGATGTTCACAAAAAAGTAACATGGTAACAAAATTTATATATAAAAAGAGAAAAAAACAGAGAAAGGTATCACTTGTTAATTGAATTTTAATTTTAAATTTATGTAAAAAATTTTTTTGACATATTTTCATTGATAGTAAATTAAGGGATAATATTCCCGAGTTAATAAACTAATATCAAGTTGCTTTTAAATAATGGTAATTTTGAGTTTTAAAAAATAGCGGAATTAACTACTTATTAGTAAATTAAAAATAAATTTATCTACTTTGATGGCCTCCAAGATTTTTTTTTCTCCGTTTAATTCAGTTAAAAAAGCTATTCTTGATAAGAATTGCCCATAAGAATTTAATAGCACATTTCTCACCAATAATGAGTTAATTGCAAATTATACCTAGAAAATCGTTCGAATTTTAATTTACACCTTAAAATATCAAAAATCTTAATTTACACCCTAAAATATAAGAATTTGTATCAATACGCACCTGAAATTAACAACTATTAATTTGCCGTCTAAAACTAAATGGATAAATTATACATAAATCTCATCATATTTGTCAATTAATCATTTGGACCCCTCACATTTACAATATTATTCTTATACCTCTTGACGTTTGTGCACGTGTAATACATAACTTATTGTCATTGATATCTGTTAATATAACTGTTAAAAATATGATTTTATCATAATAAAAAATTATAATTTATATGCTACCATTTATTTTGTGAGTTATCTATACTCTAAAGTTTAAAATCAAACTTTACCATTTGAATGTCCAATATATTGCAAGTATTTATATAATGTTATTTATATCAAATGAAATACATAATTATTTAGATGCCTAATTGTGGAACATTTTTAGTCATATTTTATATTCTAAAGGGATATAGGTGTAATATTTCAAACGTGAGAGGTCTAGATGTAACTTATCCATTTAATTTTTGACACGATTATTAGTTTGACGTGCGCATTGATACAAATTTATATCTTTAAGGATACAAATTAAAATTTTTGATATTTAATGGTACAAATTAAAATACAAACGATATTTCAAAATACAATTTAAAATTAACCCCACTATAATTCCCAAAGTTGATAACTCCACCCAAATCACTTAGCTTTAGGCCAATTAGTCTCTATAATGTAAGCCATAAAATTATGTAAATTCAGACCTACGATGGATAGTTTGATTACTCCTGATGAGAGTAGTTTTATATCAAGAAAATATACAATAGATAACATAATTATATTTTTAGAAAATAGATCACTCACCGAAGAGGAGAAAAGGAAAAACGCGCGTATAGTGTTGAAAATTAATTTGAAAAAAATATATGATATATCTATATAATAAATTACAAAAATTTTGAAATTCTTAATTTGTTTTGAACTTTATGCGATTTAGATTGAATTTGCTAAAGGTTGATCGAAGGGTTAAAATTCACTGCTAAACAGTGTTTTAAAACCAAATCCGGCCCGGTTGGTTGACTGGTAAACCGGTCCGGTTCATTATTAGGCCGTTTGTGTGATAAAACCGGTGTAAACGAGCTGAACCGACATAAAACCGGTGAACCCGCTGAACCTGGACGAATTTTAAAAAATCGGCTGGATCACTTAATTTCGTATAAAAAGTTTGGTTTTGCCTTGTTGGGGCATTTTGCCCTAAACTCTAAATCGTTTCCAACCCCCCTTCCCCCCCCCCCCCCGTTGCTCTGAGACTCTCAGCGCCTCCCTTAGCTTCTCTCTCTCTTTCTCTCGTTCGCTCTCTGAGTCTCTGTGCTGCGACTGAAAGCGAGCAATAAAAGCTCAAGGGTGAAGGGACTCTGCTTTTCTGCTTCAGGGACTCCTGCTTCGAAGAAGAGGCTGCTTCAAGCTTTAGATCTCCATTGTGGTAGCCAACAACAACTCCCATCGATAGTAGCAGGTACTAGTGTGCTCCTCTCTCTCTCTCTCTCTCTCTCTCGTTATCTTTCTCGATTTCTCTCTCCTGCTATGTTAGATTTTTGATTTGTATACATTGAATCTGTAATTAACGGCAACCATACTCTGTCTCTGCTATTTTTATTGAATCCGTGATTCTTTATTTTCATACATTGAATCTGTGATTTGTGAGGATGTTGTTGATGCTTTTGAAGCTTGAATTTAGATATATGGTGGTGTCTTTATTGCTATGAAATGAGATTTTGTTGGGTTTATTATAAACTTTTAGCCTATTTATTATTATTTATAATTATTTTTTTATTTTTTATTAGATTACTGGTCCAATTAGTGACCCAACGGTTGAATCATTAACCCAATGACCCAACCATTGAACCATGAACCCAATGATCCGGTCTCTTTGTTGGGTTGATGTCCGGGCCGAATTTTAAAACCCTACTATTAAAATATTAATTTTCCACCTAAAAATATTACTTTAAATGTAACTCTCAATTACCCCCATTCACTCCTAATTACTGTCCTATTTTCTCTCTCTCTCTCTCTCTCCCCCTCTTAATTTTAAGTTTTTAATGCTACACACATGACATACACAACAAAAAAACCCTAACCTGCCCATTCACCCGCAATTACTGCGCCATTCCCCTGCCCCCTCTCTCTTAATTGTAAAGCCACAGACACATAAGGGTAAATTATACTAATGGTCCCTGAGGTTTGACACTTGTTGCACTTTCATCCCAAAAGTTCTAATTTTGTCATTCATGTTAACAAATTGATTCACTTTAGTCCTTACTCCTAACTGCCGTCCAAATAATAGACGAAAAATGTCACATGCTTGGCATATGAGGATATTAAGAGGCATTTTTGTCATTGCGCTTCCAAAGACAAGGGTCATAAATGGAAAACCAACTTTTCAAAACAAAAACCAAGAATTAAACTGTTAACTCCTCCCCTTTCCCCAAACCTAAACCACTGTCGACATTTCTTCAGTACCAGTGACCCGATCCCCCACCCCTAACACTAATCCTGATGCCTAGATCCCCCCACCTCTCTTTCTCTTCCCCTTCCTTTCATTGCGAGCATTGTCACCGGCCACCACCGCAGTTGTTGTAGCTCCGAAAACTTCCAAGTAAGCTATTTTCCTAATGCATGCACGTCTCTTACTCTCTATCTTAGTTCTATTTGTCCCTTTCCATCAAATCCACAAATCTATCTCTCTGTTTCTCTCTGGTTCATACGTCTTCCGCCCCTTAAACCAACAGTTCCTCTCTCTCTCTCTCAAAACCTAGCATAGAAACAAAACAAAACCATAACAATGCACCCACAACAGAAGTGCCCAAATATATACACGCACAAAGATGCACAATATGACTCTCATTGTTGGAATAATGAAGAATTAGGTTTGAATTGGATGCTGGTTTGCACTCGTGATTCCCTTATCGAAATTGAAATCAAGCTTAAAATCTGTGTGGAGAAAGAGAGGCTTTTGGGTCTCCTGAAGGGAGGGAAGGAATGGGGAGCGAAATAGGGGATGGGTGTTTGGTGGTGGACACACGCTTGTGGCATGGGTGATGGGTAAATAAGGCATGGTGAGGGTTGTGTTTAAGTGGTTTTCGATGATGGGAATAGGGAGCAATGGTATATCAGAACCGGACCGGTCATCAAACTAATTAAGGGACTAGATCAATGGTTCACTGGTTCAATCAGTGGGTCAGTTGGTCGGACAATGAGTGTCATATTGTAATTCACAGTGGTATTTCCGTTAATAATCTTAACATCAGTCTTATTCTCGTATTTAGCGGTGGTTTAATTAACCGCTACAATGATTGAAGAATTTAGAACTTGAATGAAGTCATTAAACATAATGAATTTGCCAACCTTATTACTAGGTCAATCTTCACCAAATATTAAATGGCATTACTGGAACCAATGATTTCATTCAAGTTCTAAATTCTTCAAGCAAACCACATAACAAACTGAAATCCAGAAAGCCATATTTTCGTGTGCATTACTCTTCAATGATACCAAACTTGCAAAAATACATAACAGTAATGAATGTTTCAAGCACTTGGTCATTTAATTCAAGCTAAAATTTACTCAATTGCAAGAAGGAGAGGCGGAGGTGATGCAATGACCTCTTCAACATGGACAGTTAATCTCGCCAACCCAGTGAACCAATTAGATATATGTGGATGCCAGAGCTCGCCCACTGTGAGGAGCTGAACCACACATGTCCATATCAAAATGCTGGAACAAACCCTAATAAACCACACCTGCAATCGAATCCTCGGAATCACTTGACCTGGAAGTTTATCACACCTCAACTGTACATTCTCAGACCTAACCTCCATTTCTCTTCTAAACTCCTCATCGCCTCTTCACTCCCAAACAAACCCAATTTTCCAATCCTCCAAAAAATTTAAAATTCACACCAACTGAAAAATGTAAACCCCGATCAACCATAATTAGCATAGAATACCCAAATGGGTATCTCGTGGAATCTCTTTGAAAGCTAAGATTGAATACCCAAATTAGGTATTTGAAAAAGATCAATGAATGCAAACCCTTGAGAGAGAGAGAGTGAAAAGAAAGGTGGTAATTCATGAGGAAAATTTGAAGAAATTAAATAAATTCTCACTAGCGACGCTGGTTGTTGCTCGTTGGTCGCCTGGGAGTGGAGTGGTGGCTTTTGTGATTTAGGGCAAACGAATGTTCCAAATAAGAACAATTGTAATATAAGTCATTTAATTTTTTATTTTTCTTCAAACCATTCGACTTTTATAAAAATCGCCGATTCACGATTTTTTATAAAAATCGGCCGTTTTTTCGGTTTTTAACTGATTCTTTTCCTTATGTGGTCCAATTAGGTAATCGGACCAGTTAAGGCCCTGGGTCACGGTTGAACTGGTTCGACCGGTCGGTCCGGTTTGATTCTAACAACACTGATAGGTAGTCAAACACAAACACACACACACACAAAGCAGAGAGAGAAGGTGGAGGCTGCGTAGTGGTGGAGTCGATGGTGTGCCGATTGTCAAAGAGAAAATGGTTGAGAGAAAAAAATGTGTTGTTATTGTTAAATGACTTCTTTGCTCTTAAGACTTCCTCACATGCGGTCACATGTCCTTTTCGTTTATTATTTGGATGACAATTGAGAGTAAAGACCAAAGTGAGTCAATTTGTTAGTATGACGGATGAAATTGACGAAATTAGAACTTTAGGGACAAAAGTGCAATAAGTGGCAAACCTCAGGACCATTGGTGTAATTTACCTTACACATAATAAAAAAAAAACCTAACCTGACTTCTTTCTCCCTCTCTATCTCTGCTTATTAAACCACCCTGCGCCCAACACACTTTGACGCTGTTCACTGCCGAATTTAGCGTTTCTACCTCAGTCACGGTATTCCTCTCTCTCTCTCTCGCCAAGTCAGCGCCTCCATGTTTTTCTGTGTGTGTTGTTTATGTGCTTGAGCGTGTTCCTCTCTTTCCCTCTCTTACTGTGCACTTTGTGTGTGTATGTTTCTGTGCGTGTGCTTGAGTGAGTTTCTCTGTTTGTGTTGTCTCTCTCTCTCTTTGTGCATTTTCTGGGGTTTTATGTGTGTTATATGTTATGTGTGTATGGTGTTCGTTGTCTGTATGTGTCTGTGTGTGTGTTGTTCTGGGTTTCTGTGTGAGCTGTGTGGTCGTTGTGTGTGTGTGTATGTGTCTTTCTTTGTGGCTGTGTGTGTACTGCGTGCGTTGTGTGTGTGCATGTATCATAAATAACATAATAGAAAACGCTAATGTTATTGGGACATAATCGGGGATATAATTTGGGGATATAATGAATTGTGATCAATGAATGATAGTGAGATGCATTTAATGATAGGACCCATTGGTCATAATGTATTATATCTTCAAATTATGTCCCAATAGCATTGCTTAAAAGAAAATTATCCAAGAGAACCATGGGTCTTCCAGCCGTTCCTAAGGTTTCCCAATCCGAAAAGTTGCTAGCCTTTCTCTAGGTTTCCCAATTGGAAGAGTTGTTAGCTTTTCCTATGGTTTATAAGTAAAATTTTGATTTTGTTATACAGTGATTTTTTTGTTAGGTGAACCGAAATTCTTACTTTCTTTTTCTTTTTTTACTTCTTTAATTTTTTTGGTGTTTAGTTGTTTAGTGTAAGACTTGAAAGGATAGTTATAAACTGACTTACTACTTTGGTGGATGCCAACGCAATAATGGTATGTTTTATTACCTCTATTTATAGGTGGATGGCAATGCAAATTCCTATTTTGTGTGATTGCATAATGTGTTGGTTCTTTTCTCTCTTCTTATGACTCACATAAATTCATTTAATATGTGATACATGAATGAATAAAATGATTTCCATTGTCAAAAGTAAGCCAATAACTGAAAACCATTTTCTTTTTTATTTTTATTTTTGAGGTTTGATCTACTCAAGATTATCTTTGATCATGATTAACCATAAGTTCTTCAATGTGTTAGGTGCATTTCTAAATCTTGATATCCATAACTGATTTCGTATATTCAACATGTGGCTTCTCTTTTGTTTTTCCAACTCTAATATTTTCCTTGGCTTCTCTTTCATTGGAATTGTAAAGCTGCTCTCTATACCATGTTAGTTGTGAATCTAATGTCTACGGTTTCAAAAATCTATGTGTTCGTTGTTTTTTATTTTGGTCAAACTAATGTTTTACCGGTTGATTATTTGTTTTTTTGTAGAAGAATATTTGACTTGGAATTATTGTACTGAGGGTTATTTATAGATTTAGTTGGGGTAGAGATTTGGTTGGCTCTATGAAAGTTAACTTTCAACTATATTCACAATTTTTTTTGTATATATGTACATATAATCTCTATATAATAAAGTGCGTGACTGTTACAAAGTGCTAGTTGTTAAAAAACCCGAATCTTATGGAGCTCATTTATTGTTTTCCATTCAAAATGGGCCATGGGATTACTTGGTGAGGAGCTGATTAACCCGTTTGAATTTGAACATTAGAGTTTAACAGAGTTTTACCGAACGAGTGACATTCAAAGCACAAACAAAGAATTCTCCGTCTCTCTTTTTTTTTCGAAGACTGATGGGAAAGCAATACTTTGCTAGAAAAAGAGGTATATTCCATCTTTCTTGTGTTCGGTTGTCAAGAATTCCTATGAAAAGAAAGTTAAGTAGATTTATTTGTTTATTTTGTTAATATAGGAGGGTTCAAGAGGCCTAGTAAACCCGGCGTGTTTGAAATGGGTAAACAAGCAAGAAAGAATTGTCGCACCAAAGATGAGATTGTTTGTAGCCAACCTCCAAGTATCGCAGGCAAGATTTATATTATTACTATGTGGTCATTGTTGTTATTATGAACATATATTTTGTAAATATTCTGGCATGTTCTCACCGATCCTTTGTAACTTGTATTTAGTTTTGGAAGAAGAAGAAGAAAAAGAAGAAGTGGTTTTTAGAGATCTTTCAAGTTATAATAATTTATTGAAGACGTTGGGGTCTGGTAGTGATTTCATCACCGATGCTTACAAGAAAAGGTAATGGTCTTTTTCTCTTAGAGAAAATTAGATCACATTTTTAATACACTTTCCGTGTTTTTGCGTAGCGAGCCAGGATGATGTTGTTGACAACTCAAATTTGATGAATGACATGCATTCCTTGCGGGTTATTAGATCCTATCGGTTTTGAATTTTATCAATTTTGGGTAGTTTAATAATTCAGATAAATTTATTGACGATCTACTAGATTTTGTTTGATTCCAAACTACCAGGGGGTTAGAGACTTGGGCCATTGAGGTGTTTGAAACAACTAGTCAAAGTAAAAGTGCATTCCATGGATGGACTCGACAAAATTTACTTTGCATTATGGACCCTTAAAAAATATTGGATTTTGGATTTTTGCTGAAGGTGTATTTTGGAAGTGCATCTGAATTATGGAGTGAATCTACGTATGTGGATATCTATGTTTGGTTGGTGGAAACATCTTAGAATGCAAAATAACATGTACTTAGCAGTTAACAATCTTACCCTTACACTCGTTTTAATATTAATTTTTTTGATAGGAAGAGATAGAATATTATTACTAAAGAAGAGAAAAATAGTACATAAGAGGACAAAGAGTCCTCCAAGAGACGCATCAAGAAAAATAAAGTCTAAGTAAGGCCAATAACGTAAAGCCCTAAAAAGATGAAAGACCAAACGTGGTTTTATTGTTCACACACTTGAGCCCAATTGTCTTTAATTAAAGATAAAGGAATTCCTTCAAAATCCTTGGATGTAGATGCCCAAAGAGACACTATGAAAGAGACTTTATCCCAAAGATCTTCCCAGAACAAAGCCAACACCGTGCATCTCCAAACAGTCTTGGCTCTCTAGTACATGAACCAAAACCATCAAATCGAATTTTATCCCCGTTGCCTTTTGCAAATTTCAAGTTTTGTAAAAAATGTGTGTTCAGAGTGCACACTAAGAAAGAAGGAAATATTCTCTCAAACCCTCGCACATCAATGCAACAATAAACCCAAATATTGCATGAGAAAGAGAAGAGACATATAGGTTAGAGATACAAAAGGAGAGGAAGAAAGAATAGAGATCATGCTGGTGTTTTTTTTTCTGTTAAAAGTCAGTAAAAAAGCCTATATATATACATAAAGAGGAAGAGACAAGAGAGAAAATGATGAATTCTTCGAAACCCTTGTCGAGATGTGAAATCATAGGAAGGTCTTGTTCAGGACCAGTATTCGTGCTCAAAAGGAATGCAACGATTGAAACCACACAAGGGCAGTCTTTGCTACAAGTAACTTGCATTGAAAAGGAAGGTCCTCCAAGAACTATTGCAATGGAATTGGCTTGTATAGAACTTCAACCGAGGATTCGGAAAACTTTGTTTTGCCACCATTTTGCTGCATATCATAACCCTTATTGTTTTGTTCCATTTGGCTCAAATGGGTCTTATTTTTCCAATTTGGATATTACAAAAAAGTTAATGACAAAGACTATTCGACTTGTGTACCATATTTATACCGACAAAAGAGCCGTCTACTAGGTTTGGAGAAAAATAAAGAAGATGAAGAGTAGGGCATGCAAATTGGTTCTGTGGGGTTAAGAAGGTTTCATGCAAAAAAACTTGGGGCTTGTAGGGAAATTTAATGTTACTACTTGAATAATAGATTTGGCTTCGTGAAAAGTCCCAAAAGCACGATTTTAAGAAGTCCATCCAGGAGTTGTGCCAAACACAAATCATTGAATTTGATTGACCTGTGTGTTGTAGGGGCTATTTCCAATAGTGTAGTAATAAACATAATGTGTTTGTATATTATTCTATTATGATTGTGAAGCACACTTTATATGCTTTTGTCCGCCTTTGGATGGACACAATTTTCTTGACATTGTTGATTGGGGAACGATCAATACCTGGTGCTTTAGTTATGTGTTGGGCTAACGATCGTGGAGTTTTGGGTTAAAAAATGAGGATATCCATCTTGTGCAATAATGCCAGATGCTAGGACCGTGTCTAGTTCAACTCTTTGAGCACCTTGGATTGACAAGGACTGACCAAGTTGGGACCACCCTTGTAAAAATGGTCTCAGTAAACTGGTTCCTTTTGTAATCATATTTTATCACGTAGTAGCCAACAAGCTACATGTTTATTTATTTTCTGTTAATATTCCCTATTCATAGATGTGGGATTGTTTATACAATTTACATTCTAATAAACTTTCGATGATTTATTGATTTTATCAATCTTATTGAAAACTCTTAATAATTGAGTTTTATGCCATATTTCAAGTTAACATTCTCAAAATTGTTTCTATTCTTTTTAGGCAAAGAGAAGAAGAGGGTAAAAGTGAAACAGATGAAGATGTGGACATTGGTCCCGGGTTTTCTAGCATGTCTGAAATTGAGGATGATGGTAATTTAAAAACATCATTTTAGATATTGAAACTGAATTTCGATTGACCATTTAAACTTAGTTTAGTCTTTGTTTTTGAAGCCATAATCACTGTATATGTTATTAAGCACTTAGTAATGAACAATGTTTTTTGTTAATCATTTATATGGACATTGTACATTTGTTTATTAATTTTGTAAAGGAATGTAAATAGTTGTTTAAGTTAAGGTTGCTTGTCTGAGGAACCTTGTTGGCCTCACCATCATTGAAATGATGGGAGTCTTACTTTGTGCAGCCTCTGCTTTTTACTCTTGGCTAGATGCAAGGATCATTGATTTTGAAAAGGCATATGATTAGGTAAATTGAAATTTTGTGGATATTGTGTTAAAAAACAAGTGTTTTAGGGAAAGGTGGAGAAGGTGGATACGAAATTATTTTTCTTGTTAGACTTTTTTAGTATTTGTGAATGGGGAGTCTAGAGAGTGGTTCAATGGGTCTGGGGGCTTGAGGCAAGGAGATCTTTTATCACCATTTATATTTATATTGGTTGTTGATTTCTTGAGCTAGATGATTATTAGAGCAGAAAAAGTAGGATTGATAGAGGGATTCAGAGTGGATAGTGAGGATGTAACTATGTTACATTGGTTGTTTGCTAATTACGCTATTTTATTCCTATAGATAAAAAGAGTGTTTTCACGACGTGTTTTTGTTGATTAAAGTTTTTGGACAAGTTTATGACATGAAAATTAATATGCCCAAAGGTGGGGTTATGGACATTAATTTGGAGGGGGAGGTTATTAGAGATTTGGCATTAAAGGCAGTTGTTCAGTATCTAAGAGGCCTATGGTTTACCTTTTTTTGGGGGGGGGTGTTCTGAGATCTTTTCCCTTTTGGGATCCAATTGTTGAAAGGATGTGTAAAATATTGGATGGTTGAAAAATGACATATTTTTCTCTTGAAGTGAGTATCACTTTGATAAAAGTATGTTTGTCTAGCATCTGTTTGTAATATTTATCACTCTTTAGAATCCTTATAATAATAGCTAGGATATTAGAGAAGATGATGAGTAAATTTCTTTGGTTTGGGGTGGGAGATGATAAGCGGGATCATTTAGTGAGTTGGGAGAAAGTTTGCAAGCATATAGATGAAGTGGGTTTAGGACTTGGTAATTTGGTGTTTAAAAATATTTCTCTCGTAGGAAAATGGTTATGGAGGTTCCCATTTGAACATTACTCCCTTTGGCATAAGGTAATTAGGTGTAAGCATAGCCTTCACAGATTTACCTTTACTTTCTTCCATTGACTAGATATAAAGTTGGAGATGGATCCAATGTTTTATTTTAGGAGTATACGGGGCTTGGGGACTTATTTTTTCACAGTATCTTTTTCCGTCTTTATCATTTATCCTCACTTCACGAGTCTCTTATTACCTCTTTTTTAGTCATAGGGATGAACTTACGTTCTTGGGATTTTCATTTCTTTAGACATCTTAATGATACTGAAACAATAGATTGATTTATTTGCTTCATATTCTCAATGACTTTGAAACTTGTTCGCCTTAGGATAGTAGAGTTTGGGTAGTGGATAAATTTAAGATTTTCTCATCCAAATTTTCTATTCACATCTTATTAGTTCTAGTAATACTGACTATTTCTGTTTGGCCAAATTTATTTGGAAATTCAAAGATCCTTCTAAATTTAAGGCTTTTGTTTGGACTGTTGTCCTTAATTGGGTGAATACTAATGATTTGTTGTAGGTTCGAAAGCCCTATAACCGTATAAAGCATTGAGCCCTGATAATTGTCTAAGTTCTTGGTGTAGCTGTGAATTGAATGGTCATTTACTTATTTACTGTGATTTTGCATACAGCTTGTGGAATAACTTTATCCAAGTTTCTACATTGGAGCTAATGTTGCAGGTTAAGTATTGTGGTTTTGGAAAGCAAAAAGAAGCCAAATTACTATGACATTGTACATTTATGGCAATTCTTTGGTGTATTTGGATAAAGAGAAATGCTAGAATATTCAATAATAGTTCTCTATCTTCTGAATTAGTACGGGAACGATTGGTTTTTATGGCTTCACTTTAGACCAAATCCGCTGAAAGTTTTAGAGGGTTGTCTTTGTCGAATCTTCAAAAGAATTGGATGGTGGCTCTACTTTAGGTTTATTTTCAATTTTTTAAATCATTTTTTGGTGGGTTACTCTTTATTTCTTTCAATAATAAAATTCTTCTTTTATCAAAAAAAAAAAAAAACTCTTCTATGGTTGCAAACTCAAATCTTGTTGGCTTTGAGAAGAAAGGATGACATTGGTTAGTGATTTTTATAGATGCCTCCTATCCCCAGTTGAGCACTTGAGTTGGGCTATTGGTTGCAATATTAATTCAAATAATTATACCCATTCTAATAGTGCCCCAGAGTACTCCACAAGTCTTGTCCTTAAACCTAGAAGAATAAGAGGTGACAGTCTGTTCATTATTGATGACATTAAAGACAACAATATGGGTCTTTTGTCAGTTCCAATCAGAAGTCAGGAAGAAAACCTACATCGTTTGACTCCAAATGATAAAGCATTATATTGAAGTTCTTGGTTCTCTTCTCCATGCCAATATTGTGGTAGGTGATAGCAAGCATCGAGTTAATTCTCTGAGGACAACCAAAGCAGTACCCCGAGAGAGCTTAGAGCTTGCATGGGCGGGGCAATGAATAAAGAGCATTGTTTTTTACACTCTCAAATAAAAAACATTAATCCCGGCTAAGAAAAAAAGAGGATTGTTTTTCCGTCATTGTCTGAAAGCTATGTCATTAAAAGTTAACACTTAGGGGTGATTCAGTGGTTGAACCTGACTTAGGGGTGATTCCTTCCCACACCTCTTAAGGGTTAGCTTCCCTTGTCCCTTTAGCGATATGTTCTAACCTAGCTCAAGCCGGTCAGTTGCTGAACTCGAGAGAGTAGTCGGTGTAAGCTTAGACACATTGTAGCCAAAAAAAAAAATGTCATTAAAAGTTGCTGAAATACACTGCTTACATCGGCACCAGATTTTCTATGCAATGTGGCGAAGTCTACATAGTTCAACTGTTGTGTTTTCTTTTGGGCTGACACTGGCAATTGTCCTGCATCTCATTTTTTTCTTCACAATTTGCATTCAGGAAGTGATAATGAGGCTGCAAGAAGCCCAGCTGCTGTTGCAGAACAGAGTGAAGCTGCTGGAGCCAAGTATGATGATGAGGGCCCTGACACGGATGAAGAACTCTCTTTCGGAGGCCATGGTCAATCTGTTGCTGAGGCATCAGTGAGCACTAGGTCTTTCTATGTTACCTATTTTTTCTTTTAGTTTCTTCTTCTCATCCCCATCTTTTGAAAAATTCATTATATTGCTCAAAATAATAAACAAATGGTCTGCACGCACTGAAATACAAATGGGGAGAAAATGTTCATTACTGGTTGGGGGTTGGGGGGGGGGGTTCTTCCCCCTCGGATTCATCTTTTAGGCTGTGGTTTTTCATTAATCAATTCTGATGCTTGTTTTGAAATCACATTTTTTTAAGTATTTGATAAAATAAGGTCTATTTAGATGTATGTGTACAATATACTATGTTGTGGATTACTCTTGGTGATGTGTTTGACCATCAAAAGTTCAAACAGTAAACAACAATTTTAACGTCTTACGATGTAAAGGAGGATTTTGACAGGATAATATACTATTTTTTCTACCTGTATTGGACTTTTACATTCATCCTGATACCCATGCAGTATAGATCTTGGCAACCTGCAATGTTTGGTTGCTTTGCAGCCATGTCTAAGTATTACTCTTCCTTTTTTGTTTATTCTTTTTTAGCCATATAATTTTTTTGCTGATTTTCTTGGTTAAGGGGCATGAACAAACCTGGATGACTGGTGCAAGTCATAGGTGCATGAATTTTCAGAGGAATAAGAAAAGAATGTAGGAGATCTTCCCTTGCATATTTAACGATTTTGCAGTTGAAGTAAGCATTGTTTTTTCAGAATTGATGAGCATTTGTGAAATTCTGCCTCTAGATATCCAAAAATGAAAAATGCTACGTCCATAATGGTCTCAGTTTTAACATAGAAGCGATAAAGTTCATTCTTGAATTCTCATGGTCGTTTGGTTCCCATTATATCTTAACATTTGGTTGGTCGTTCTAACTTCTAAATACATAATAACATTTGGGTGCCCACTTTTATTCTACATAATAACCAAAAATTCCCAACCTTCTCAATTCCTTAATTAAGGTTTATCACCTTGAGGGTAACTTACATTAATGTAGTCTTGCATATGATGAAATGTCTTTTTCATTTATCCTAGTTCTCTTAAGACTACATGGTTTAAAAGTGCCTTATCAACTTTTCCTTTTTCCTTGCCCCTTGCGTCGCCTAAACCCAAGTACGTGCAAAACAAAACATATAGGGATGGTAATAGGGTCATTCAATTCCCAATATACATCGGTTGATTGGGGTTGATGTTTGAAATGTGGGAACAGGAGAATCCCAGAAGGAAAGGAAAAGAAAAAGAATTTGATGTTGGTGAATATTTCAAACACAAAAAATTGGACCTTCAAGTGGATATTTTGAGTTCAATACAAGGTACATCTATAGACACTCGTTAGCTTAGGCTCCACTTTCTTATTCTCTTTAGTCACTGTTTTATTATATAAAAATGTAATTATGTGGTGTACTCTCCTATAGAGAATATCGTGCCTTTTTTAAATTGCTTTTTATTGTTTGCTTTAACCATGAAAAGCTTGAAAGATTGTGATTTACTTCATGCTATTTTAGTGCTTTTTACATGGGTGGAAATCGGGACAAGAAAAAGCACCACAATAATCAACTATAATCCTTTAAAAATTTTAAGAAATGTCGAACATGAGAAAATATGAAATATGCCTTTTACAAACGTCAAGCTGATTGTACGATATTACTAATGTTCTAGTTTTTTGGCGTATGAATTTAACGCATTTAATGCTATAATTTTGGGCTTTAATGAAATCTTCTGAATGATACCCATTATATCCATTTGCTCTTTTTTTGCCAGAATTTCTTTGAAGTTCACTTAAGAGTTTGTTTCTTTACATTCAGTTCTTTCAATGATCACTTGGAAAATACAATATCAAAAGCAGATGTCGACAATTTATCAAAAAGAAAGTGGAAACATAATTGGGAGGTGCCTGCTGTTGACATGCCCAATTGCAAGTGGGTGGGAACCGGAGAGTGTTTTCTAAGGGTATGTCTCAGTTTTTTCGTTTGCTTTGTCGTATTTGATGTTTACCCTTGTTAGTCTTGCTTCAATTTTGGATATTTACTGTAGTTAATACTTTTGTCAATAAACGACTCGGGTGAAAGTTATGAGAAGACATTGGCCCTCTATTTCTTTTATATGAGAAGACATCTTGATTATTTCATCTCGTTTCAGTGATTTTTTGTACGTATAATAGTGGCCTTCTCAGTTAACTAATTAGGACTCCATTACCTCTTGTATATATTAACTTCACCTAATATTTTAGAGCTACTGTCAGTACCAACTGTATTTTTCATCCTCTTATAATTGAGTAGTGTGGAGAATTACCTAATACTTGCATGGGCAAATATACCAGAGGGGCTATTCGTGCCAACTTTGGTTATCAAGACCCAGATCTGAATCATAGGATCTTATGACTCTACAATCGGGTAAAGACATTGATTCGAGTCTTGCAGAATCCCTAATTAATAGGATCGTGATTTGATGATTTGGATCTTACAGGATCGTAGAATTCCAATCTGAATTATGATTTCATTTTCACCAATCTAGGTTATTGGATTTGTTAAACAAACCTAATTCATATTTTCTGTTTGAGTACTTAAAGATTCAATCAAATAGTGATTGCCTCAAATAATTCTCAGTCTATTGGAAAATTTTGTCGGATGAGAAAAACTATAAAAAATTAATTGTAGAAAACTCTTTTCATTCGTTCAGCTCTTTCGTTGAAAAGTTTAGAACACCTATTTGGTTTGATCTCCTCTCTCAGCAAGTGATCATAACCAAATACTCTTCCATTCTCGTTCTCTAGTTGTTTTTTTTTTTTGCAAATTTAGATGTCGAATAGTCAAAGTTTTATATTTAGTAGTCTCTCAACTTTCTATTTTCTTCTCTACTTCTGTTTCTCTGGCAAGGTTAAGATCAAAATACCAAAATTCTCCTATTCATCTTTGCAAAATCCCACAAAAATTGACAGTCCACCTCTAAACTTTATGTTTGGCATCACATTTCTATCTGCATATTTTTTTAGGCTTGTTTAATTCGTGTTTTTTAAAAATTTTGTATTGTTAAATCGCTTTTTTTTTTTTTCCAGTTTGTAGAATCTCACAATTCTCAGGTCTCTATCATTTAGCCCCCTCTATTGATCCAAGGTAGGATCCTAGTTTTAAAAACCTTGGTGCTGGCTCATAGGAGGCTTTTTTGGTCCTCATTGGTGTTTATTATCTGAGAGACATTGAAAATTTTATAATAAATTTAGCTACCTTTATCTAGTTAAAAGTAACTGTTGACAGATTACTATTTCTGTTGGCCTAAAATGTATGAGATTTTTATTTTTTCACTTTGTTATGTTAGTGCCTTTTTTGGGTTTTTTTTTCTTGGGGGAGGGGGGGGGGGGGGTTAGGAGGTGGTGTATTTGAGCTGATTACTCTTGCAGATTTGGTTTTTATACTATTGAGGCCGCTTTCATCTTTTTGTGTTGGGAATGTTTTAGCCTTACAGGAGCTAGCCTTTTCTTTTATCGGCCATGATAACACGAGGATCTTCATATATTCTGGTATGATTTTTGCAGGATACCGGCATGGATTCAGATTATGGTCTCAAACCAAGTTTGTATAGGCATTGGTTGGATATCTGCCGTGCATCTGAAGGCAGCATTTTTCATTCATCTGGACAGAGATTTTTCTTCTCTCTTTGTAAGTGAAGCTGATTGATTTGACTTTGTTTAGATATCCGTTGAGATGCACTTATTAACATATAATCTTGAACGATTTAGTTATGGTGGCTTCTATGGTTAAATCCCCGATATTTGTTTTGAAAGAATTCAAATTTGTGTAAAGTTCAAATTAATTTGGTTATGGCTTTATGGAGCTGTTGTTATATGCAATTGCTTAGCTGCCACATTTTTATATGAAGCCTGATAGATCATTTGATGGGGCCCTGGATAGGTATAAGTTATAACCGAGCCTATAAAGCGATGTAGGATTTATCTTCCTACTTTGTGGTCATCTTTCTTATCATACTAGAGAATATCATACTATATTTGTCATCCTAAGAACTCAGAAAAGGTACGTATTTTCATGCCTTTATTTCTCTTTGCTGTTTATGCAATTGGTGCACTGTTGACATTTTTTAATGGGGTCTATAAAGCATATAAGATATCATTTACCTAAATGAGTATTTACAAGGAGATTCAATCAGCAATCTCTTTCCTAATAATCTAGGAAGCACGAATATAGACACGGGTGTCGTATCTAATACAATACAGATACGGGGATACGACAAAGTTAAAAAAATATGGGATATGGGTATGGTAAGGATACGACTATTAAAATAATATAATATATTTTTAAGATAATAATAGAGTTGTAATATATTAAAAATAAAGCATATATTATAACAATATTAATAATAAGACCTAGCAAATATTTTTTTTTTGATTAAAATTGAAATAGATCAAATTAAATATCCACTATTTTCATCAAACATCATTGCATCTATTAACATTCATAGTATATAAGTTACGTAACAAAAATATATTAAAAAAAGTAAATTTTGAATAGTTAAAAGTTGTTTTTTTAATAAAAAAATTCTTGGCTGTGTCCTGGACGTAGCCTAGTCGTGTTCGACTGAGTTCACTATTTAGGACACTTCTAGCCATATTGTCTTGATCGTATCTGTGTCGGACATGTGTCCAATACTGCCACGGCACCCCGTGAAAAGTATCCGTCCTTCCTAGCTAATAATTGAGGTAGCTACCATGTGATTGGTTAGATTAAAACATATAAGTTATTGTCACAGGATAACAACTCATTTTTCGTTTCGAGGCTACCTGTGAAGGTGTTGCTACTGCAACAAACCACTCAATTTCAAGAACAAGGGACAAAAACTCACACAGAAGACACACACAAATTTACTGGGACAACACTCCCAAACCTTATATATTGAACTCAATAATTTACAAGGAACTCTCAAAGTCAGAACACTCTCTCTCTGGCTATAAGAATGCCCAAGCACTGTTATTTATACATGATTATGGCAGATGACACCCCCATCTGCCAAAGGGTAGTTACCCACATTCTGCTATTCCATAGCAGACTTGACCAGCAGGCTTAATCTCTATGCAACACCTGACAGGCAGTCCCACCCATTCAGTAACTGATGTGGAACTATCCCTCATTAGCATGCATCTGGACCAGAATCAGGCTAGGAACGCCCAAAACTGCTTCCCACAGACTAAGCCTTGTTCAGCAACTGCTCACATCCTCCTAGTCACATGCATTGAGCAGCCATGTGCCAGTCATGTGCCCAAATTCAGTAGCCAGCCTTGCCTCACAAACCATTGTGCATGTTGGGTTCAGCCCTTGCCATGCAATTCGAAGCTATGCACCCACATTGCCTCAATTAAGCCCACCACGTGCTGCCATACTCAGCTGGGTGGTCTCATGCTGCCACAGTCCGCACCAATCTGTTGAACTGCTTAGCTGCATCACCTTGATTCATTCTCATGGCATGCCTTGGTGCAAGGTGCCACCAAGACCGCCATTATGCACCCAAGTCAATTAGGGTGTGACAAGCCATTCCCTCCTGAAGTATCCAATGACCTCGTTGGAATGGAGACATGGTACTGCTTGATGAGATCCTCGAACTGCCACAATGTTGTCTCTTTCTCCCAAGTGGCTTCCTCCGGTGCTTTCCCTTTCCACTTGACTAGGTAATGAGTTCTTCTGTTTTTCTTACTCATTCCCTTAGTCTTGTGGTCAAGAATGGCTTTTGTTATCTCTGTGAATTGTTTCCTGATTGATGGAGGTGCTCGACGTCGAACATATCTGCGAAGGTCCTCTAGGTTCTCAACGTATGGCTTCAAGAAGGCAACGTGAAAAACTGGATGAAGTTTGAGACGACTGGGAAGATCCAGCCTATACGCCAACCTGCCAATCCTTCTTGTTATAAGGAAAGGGCCATCATAGCGCTGGATCAGTCCCTTATGTGTAGACTTCTGAGTGAATTTCTTCCAGATTGGTGGGGTCAGTTTCAACATCACTGTCACCCATTTCGAACTCTCCTACCCTCTTTTTCTCATCTGCCCACTTCTTCATCCTCTTCACCGCCTTAGTCAGGCAGTCCTTTGCCTCGTCGGTCCTCTCCTAGTTGGCCCGAGTGAAGCGGTATACTGCAGGACATCTCCCTTGAGACTTCTGCTTGGCAACTTTGTGGGGAGTAAGAGGTTGTTGGCTGGTTGCCAACTCGAATGGGCTTATTCTAATGGAAGAGCTTTGTTGCAAATTATAACTGAATTGGGCTACATCAAGTAAATCCATCCAATTGTCCTAGTTCGCTGTGACATAGTGTCTGAGATATTCCTCCAGCATTGCATTAACCTGCTCAGTCTGTCTATCTGTCTGCGAATGATTGCTGGTGGAAAGGTTGAGCTGTGTGCCCAATAGTTCAAATAAGGCTGTCTAGAACCGGCCAGTAAATCGAGTGTCTCTTCCGCTGACTATATCCAGTGGAAGACCCCAAAGCTTCACAATATGCTTGAGGAACAGTTGAGCAATAACTTCAACAGAACATACTTTTGGAGCTGCAATGAAAGTGGCATACTTCAAAAATCTGTCTACAACCACAAATATCGAAGTAAAATTGTTCACCTTAGGCAATCCATTAATGAAGTCCATGGAAACACTCTCCCAACGTCTACTTGGAATAGGCAGAGGTTCCAAAGTACCCACCATCTTCCTCCTTTCTGTTTTATCCTGCTGGCACACCAAACAAGTGCGCACATAAAGCTCAACATCAACTTCCATGCGAGGCCAATAATAACTTTCCGCAAGTAAGGTAAGGGTCTGTTCCTGCCCCGAACGCCCCGACTATTGAGCATCATGAGTTTCTTTCAGCAACATCTGTTGAAGTCCGCCTGACTTCGGAATATAGGGTCTCCTTCCTTTGGCCTAGAGAACACCATCCTCTACCTAAAACCGCCGAGTCACCCCCCTCTTGGACCTGCTTCAGCAGTAAGTTGGTCACGGGATCATCCTTTGTTTGATCCTGAATTCTTTGCAGCATATCTCTTGCAATCTGTCTAAGTGCAGCCAGCGCCCCATCAGCAACTGAGATCCGACTAGGGGCATCAACAACCTGATTTGCACTGTCAGGCTTGTACTGCAACGTGAAATGGAACTGAGCAAGAAAATTCTGTCATCTTGCTTGTTTTGGTGTCAGCTTCTTCATGGAATTGAAGCAGCTCGTAGCCACATTGTCTGTCAGTACAAGGAAATGCTTCCTTAACAGGTAATGCCTCCATGCATTGATGCAGTGAATGACTGCTATCATCTTCTTCCCGTGTATTGAATACCGCCTCTTAGTTTCGTTTAGCTTCCTGCTTTCAAATGCCACTGGATGCCCATTTTGCACCAGCACCCATCCAAGAGCAAAGTCTGATGCATCTGTATGGACTTCAAAAGGCAAATCAAAGTCAGGCAATCGTAAAATTGGGCTAGACGTCACCGCCTTCAATCGATCGAATGCCTCCTAGCATTCGTTGGATCAGTTCCATGTCTTATCCTTCCTCAGAAGATCTGTCAACACAGCCACCTTCTTTGAATAATTCTTCACAAACTTTCGATAATAATTCGCCAAACCAAGGAAAGATCTCAGTTCTGTAACCTTAGTAGGGACAGGCCAATTAGCAATGACCTCAACTTTCTTTGGGTCTATCTTTACCACACCCGCATAAATAATATGCCGAGGAATGAGATTTCCTTTTGGGCAAACTCACATTTTTCTGGTTTCAGATACAGCTGTGCTTCCCTCAACTTTGTCAAAGCCAACCTAAGGTGCTCAACATACTCCTCAAGAGTCTGGCTATAAACAACTATATCATCCAGATAAATAACCATAAATTTGTCCAAGTATTCTCGGAATACATTGGTCATCAAGTTACAGAATGTAGCAGGGGCATTTGTTAAGCCAAAAGGCATGACTAAAAACTTATATGAACCGTACCTCGTCACACAAGCGGTCTTTGCCTCATCTCCTTCTGCAATTCTGACTTGATGATATCCAGCCGCAAGTCCATCTTGGTGAAAAAGACTGTCTTCCCCAGTCTATCAAATAATTCGTCAACAAACGGCACTGAATAGTTGTTTTTGACAGTAACTTTGTTGAGAGCTCTATAATCAACACAAAGCCGTAAGGATCCATCCTTCTTTTTCTGCAACAGAACAGGGGCTCCATAGGGTGCCTTGGAAGGTCTAATGAACCCAATGTCCAATAGACCCCCAAGCTGTCTCCTTAGCTCCGCCAACTCTGATAGAGACATTTGATAAGGAGCCTGGGCAGAGATTTTTGCCCCTAGAATCAACTCGATGGCATGATTTATCTCCCACCTTGGTGGTAATCTTGCTGGTAATTCTTTGGGTGCCACGTCCTTGAATTCAACTAGCAACTGTTGCATTGGTTCAGGGACTTGCACTGTTTTGGACTCCTCTTCCTCAAACAGAACAACCAAGTATGTTGTTTCTCCTCTCCGTAAGCCATCTTTTACTTGCAAGACAGACAACATTTCTCCGGAAGACTTGGCCTTGGTGTGGGGAACAAAACAGGGACTGGACATGTCCAACACGAACATCCCATGCAAATGAGGCATAATACACACCATTGCCTTTGTAAGAAATTCCAGTCCAAGGATTACCTGGAAATCGTCAAGGGGGATTGGCATAAAATCGCACGGTCCTTGCCAATCACCGACTTTTAAATGGACTTCTCTAGCCACACTGCCTATTAGTTTTGCCTCTGAATTAACAGCCTTAATCTAGCTAGAGTCTTTCACCAAAGCCAGACCAAGCCGTTGTACCTCACTGTTAGAAACAAAATTATGGGTTGTACCTGTATCAATCATTGCTTGGACAATTACATTGTTCAGGCGAATCTGCGCAAACATCAACCCTCTCTTTGCCATCGTCTCCTCTTTGCGAATTGCATTAAGGAGTTGTAATTGGTTTCTTCGTGTTGGTTCGTCAGAACAGTTAGTTTCCTCAGCCATGAGGGCATTGAGCTTTTCCTTCTTGGTGCAATTTCTGGCATGATGAGGGCCATTACAGATAAAACAGCCTGAGTTAGCACCTCCCTTTGATGAAGAGGGGTTGTCAGTCTATTTTTCTGCACTGCCAAACTTCTCAGCCTTTTTCTTTTGTTTGTCCTTCTTAGGGAACTTGGCTTTCCGTTTTGATTCCTTATCCGGAGGATTTGCTTACTTCTTGTGCAATTTCTGGCATGATTCCTTTTCACTATTTTTGTAGTTGGATTACTTATCCAACATTCTTGATATTTTTTTGATTTTTAACACAAGAAGTTTGTTTCTAATTAAAAAAATAAATTTCGTTTACAACTAGGAATCGATATATTCTATGCAACATAGTTGGTGCAAAAATTAGGCATTTATGATAACTTAAGAAGCGCAGAAATGACACGACTCGACATGGACCCCTTACATGTCGCGGCATGCGACCAATAACTGTGTATTATATATTAAGTGACTTGATCTGTCACTATATGGATTTGATTATAGAATTATGCAACAGAAATAATCAATGCATTAGGATAATGGATCATAGTAGTCTACAATCATCTATTTGTTTATAGACAAAATAAAGGGAACATGGAAAATTATAATGATAGCTCTCATCCTTCGAATTCCTCTTATTTAGTAAAAATTTTTATGTGTCTTTTGTTTTCCTTAATAAAATTTAAATAAAGCTTTAACATGATTAGTCCTATATGAAAGAATTTAGAGTATAAGATAGTAATTTGTCCAATTTTCAAGGTTTATTACCTATGGGACTACAAGTTTAGGTTTAGTCGTAGACATGACAAAAGAAGTGCGAGACATGTCACAACAGACGTATTAAACATGTGTCTGAAATTAAGATGGTATCTTTCAATTATGAACACGACTAAAAGAGTATTAGACACATGTCCGAGAATGTTCCAGAAGTTTTGGTGGTTAACACGAGTACGTCACGTTCTTGAGAGCTGATAATGTATGAGTTTTTTAAAGTTTTGTCCTCAGTCTTGATGCTTTCTCCTTTTTTTTGCTTTGTTTGTAGTGTCATTCTAGTTGATTTGCTAACTATGCTAATAACTAGGATTAATGCTTCTTTGAAGTGAACTTTATTGTAGCAAAACAATTGTCATCAACACAAAATGTTTTGTTGTTTGCATATCTAGTGTAGGGGTACAAATCATAGCTATAGTTTATGCCTGGCTTAATGGATGAAAATGTAGTTTTGTTTCGGTACTGAAACGTTTCAGTGTTCATGAAATCGAAATGAAGTTGTATATCAAAATTTCTATGCTTCAATGTGTTTCGGTTTGTTTCAACTAATGTATCAAAATACTTTGGAAGTAAATTTCTAAAATTTTCCTTTGATTCCATGTTATTTTCAAAGTTTTCGAAAGGATTCTAAAATTTTCCTTTGATTCTTGTTATTTCCAAAGTTTTTGAAAGGTTTTTGAAAGGATTTTGAAAGACATTGAAATGAAATTTTGATCCTTTCCGGGCTTGAGAGATTTGTCAATGATAAATTACTTGCCCTCTATTTATGATATTTATCTTGCTTTGATGAAGCCCTTTCTTTACCTCTCATTGCTCACCTATGTCATGGGACACAATTGATGCCTCGGTTAATTTTACGCCTTACATAACTCTACTACCTCCAAACTTATACCGAACTAGAGTAAGACTAAATTGATATACCCTTGAAATTAATTTCGAAGGACTTACGTTACAACAGATCATTTATCTTATGTGTAAGTGAGTGATTAAAATGTTCACTGTGGTTGAAACGTAAGTGCGTGGTTAAAATATAAGTGAGTAAATTAAAGTTTTTACTGTAGTTAAAATATAAATTACGAGATTACCCATTGGATGTAAGCGATCTGGGTCGTCGTTGTACTCTATGTTTCAATTTTGAGTGAGTGGTTAAAATATTTACTATGGTTAAAATGTTTATTTTAGTTAAAATGTGAATTGCGAGATTAGGCATCTGGGTTTTGCTTTATGTTAGAGGTTTGTGTTTTATTATATAGATGTGTCATTGCGTGTAAGTTAGAACGCAATTATAATCTCTTCTTGTCCCTTCCCAGTGCTCATTTCCTATCCATACATCTATGACATGAGTCTTCGAATATTTGTGAATGATGAATATTTATATTTGTGTGTGGAAATTTTTGATGTGGCTTTCTCACATTTATAGAATCTTTCCAGTGGGACTTCGAGGTATTGTGATACATTTCATGGTTTATTCCTCTCAATGTAGTTGCTATTAGTTACTCTTCTGTGAGGCATCATCCCATTTTATAACAAGTTCATATATGGTTGTTATTTTTATTTATTTCACATCCTGAATCCTGCTAGTTGCATTTGTCACAAGATTAAAACAAGATCATTATGTTGTTATGGATATGCTTAGTATGGTTCGTTAAATTTGAGCTTCAATGTGGTCCAATTTTTTAAACTGTCATGCTTGACACCACCTATTTTTTTAGGCAACAGCTATAGGGATATACTGCACCACAACAAGAAGCCCTTTTATCTCAAAGGCCTAGAAGAAGACTCAAGTATCATGGACGCATATATCATGCATTCTGTGTGTACTTGCCCTTGACCTTATTGTTATCAATAAACTGTTGTTGTTCTACTTGGGAGAAGTTATTGTCATGTTTTGTACTGATAAATGGAGGGTGGTATGTTATGCAGCTGAATCACATCTTTAGAGCTACAGATCTTGTGATGAAGAATGATGCAAAAGTGGCTAGGCATCAAGAGAGTGCGAAGGAGGAGATACTTCACACTGATGGTTATCTCGACCGTGGCTTTACTCGTCCTAAGGTATTACCTAGTGCTTTTTTATGGTGTAATTGTGGTGCTAATTGAACTTGGATTTGATAAAAATGCCATAACTTATTTAACATTGAGATATAATTAGTAAAAGGACAAATTACAATTTGATCCCTTCAACTATGATTCTTTTTTCACATTGCTCCCTCAACTATCTTATTTTTTATATTGCACCCTTAAGTATGAGATTAGTTTCACATTCCTCCAATATTAATGTTGTTACAAATTTGACGGAAAAGTATTTCATTTAGCATCCCGAACTATGAGATTTTTTTCACCCCCTACACATTCGCAATTTCTATCCAAAAAGATAGTGTACATTTGTTTTTGGGGTAATTTGAAATGATTCAAGTAGTTAAGGGGGTTAGAGTGTAATTTACCGTGGGCCAAAAACAAAATATGATAAATGGCTACCATGGTTAACCTTTTTTAATGGTGAGAGGGCCCATCCAGAGGTAGTGCCGCAAGCTCCAACTCCAACGAAAATTGTCCACCCCATTCTTTTTGCGTGGGCACTTTAAGTGGACATTCAAACATTGATTTGTGAACAACTTCCTGAAGATTGTGAAATGGGAAAGGGCATGTGTTCTTATGTTCCATTATTAGTCTTGTCATTCTTTTACTGGACAAAAATCTTATACATTCATCCATCTTGGCAATGTGCTTATCTCTTAATTTTAGAACTAAGTTGATAAATATGGTCTTACATTTAACTTTTACACTGTACAATTTCATTGTTTTGTTATACTACATTTTCTTCATTAGTTAAATATTTTTACAATCAACATAGGGAATGTTGGCCTCATTCTTAAGAGATTAAATGGAAATAATGTACATTGTAATAATTCTGAAATAGCTATATTTGTAAAATATTGTTGATATTTGATATAACTAGTTGACACATGAATTATGTTGAGTTATTATTATTATTATTTTTTTTGAGTTTTTATAAGACGGATTTGAAGGTTTTTACAAGCTAAATCAATATAACATTCTTAGCTGTAAAATATCTTGCTGAGTTTTACAAATTAAATCAATTCACCTTTGTCAAGCTCTCCACTGTTTTAAAGAAGAGGAGCTGCCTTAGGAAGTAAAATTCCTTACAAAAATTCAATCTGATTAACAGGTCATTACATAATCCAAGTCAAACTTTAGCTTGGATAGTTGAAGAAACAGCTGCACATGCATTACGTGTTTAAAAACATGCTTCAGTCCGCCTTTTTATACACTAACATGCTTGAATTTAGCATCAAGTAAGGTAGGCATCAAACTTTGACACACAGTACAATTCGGTTTCGCACATTATAGTGACTCATTCCGGCCAGACTTTGAAGCTTTGCTTCTTGGCCCTTTCAGGCTGCAATTGCCTTCCTTGCTTCGACCTTTTGTGGAAATAATAGATGTATAGTATTCCACAGAACCATGTTTACAGTGCAAGATCTTCCATTACATGGCATTGCCTATTTAGATCAAAAGTATAATTAGCAGTACCTAATAAGTTGCCTGCACGTTGTGCATCTCTTTTCACATTTACCTGCGGCAGATCTCAAACATTTCTTGTAAACTATACATTTGACAAGAATTTTCAGATTCAATCAATTAATTCAAACTTAGATGATCTGAAAATGAATTGAAATTATAAAATTGGTTTTACCCGTGTACACAAGGAGTAGTGTTGAGTTCAAAGGAAATCTCCAAACACATCTGCCCAATGAATCAGATCGAATTGAAAACAGAGGAAATCTAGTTTGACACACACACACACACACATAGAGTGAGAGAGGATTGGTATTTCAATGGATGAACTTGAAACAAATTTCAATTGGTAATTAAATGACCTGTAATGCAATCCTTATATTCTTAGAAGTTGGAGGGTCTTTTAGTTATTCTCTCAGATGACAGGGTTTATAATATAACATTGCCTACCTACTACAATTATATGTGGCTGTATACCGACTTGCTTTTTGACTGTTATTCTGAGTTTCTTTATTGCAGCATGTGAAACATGACTCTGACCCTCGGTTATTTTTCATTACTAAAATAACTTCAGTTTTTTGGTGTTCATTGTCTGTCATGTTACTCTTCTTTATTACCCTATTACTGTTTGTTCACTTAACCAATAAGTTTTGATTGTTTAGAGTTGTTTGGTCCAGGTTCTAATCCTATTGCCACTAGCGAGCATTGCATTGAGAGTTGTTAAGAGGTTGATCCAACTAACTCCTGCCAAACATAAGGTATTCCTTTTTTTTTTTGTTGGCTGTGTTTGCACCTGTTTTCTTTGCTTTTGTTTTCCTTTCGGGAATTATCCAATGCCAGCATAAAACCTGCGAGATTTTACCTACAGATTATTCTCTAAGCAGATGCAACTACCAAAGTGCATAAGAAACAGGAAATTGGTTCTACCTATGTAAGACCTGTTGGGGTTCCAAACTAGCCTTTGAGGTCACCTTGGATTATAAGGGCAGAGTTCACAGATGTTGACATCCCCTTATGTTTCCATCTATCCTAAAGCCTTTATCATGAATTAATAACCTAGGAAACTTTATATGCCAGATATTTTGCTTTGGTCGAGTTCAGAGCAATAAAGTCGCATTAGTCCTCCAATTGTCATGGTAACCATAATTATTGCCATAGTAAAGTCATGAATCTGAGGCGATATATCTGATCCATCTTGAAGTTTTGGCCTGACTTCTCGACCTTTAATAGAATTCTCTTAGTAAGATAGTTTACAATTGTGAAATGTAGATAATTGTAAAAATGCAAAAGTAATCTTTCATGGGACTTGAATTACTAATATGTGACCAATGATACTTCTTGCATACTAAAGACTGTACGTGTTAAGAGTGCTTGTATCTCACATCGAGTAATTAGGACCACTAATGTTGGTTTATATACTTGAGGGTTACTCCACGCACTGTCACTTGGTATTGGGTTAGATGCTCTAACATAGCATCAAAGTTGGGCTTTGAGTGGTTAGTGGGTCAAGTGTCTCTTAGACATTTGAATTTCCCGTAATGCATAGATGTTTGTTTGTTTGTTAATCTCATGTGCGAGCCCAGGTCCCATGTGAGGGAGGGGGTGTTAAGAGAGCTTGTATCCCATATCGAATAATTAGGACCCCCACTAATGATGATTTATATGTTTGAGGGGCTATTCCACCTCTTGACAATTGGTTTTGGGTTGGATGCTCTTACAATACATAATATTTTATAGTCTTGGACAAACTTTTGCACTCTAAAAGATTTCAAAATTCTCACTTTACATCATAAAAAAATTGAAAATTTGACATTACACCTTCAATGCCATTGATTGATAGCATTGTGGTTCAAAAGCTAACTGTTGTTAAGTGTTATGCTGACGGACAAATTAGTAAAACAACAAATAGGAGCCCCATGTTACTTGCATTTCTCATTCATTTTTGATAAAATCAAAAGGAATTCATTCTTAATAGGAAAAAAACACTTATAAACCTGTCACCCTCAACCCATTACTCGTCCCCACCTCTTCCCCCACCCATGACCACCCCCATTCCCAAAACCCTGAGTCCCATCTAATGCTCAAACCCACCTCCATGTTTTATGAAGCCTCCAAACATTCAAGGCCCCCAATCAATGTATATTCTTCTTTCTTTTTTCTTGTTAGTTGTTCACATGTGTATGCGTGTGTCTATATATAGAGAGAGATATAGTGAGTTTATCCTTTTTTAAATTTGAGTTTGTCCTCCTTTAAATTTGAGTTTGTCCATTGAAGGCCTTTGTATCAAATCAATTTTTTTTACTCAAATGTTGACTCAAATTTGAGTAATAATCTGAGCCATGATTTGAGATGCTCTAATATGGTGAGTTTTAGAAAATAAGAGATGCTCTAATCATATTATAATAATTTAATATGATTAAATGCAACTCCATTAGTGAGACCAACTGAAGAGATAGTGGTGAATTCTCAATTATTGTAGACTTATGAGGTTTCTATCTTACACTCCTTATCTATTTGCCTTGATATTGGATGATTCCATAGTGTATAATATTTGTTGATTATATGGTGTTGATTGATGAAACTAAAGCACGAATTGACAACAAACTAGAAGTTTGGAGAGAAATGTTATATTCAAAAGTTTCCAGATAAGTGCAAAAAAGGTGGATATATGAATTATTTTTTAGTAACAATGGAAATGCAAATGGGGAGGTTGTAAAGATCAAAGACTAAGGGTATTAAATAGGTGATGTTATTCATGAACTTAAAGTTGGATAGAATAAGTGGAGGAATGCATTTGGCGAATTACATGATTGGTATATACTAATACCTCCTAAGTTGAAAGGTCTATGAGAAAGTCATTACAACAAACACTGCATTGTAGTTTGAAATATTGGACAATTATGAAACAATATGCTCAAAAACTAAGTGTGACAAAAAGAATAATGTTAAGATGAAGCTATGATAAAACTAGAAATAAATATAATAGAATTAGGCATGTGTATATTTGTGAAAGGTGAAAATATCAGCAATAAAAGAAAAATTATGAGATAATCGACATGTGGATTGACCATGTATATTAAAGACCAATATCTGCACCAGTAAAAAAAGAGTGATGTGATGACTATCAATGGCATGGTTGGCGTTAAAGTTAGATTGGAATTAACTTTGAATGAACAAGTAGAAAAAGAATTAATAAGTTGCAATTTTACAAGGTATATGTCCCTAGGCATAATGAAGGAATAAGATTGATGTAATTGACCCCAAACAAATTGGGCCAAGGCTGGTGTCGAGTTGAGTTGTCCTTGAACCTGACATGTGCATTACACATTTTGGAAGCACCGACAAAATTAGCTTTTGGAGCACATTGCTACCAATCAATATACTTGAGGGTGATATATAGAATTTTTATCTTTTTAGGTTGGAAAGTGGGAATTTTAAAACCTATTGGAATGCAAAGTGTGTATTACTTAATCTTTTTTTATTCTTATTTTTTTTATTCTATTGAACATCCTCGAGATATTTAGAGACAGAAACATTGTAATAGTTGGCAGCTATCTACACAGTTATCTACTTTCTTGGTGTTTTAGTTTTTTATGGCCATCGAGTGTAAAGTTGTTGAGATATGGTTTTTGTCCATTTCTTTAGAAAAAGATCGAGTTTCCATGTTCTGTGAATACATATTTTTTTATTTCTACAGGTTAACGTGGAGCACAATGATCGCTTCTACAATGAATTTGCAACTGGAGGGGTTGAAGATAAGGAGGAATTAGAGTATATTGATAATTCAACATCACAGAAGTCTTCAAAACCATCTGACTTTCAAGCACTTTTTGGTGAAAATAACAATGATCATTTCATGATAGGTATTAAATTTACCAGGTAAGTTTCTTGATATTTGTTGATAGTTGATGTGAAAGTAGCTTATCTAACGGTGTGGTGTATTTTGTTACGTTCCATAAGGTTATGATGCTCACTTATTGTTTTTCTTGTTGCGGACAATGAAACTTCATGAGAGACTTGTGGGAACTTCAAGTCTTATGAAGACTAAGCTGTATTAAAAATTTGTTTCTCTTAGTTAGACAGTACAAATGTAGGAGAGCTTTACTTCTGACATAGGAGAGAGTCTGCCCACTTAACACAGGGCAATGATAGTAAAAATCGTTTCAGACTAATACAAGAAATTTAAAGTTTAAGAATTAGGTGGTGAAACTTAAAGAGGAGAAAAACAGTTTTATTCAAGGATAAAATGCTAAAGCAAGTTAGATCGAATTTAGATGTGAGGTGGAATACAATGTCGAATGTTTTAAAATAATAGTAATAGAGTATCTTAGAGAATCAAAATGTATTTTAAAATATGGCATATAACAAGAAACAAAAAAGGTTTAAACTATATAAGCTTAAACAAAAAGAAGTTAAAAAAGGGTCACAAATGTTAAGTACAAAACATTTGATATTTATTATAAACTAGATACAAAGGATGAAGAGAAAATATATGGACTCACTAAATTATGGGAAATAAATATTGGGGAAGTTAATCATATTAAGGGTGTTAAAGGTGAGGAGTGAAAACAAGTTTTTTTTTTTCAATAATTAGAGTGCGTGAAGTGATGGGGAAGTTAATCATATTAAGGGTGTTAAAGGTGAGGAGTGAAAACAAGTTTTTTTTTTTCAATAATTAGAGTGCGTGAAGTGACTAATGAATTGAAGAAAATGAAAAGTAATAGCTTTAGGCAATGATGGTTTACCGATTGAGGTTTGACTGGCAGTGCTTAGAGAACATTGGAGTTTCTTGGTTAACTAAATTGTTAATAAAATTCTTCCAAATAAAAAAAATGTGTGATGCATGAAGAAAGAGTATTTTAGTACCTACATATGAAGAGAAAATTTAGAGTTGCCAAACTTATTGAGCTACCAAATTAATGAGTCCTACGTCAAAACTTTGGATTATAGTGATAGAACAATGATCACCAGTTGAAATATCAGTATGTGAGAATTGATTTGGGGTTATGCTTGAAAGTTCAACAATGAAAATATATACTTAGTATACTAATGGAGAGGTATAGAAAGAAAAAGAAACATCTTTATATTTCTTTATAGACTAAAAGAACACTTGTAATGAAGTTTTTAGAGATATAAGATAAGAAGTTTTAGAAAAAAGAAGAGTCCATATAGGTATAGATATGGTTAAAGATATAGATATATATAAAATATAAAACAGGTAGGTTTCAATAAGCTCATCCGACGGGTCTCAAATAGACCCATTCAACGGCTACCAACACCCCTCTCAAAACTATTTATATTGAATTCTATCCCCCTCCCCTTCCAAATCCACCACTTTTCACTTACCGTGTCTTCAGGCATGGGTTACCTCTTGTGTGTGTGTGTGTCTATATATATATATATATATGAAGCTACAAGGACTTTAGCGACAATAGCTGTAGGGTGGCTTATTGATTTTTTTGTTACAAATTATTGCATCAAGGTTTTGCCTTTTAATTTGTATCTTTTTGCCTTAATTATGAGGGAATTAATTAGACACATTAAGGATGAGGTTCCATGATTCACATCATTTGTTGATAATGTAATATTGATTGATGAAAATAAAGTAGGAATTAGTATGGAAATGTATTGTCTACATGGTTTCACTTTGGTCCAAAGCTTCGGGGAGCTTTTGGAGGTTTGCCTTTGTCCGATCTCCAACGGAATTGGAAGGCAGTGCTATTTTAGCTTTCATTATGACTATTCTTTGATATGTATTTTGTTTTTATTCTTTTTGAGGATATCTTGTCCTCAATGTTGTAGGAGAGATTGGAGATGATTTTACTAGTATAATTAAAACGTGATGGATTAGGCGGAAGATACGCTCTTAAGTTAAAAGGTTAGTTCTACAACATAATCCATTAGGCAATGTTTTTTTGGTACAAATGTTTGGGAAACTAAGAAAAAAAATGTCTAGAAACCTTGTGTCGCAAAAATATAGAGCACCACTATGAGGTGAAGTACTATACCAGTGAAGAAGAGTGATGATGGAAATACAAGAGGTAGATGTAAACCAAAATTAATTTTGAATGAGATAGTGAAAAAGGTATAATCGCTGCTGCTATAAGAAAATATGACCCTTCCTAGAGCACAATGGAGGAATAATGTTGATCTAGTCGACACTAAAATACTTTGTTTAGTTGAGTTGAGTTGAGTTTACTTTTGACATGCAATCAAATGAGTTAACCGACACAAAGAATATGCAGTAAAAGTTTATATGCAAGAGACACTTGCAAGCTTATGTTTATCTTCTTGTGAAGTCATTAATTCCTCAAGAAACTAACTTTTTGTTGCTTAACTGACCAGTTTGAAAATACGACTTCAAAATTCATGTAATTACAACCATTGGATTATCTTACTTTTCTTTTGTTAGGATTGCATGGTTTCTATATTTCCTCACAACTACTTCCTTGAATGTGGATGCAGTATCTTTCAAGGCATTTCTTATTGCCTTTTGTCCCTTCTTTTGTAATTCATCAACTTCTTCTAAAAAATGATAGACATTCGAATTTAAGCCTTTTTCAGTCCCATCTGTCCCTGCGCAGATTGTTGAGGGAGTCACAAGAGAATGGCATGTCCCTAGGGTGGTTTGTATTTTGTAGTGGTTATTATTTGACTGGTGTAAGATTTTCTTCTCTTTATTTTTTTTTATCGTCCTTGAAAAGAAAAATAGGAACGTCTTAAGTGGTTTGGAGTTTGAAATGGGTACATTATAAGATCGCAAGTGGCACTTTGATAGTTGTTTGTATATACCGTTAATCATGCTAGTCATAAAATAATCCTAAATTTTAGTCCAAATTTTCTCCTTAGTTTATTTAATAAGTATAAATATAAGTGCCCCTTATCAAAACGAATCATTTTGTTTTTGATAACTTATCAATATGAATCATTGGTTTGCCAGTGAGATACATTCTTTCTTTCTTTCCATTTTCCATTTGTAAAATTATGTCATTGTGTTCTTTCTGTAGGAGGAGCATAAAGTTATACAGTGATTTCTATTCCTCGGACATGATTGTTGCCTCTCCTCTTGGGTTGATCACTGTAAGCATTTTCATTTGCGTGCATTTTCTCTTTCTAAAAGTTTTCTTTGTGATTTGGAAGCTGCTGTAACATATAAGTTTAAAGAGAACTATTATTTTGTCAATATGTGTGTTTGGTTCACAGTTTTCTTATCTAATTGCAAATTTTAGGTTTCATATAGAAACTTTTGTTTCTGTTGTTATGTAAGATATCATATAACTGACTTAGTAGTGGAGGGATTTGCCCTAAGGCTGTATGCTGTTGCAAACATGACGCTACATTGAATTGGAGACTTTCTGGTATTAGCGTCAAAAGTCAAAACAGAAGAATAATTGAATGCCAATTATTCATTTTCTTGATTTTCTCTATTAAGTTGATTTAAAATAGTTGTGAGTGAAAAATGATACAAATTAAGTGTAAAACCCTGATGTATATAGCCAATAATAATTACAATAAGGATAAAAAGGTAAAAAGAAAAAATTATAATAAATCCTAATAAACTAGGCTGCTATAACTCTCAACACTTCCCCTCAAGCTAGGAGCAAAAATGTCAACTAAGCCCTTGACAACGGAGTCTCCAAGAATGGATAGAGTGACAGGTTTGGTGAAAACATCCGCAACCTGATTACTGGTCCCCACAAACGATGGAGTGACAATACTATTGTTAACCTTCTCCCAAAGAAAGTGAACATCGATATCTATATATTTCGTCCTCTCGTATAGTACAGAGTTAGAAGCGAGCTGAATAGCAGATCGATTATCACAATATAATGTAGATGAAGAAGTCACTGAAAATCCCACATGTGCCAAGTGCAAAGTGCTAGTGCCCGATACTCTGCCCCTGTTGACGAGTGAGAGATAACTGACTGCTTCTTACTCTTCCAAGAGATAAGATGAGTCCCTCGAAAAGCACAAAAGTCCGTAGTAGATCCACTGTCACACGCTCCCCCATAATCTGAATCTAAATAACAGGCTAGAGAACCAATCTGAGATCCTGATGCATAGAACAACTTAAGTCCAGAACAAGACTTTAGGTTTCGAAGAATATGATAAACTGCATCAAGATGAGGCTGACATGGTCTGTGCATGAACTGACTAACTCGGCTGATAACGAATGAAATGTCTAGCCTAGTGTTAGCTAGGTAGATAAGTCTACTTACCAATCTCTGATAGACAGTCGCATCTCTCAATTCCTCACCTTCAGCAGTAAACTGCTCATCAATAATGGTGAATTGGTGGGTCTTACCTGTCATATGACCATTGACACCCGAGTCCAGCATCCAAAGGGAAGACAGACCGACGTAAGAATGAAAAGCACGAGATATACCTGTAGTGGTGGCAGTAGCAGTAGTCGGACCCTGAGAAGTTAGTACGGACATAAATATATCCAATCGAGAAGTGTTAACATACATATTACTCTGCCAAGGAGGAGCAGCGACAGTAGGTGGTGGTACCTCAGCAATAGCAGCAGTACGGCCGTGAGGATGTGGCTTAAGCTCTGGATGAAACTTCCAGTAAGCAACCCTGAGATGTCCTAGTTGGCCACAATAATCATACTGATGAGAATCCCCTTGTCTATACTGATCTGGGGCACCCTAACAGTGCTGGTTCAAACGCTGTCCACCCCTGACTGAGGATCCTGAACGAGATCCTGCAGCAGCTGTAAGGGCTATCTAGTCAGTTGGAGGAGTCAAGGCCGCAACTGGAAGTGATGCAATACGCACGCGGCGTTCATGCTGCTCAATCATCGCATATTCCTGATAAAGAGAAAGAAGCTTCAACATCGATAAGATCTGGGAACGAGACCCCTCAAACTCATCACAAAGCCTCATAAGGAACTTGTGAATCCTATCCTATTGCTCTTGAGTTTGTTAGAGTGTTGCTCCCTCGGGTTCTATCCTCAGAATAGCAGCAAGAGGACGTAGAGTCTCATACCTAAGCAACCGCTAGGTCAAACAACCATAATAATCTTGAATAATCATATCTCCCGGCCGAGCATATGAGAGCTCCTGAGAAAGCTCATAAACACGAACTCTCTATCCTGGCTAGGAATACATCTTTAATAATGTGTTCCATAGTCTCGGAACAGAGCTATGAAACTGATGAATCCTACAAACAAATGGCTTCATCGAGTCAAATAACCATTCAAGAATGACGCAGTTCTCAGAGAACCACGCAGAATATCCAGGGCCGTCATCAGCTGGATTTGGGTGAGATCCCATCAGCTAACCAAACTTTCCTACATGGCCTAAGAAAAGTTAAAATGAGCGAGACAACTCAGCGAAGTTAAGACTATTCAACAACGGTGCCGTAACTTTCTGAGAGATTATGTCCGACAGTGCTGGTAATGCAACTGTGCCAGTAGGTATTGTATACTGGTCAAACATAAAAGTGAAAGTACTAATAGATGTCTCAACGGTAAAGGTCTCAACAGTAGAGGTGTCAACAGTAGGGGTCTCAAGTCCCTTGGTAGTAGCCATATCATCAATACTATGGCACCCGTGACAGAAAAATAACTCTAAGATAAATAGAGGGATTAAATAAGGGAGAACAATACACCTCAAGTCAAACAATAGCGACAGAAGGTCCAGAAAACTCCCAAAAAATTAGGTCACGGTGCTCAGAAATTCAGAAAATATAAATAAGTGATCTACTGCATCAAGAGCAGATCAACAGAAAAGAGGATTCAACCCCCCTTAAAAGGTCCTAGCAGCTGTAACCCTAGGAAAAAATGCCGTGATGCAAAGAGATGGCGACACTATGACGAAGAGTTCGGTGCACGAAAGCGCAAGAAGGTGGGACAACTGTTATGATCTGAACTGAATTGGATCACTGCTGGTTTGGGCAGTGGGTTAGCTGGGGACTTGGGTTTGTTGGTGTGAACTGCAGTGGGTTGGGTATAGTTGTATATGCTAACTGTCGGTGGAGGTAACTGCAGTGGGTTAGGTATAGTGGGCTGGTTTGGCTGGGTACTGTCAGTATATGGTCTGGGCAGTAGGTGGTCTGGACTTGGGCAGTAGTTTGACAGTAGTGACTTGGGTTGTTTGTGGGTTTGGGTTTCTGATCCGAGTTGTTTGGGCTGCTGGTTTGGGTTTGTGGGTCTGCTGGTCTGGGTTTGTGTTGGTGAGTTTGTGGGTCTGGGTTCTGGTTTGTCGGTGGGCAGTGGGTTGGTGAAGGAGGACTGGGGTTGTTTCACAGTTGGTGTTTTTTTTTTGTGTTGTCAGCGGTGGGAAGACAGGGCTGAGTTTTTTTTGGTGTGTGTGGTTATTTGGCTATGTTGGTTGTTTGGGTAGTTTGGTTTATAGCTATGAAACTGGTGGAGTGGGTTTTGTCGGTGGAGTGGGTTGGTGGTTTTGTGATATGGATGCTGTTTAGTTAGTCTGGGCAGTCGGTGAAGGTACTCTCTGATTTTCACTGTGGGCAGTTGGTGAAGGTCAAGGTAGTCAGTGAGTTTGCTGGTTTGGTTCGGTGCTAGCCTGGGTGGTTTTTGTTGGTGAGTTGCTGGTTTGAGCAGTCGGCGAGGGTAGTCGGTGGTTTCGCTAGGCAATTTGCTGGCAGTCGGTAGGTGGTTTGCTGGCAGTCTGGGTCGCTGCTTGCTGGGTGCTGTTTGGAGGACGGGGAGTTGTGGCTGCTGAGTATGGTGGAGTCTATGGTGGAGGTTAGTGTTAGGGTTAGGGTTAGAGTTTGACTCTAATACCAAATTGAAATAGTTGTAAGTGACAAAGGATACAAACTAAGTGTAGAGCCCTGATATATATAGCTAATAAAAGTCATAATAAGGATAAAAGGGTTAAAAAAAAAAAAAAACTCTAATAAACCCTAATAAACTAGGCTGCTATAACTCTAACAAGTTGTATCCTCCACACTAAAAGATTCAACAAAACGAATAGGTAGGTATGATAAACAGAGTTTGTCTACTTCAAAAAATATTGTTTTTCTGCAAAAGAAGCGGAGTTTAGCATTTTGGCGTTGTTAAACTAACCAGCTCTAAAAGGAGCATCTGTTTGAAAAAGGATTTGGTGGAACAAAGGTACTCTAGATTGCTAATGGGAGAAACAATGGACTTTTGAGCTCTCCTCCTTAAAAAGTGAGCAGGCGCAAAAGTAGATGCATGCATGTCTATGTGTCTGTGGAGGCTAGATGGACAGATTAACAATCATCAAAAAATTATGATGTTCTTGCTTATGGACCTTTTCCTTCCAAAAAAATATTAAGGTCTTGCAGCTCTACCTAAAGAGGGATGCATTGCAGAATATCAAATTCCCAGATTAAACTCCAAATCAGATTTCAACAATGTTTAACAATGAATGGCTCGAAATCCACAAGCTATGGTATTCAAAATTATACCGAATGTGAAAAAAGTTGAAGTTTAAAACCATAATGATCATGAATGAAAGTGCATTCTTGGAAACTGGATCTCCCCAATTATAATGAGAAAAAAATTTAACTCCCTTGTTGTATATATTGCAAGCTTTTCACCTGGGTCCCAAGCAAGTTACTCTGGCTTGATGTCTTATCATAGAATATTTTGGGTTATGAGATGGTGATTCATGGAGGATATGGAAGCATGAGAGGAGGTGGTTGTCCAATGAGAATAAATTTCCCTATGCTTAAGATCGTTTTATAACCATAGCTCATCGGGGGTGGTTTAGTATTTTTTCTGCGTGCAGGGTTTCATATTTTCTCTTGTTCTTTTTTTTTTTGTTTTGTAGGAATATTGTAGAGTAGTAGACACTCCTGTTGTATTGTATGTCTTTTGGGGCATAGGCATGAGGCATAAGGCAAACCGAGACGTGTTGTAGATAATATGTAAATATTATGAGTTATGCTGTAATACAACTAAATATAACAAACACACTTCAAAATATTTCCAGCATATACAGCATGTAGAGTTTATCTCAACAACAAATATCTTTTATGGTTTTTTAAAAAATCAAATTGCATGCTAGTATGATAGATAGAACTCAATTTAGCTAATTTCATAGAATAGATCAAATCAAGTTAAGATTCCTAGCAAAGTTAATCAACTTTTCGCATCAAATAAGTAATATATTTAAATAGTATTTTGTTCTATAAAATATTTTAATTATATTTGTAATTAAATTGAATAATAAATTATGTGTCAATTGTCAAGTAATTAATTCTTATTTTAATTATTTTTAAACTTAATTATTGATCTATTCTATTCTTCTTTGATTACCTAATTTGTAATTTTTAGGTATCTCCTTGTCTTCTTTAGACATTTCATCTTTTGTTTATAATGGAGCTTTATTATAATTTGTAAGGTTGTCATTCTTGAGTATTTGTATATTTAATTATATTATAGATTTATTATTATTATTTTTTTGTCAAAGAGATTGATTAAATGATAAGATTATTGTGTGTATTATAATATTATGATATTATTGCATACAAAAAAATCAAATAGGACATATATTTGGCTGTGCATTTCAATCTGGCAATTACTTATACATAATAATAGAATGTAAGATTGGATTTTACTTGTTCATATGAATATAGATATAGATATAGAAAATTATATGTAAGTGCACTGCTAATAAATGAGTTCAATAGAATTTAGGTCTATGAGAACTTGAAAATCAAATAGGTTTAGAAAATAAAAATTGGATGAAATTAAATATGTGGATATAATTGACTTTATAATAATAATTAAGTATAAAAATAAAAAATCAAATTTTTTTCATGGATGTTGACATTTATAAGTAGTATAGATTAAAAAAACACTAAGAAGATTCCTAAACAAAGTAAAAACGAAGAAGAATAGGGGAGAGAGGCAGACTATAATCAAATATTCTTCAAAATCAAGCATGGTGTGCAATCAAAAACTTTATCAAACCCCACTTTTGCAGTAAAGCACTTTTTCTGGATCTGCTATAAACAAGAAATGCTCTGATCATTGAATCCTCCTTCGAATTTTTTCCAAATCATCTCGGAGCCTTAGCTTTGATACCAGTCTGTATGCACGAGACCCACAAACAGATAGGAAAACAAAATAACAAAACACAAAATACACAAATTTACTTGATTTGACTCGAAAGCTTGCGTCCACGGTCGTAGGGCAGAAGCAGAAGTTAACTATCATTGACAAAGGAAATTCTACAAAATACTCAAACTCAGAGAATGGATGCAAAGTTGGATTTCAAAACTGGAGCCAACATCTTATTTCAAAATCCTAATCTCAGACTACTAGCCTGCTGCTTATTTACAGGAACAAAAGAAAAAGATTTCTTCTACAGGAGTATCTTGGAATTTCTATTAGATGGTTATCCTATTCGATAGTGTTGTTTCCTAGAAGAGATTGGAATTAGAGCCACTATCGGTCGGACAGTTACTGTTCTTTTTTGTTCTTCTTTGCTTTGTATACATGCTGTGCGTATGGGTTACACCCACTTGGTGCTTCAATTGTTGCTTTATTTTCTTGTCGGAAAGAAATGTTTGGAAACAGTTCAAAAGTGTGCAAAGGCACACCCCTGTTATTATACCAACCACAAAGCTTTTAAGAAAAGCCGAAAATTTGCACATAAGTCCTCCACAAGACCACATAAATCTCTTACACTGTAAAAAGTAATGTTTTATAGGACAACGCCAAAAATATCCCACAAGAGCCAACCTGTGCTCAGCTGGGCAAGACTAGGACCGAAATCGGAAATGAGAAAATTACCCTTCACATAAACTTAGAAAAAAAGCCTACTACGCTGATAGATCTGGTTTGTTCTATAACTAATAAATGCAAGGATGCGTCAATTGGACAAGGGTTTTACACTGGGGGTGGCGATGGTTATTTTTTGTTCCATAGGCTGCATGAACTATATTTGTATTGCAGGTCAACTTGTATCACTTCTATTCTGTTGTTTCATATTTCACTTGTGTAATGTGTGACATTTATGTAGTATGCTTGATGGGAATTGGTTTTCTTATGAACACTCTTGTAAGATGATTGGTTTATGTCAATACTCTGGTTTCGTGAGTTTGGTCCTATATATTCATAGGTTATGGTCAAATGTGCAATTGACTTTAGATCTCTTTATTGGCTTCTCTCAGAAAATCGGGGAAGCTGAAGTAGAGAAGGAAAAGGATGTTGACTATCTTTCTTCTATAGAGGTAATTACACTAGTTATTTGACTGTTTATGATACATGTGGTCATGTTCCCTATCATTCTATTATTGATTTTGTACATTTCAACTTCCTTTTTAGTTAATGAGAGAGTTGGTATCAACAGGTTTTAATTATTGACCATGCTGATGTTATAGCAATGCAGGTACATTGTATCATTTATTTGTGTAGTTATAATTTTTTTCCATGTATATGTATGTTTGAGTCATGTCTTCTTTTGCCTGTTTTGTTTCCTTTTTTGATGGAACTATGTGCAGAATTGGTCTCATGTGAGTACAATCATTGAACAATTGAACCGGATACCATCTAAGCAACATGGAACGGATATTATGCGTATAAGACAATGGTATATTTTTAGTGTATTGTTTCTTTGGTGGTTCATCTTTTTTTTTTTGCTGTTCTACTTCCCTTCTTTCTTTTCCTGTTTTTTTTTTGGTTTTTTTATTATTTTTTTTTGTGGGGATGGGGGTTTAAAGAGAGCTTGTATCCAACATTAAATGATTAAGATCACCCTAGGTTGATTTATATGTTTAAAGGGTCTCTCCACTCCAGTCACATTGCCAATTAGTTTTGGATTGGATACTCAGAGCTAGGCTTTAGGTAGTTAGTGTGTCAAATCTCTCACTCATTTAAATTTTTCAGTATACAAGTTTGTCTATTTATTTGTTAGCCCCCATATGTGAGCCCAGATCCCATGTGGTCGTATCCTGTGTTGAATGATTAGGATCACCCAAGGTTGGTTTATATATATGACTATTTGAGGGTACTCTTCACACACTGCCAATTGGTTTGGGATTGGATGTTCTAAAATGGGGGTGTTTGCACTTGGGTTTTTACAATATATTCTTTATTGAGTGTTGTAGACTTCTAATGGATGTTCTAGCTATGATTTCTAAACCATGTGCTTCTTGATGGAAATTTGTTTTAATGAAGTTTTATTGCATTCTAATTATTCTTTCTATTGACTTAACATTTATACAATTGTCTTCATGACTAGGTACTTGGATGGACAAGCGCAGTTCTATCGTCAAACAATAATTTTAGGATCGCATGTAAACCCAGGTGATGAGTTAGAAAGTTGAATAATGGAAATGTTCTACTCCCTGTTGTAATTGCTCACTAAGTCGTAGAAATAGATGCACATGAGGATATTACGTTTGTAGGAGCAGTTTGGAGCTGTGACTTCCGAAATTCCCTTTTGACATAGGTGCAACTTAAAACCGACAATGAAAATGCATGACTCGAGTAAAAATTTGATTTTGCCCACAAGTTTTAAATCTGTTTCCTGGGATAAAAATGACTGGGTGTTATGTTTTTTTTTTTCAATTAGTATAATTTCTGTGCAATCCATAACATGCATTATTGCTCTTCATGCTGATTGAAAATAAACCCTTAAGTCCCCTTTTACCAACATTACAAGAATTCGATTGAGTTTAACTTCTTTGTTTTTTCTTTCTTGTCCCAGACATCAACGCGTTGTTCAATCATCATTGCGTTAACTACCAGGGAAAGGTGCACCAACTTTCTTCATTACATTTCACTTACTATGTGGATCTACCTAAGTTTTGTGAGGCATTGTTGATACTGAATTTGAAGTTAGACAATTTTCAGAGTTCCTTAAAAGTTGTGCATTAGTATTTAACGTTATATTCTACTTCAGCCAAGCCATAATTAACAGTGTCTTCTCTTCCTTTATAGTTTGTCTTATGCAGCATTCATTAGATGTTTTTTTTATAGTTAAGCTTTATGCTCCAAGATGGGGAAGAAAATTTTATATAGTTCTGCCACTTTGTCTATTTTTATTTATGTTGTCTTTATTAATTAATAATTGTGTCTCTAAACCTAAATTTAAATGATTGGAAATTTGGAAGTTCATATCCAGAACACCGGTACATGTTTATGTGATCTTCTTTCATAGGATGGGTTATGCGATATGCTTTTATGTTTTGACCTCTGGGATATTTTGGATGTTATTTCTCAGGTGAAGTTGGTATGTGCGTATAAAGGTGTTCTTCCCAAAGTATTACTTCCAGTGCGACAGGTATGCATGCCTAACTTCTTGTGTTAAACTAAATGGGGTTGATAGCAAATGCATTATTGAGAAACTGAATTGTACTATTTATGACGACATCAAAATCTTGGTTGATGCTTCCTGAAAAAGTCATGCACTGGTGCTTAATTTTTTTTGTCATAATTACGAGCCTTCACATTTTCATCATCTTTGACTCGGTCAGATCATTATTTACTGTGGCTTTCTCAACGTGTTTTGCCTCATTGTTGACACGGTAGATTTGGTATATCTAAGTAGACCATTCAGATATTCTTGCATGCTTATGTATATGTGCTATTGACTATTACAGGTTTATGAGCGTTTTGATGCAGAATCAATAGTAGATGCCGACAATGCTCGTTTTGAATATTTTACAAAGAAGGTTTGTTTAAAATTGTCTCTTGTGGATGTAATGCATATGATGCTTCTTCGGAAAGAATTTTTACAGTCTGCTCCTGTTGAAACCCTGTATTTTTTATAGTTATTCCTCAGGAACTATGGTAGGTCTGATTGGACGATTATATATATATATATATAATAGGTCCTTCAAATTTATTTTGTGAGATTATCTTTTGATAACAAAAGTCACATGAAATCAGAAAGAAAAGAATATGCTGAAAAATAACATATTAGATTTAGACTATGCATTCCAAATAATTGTTTCTCTTTGGTGCTCTCTGAAGTGGGGGTGTGGAATTGCCAGAAGTTCAAGATTGATGCTTTTCTCATAGCAGTGTCAAGGTTTTAGTTCTTCAATTTGTGCGAAATTTTCACAAAGGAATTACTCATTATTCAGGGAAATCTATGGAATTAAAAAGGAGGTGTTTAAATCAATTTGGCTTTCAAATTATTGTAGTTGTGTTATGCAGTGGTTACGTGGTTTGTTTGAAGTAGAGTTTTATGGCATGAATAATGATTGTAATTATTCTATTTCCAAAGACTAGCATAAACACTAGACACTAGGCGAACTCTCAATTTTAACCGTTTTCAGGTCAGGTAGATGTCCCCACACATGCATGTGCTTGCACTTTTTGTCACATATCCTGAAGGTATCGAATCTTCTAGGTTATAATGGACTCTAGAATCTCATGCCCCTTTTACGTATATAATAATCAAATACAAAAAAACATAGTATTGATGCTAAAAATGTATATCATTTTATAAAATGGGAGTCGAGGGTCACCAATGTTACATGGATCATGGGTATATTTAGTATGTTGTATTGTACTGTGTACCCGTCCTTCGTACCAAATCGTCTCGTGATTGAGATTAGTCTACCTTGACTCTCATTTTTATAAACTTGATTTACGTCTTAGTACGTAATGTCCTTTGATATTTAGTGACTATATACTTGTACAGGATGAGAGTTTGGGGTCCATCTGGCCTAGAAGGGTGGATTCAAAATATTTTTTGGATAGTGTGTGACACATTTAACTTGTTAATGTGGAGGAAAATCAAAAAAAGAAGCAGGGTCCCTTTTGCCATAGTGATCAGGCATTTTTAAAACAAAGAATGAACCTGAATCATTAAGCCACTACAGCTATTTGGGGTATGATTTAGAGGGGAAGTGTTCGTGGTTAAGGCGATTACTTAACCTCAACTCTCTTTGAATTGAAGCAAAATTTTGTGGGAGCCTAGTTGCCTGTGGGATAGGGGCTCACTGTGAATCCCTTTTGAAAATGTTGTTGGATGACACCAACCTTGTTATGGAAGAGTTTAAATTCCAGAGTGGAGTAAACCTATTGTGTTCAGCTTGTTCCAGATGTTGAAATATATTTTCCTGTTGCATCCCTGGTAAAACGTGTAATTTGTTTCAAGAATGGCATATCCAATGAAGACCACATGTCAGGGGAAGTGTTTTTGTGGATACCTTATCCCTCCCTGATTACTTCTCAGTCGATTGCTTTAGCGTTTTGTCCCCATCTTTATTGCACCCTGAACACCCAATCAATCTTTCCTCGATTGACACCTGACAGCCCCGAGTTCTACCCGTTCATCCCCAGATATCGATATGTCACACAAGTCACTCTCTCCTGTTCTCGATGATGACTAAAAGCAGTTTCTTAGTCGGTTGTGCCAAGCTTAAACAAAAAAGGTAAGCCAATTTGATTCCTGTGCCAACTTGTTGGAGGAGTTCACATTTCATGTGTCAATCTATACAGTGGTGAACTTCATTACCAGTAGCTGTTGCATATAATAAGAAGCTGGGCTACAAAGAACAGAGGCACTCTTTTTCACCCTTCTTACCTATATATAATTCCTCACATGGAATTGTCATGGTCAGACCACCCCAAGTGACTGGGTGTATGATCATATAGTTATCCTTGCTTTGCTATTGCTTTAGTAAAGATTTGGGATGTGACATTAGCAGTTGATTATTATTGCAGGTTTTCCCAAAGATAAAAGATTCTATTCAGGTAACTATACTTTCTTTGAGACCTAAAGAATGACAAGTTATATGCCTAAGCTTTCACTAATGAATTTTGTGGAAGTTCTTATGCACTAAGCATTACATGCAGGGTGGGATTATGCTATTTATTAGTTCATACTTTGAATTCGTACGAGTTCGAAATTTTTTGAAGTCGCAGGACGCATCCTTCTGTCTGCTTGGGGAGTAAGAAACAGCCATTTCACTTTTACTTTCAGCTTGTGTTGAATTGTTTTACATATTCGTTTGATAACCATTGGTTGCGATTTCATAGTATTCGATTGATCATTCTGTCATTTCCCGTTTACATGACTAGGTACACAAAACAGAGTGATATTTCTCGTGGACGAGTTTGGTTTTTCCAAGGAAGGCGGAAAATCATGCTTTATACTGAGAGAGCTCATTTCTACCACAGATACAAGGTTCTTTCATTTTCCTTTCTTCATTGCTCTCTCTCTCTCTCTATCTCTACATGGAAAAGGTTCGTAAAGGGTTATGCATGTGCCTTTTCATATGAGTTTGTGGTGAAGAATTCCTAGAATGTATTAACCTGACCTGGTTATTAAACGGGTTACCCGAACTCGACCTGTTTGACACGTTTAATAAACGGGTCGTTTTCGGGATAACACACATAACATAATCTGTTTAACTTTTTTAACATACATAACACATAAATGTTTAACACACATAACTTGTTTCCACACATGTTCATTACTATTAAATACATCATTCAATCATTCATCCAAAATTTATAGTTTTTTTATAAATAACATATCACATCTCATCAATGAAATTAACTAAAATGTATTTAAGTTTCAACCTAAAAATTAAAGCAAGAACTATACTAGTATACTGTAATAATAATAATGTTAATAACTATATTGTCAATTATCATAGTTAGTTCTGTCAAAGTTCGACACGACACGATTAACCGACACGAATTAAGTGGGTTTGGGTGAGATCTTAACGGGTTAGGGTGGTAAACGGATTGACCTGTCGGACACGTTTAATAAACTGGTCGTGTTCGGGTGAGACCTGTCAACCAGTTTATCATCCGTTTACCTATTTAAATAAATTTATATAATAATAAATTAATAATGAAGTTTGGTAGAGAAAAGAAAAGGAAGAGGGAATGTGTGTAACATTAAATCTTCAATGAAGTTTGGTAAGAACTTCAACCTATAGTTTGTACATCTGTGGCTTGCAGATTACAGGAAACTTGTTTTGTTTGCCCTTTAGGCTGCAGTAATACTCAAGATTCACAACTCACAGAGTGCTTACAGGTGTATAGAAACAAAATGGTGATTGTACTTTCCAAAAAAGTTGAAAAAGGGAAATGTCTACTAACCGAACTGACATTCCAATTTGTATAAAAAATTAAAATTTGATTTATATTCAATTAGAGCATCCCTAAAACCTCATTGCAGAAATGAAAATTGTAACATTTGATCTAAATATGTTATGTCCATTCCCTCCTTGACATTTTTATGCCCACAAGCATAATAGGTTGAGCCTCAAAGCTTAAGGTATTGAATTGTCTAGTCTTTAGTCCCACATCGACATAGGAGTAGAGAGGGGGGACTTTAGTTGCCTATAAAAAAGGTAGTGGGCCTTCTTATTTTTAGCTAATCTTTGTGATTTGGCTTTCATGTGGGCTGATGGTTGGAAGAAAGAAGCAAAGAAATGGAGTTTAAAAATTTGTTAAAATAATATTTTTTTGTTATTTTTAAACGGGTTAAATGAGTCATGTCATGTTACCCGTTTATTAAATGAGTCATGTTCGTATTGAAATTTTTTACCCGTTTATAAATCGTGTCGTGTACGGGTTTACATGTTTTTTATCCGTCACATGTTTAACCCGACACATAACCGTTTAACCCAACACGTTTGACACCCCTAATCATAGTAGAAATAAGAACTAATAAGTAATAATGTTAAGACCACATCAGTCATACATAATAGACAAACTATACTGCCATAAACGGGTCTACAATGAGTTAAGTCGGATTTATGTCCTAATTTTGACAAGAACATGTTTAATCGTGTTGACTCGTTTTAACCAATTAACTTGTTTAATTTCGTGTTCGGTTCGTGTTGTGCCGTGTCAAAAATTGACAGCTTATCTCTAGGAATAGGGCGAATTGCACTTTTCATCCTGAAAGATTTAAGGATTCTCATGTTGCACCCTTGAAGGTAAAATTTTTCATATTGTTCCCTCGGTGTATCAAAAGTGTTGCAATGTGACTCTTCTCTTAACTTCCGTTATTTTTCTGTCACCCTATTGACACTGACGGAAAAAATAGTGGAATATAACAGGAGGATCACTTTGTAACAGTTTTGATATATTGAGAGTGCAATATAGAAAATATAATATTTGAGGATGTAAAGTGAGATTTCTTAAATTTTTTAGGGTACAAAGTGTTTTTCTCCCACAGACAAAAAAAGAAGAGAAGAGAAGAGAAGAGAAAAAAGAGAAGGTAACAAAGAAAGGAAAAAACATGAATAGAAATGGCAAAAGCCTGGGATATCATTCCATTTGCGCAAGTAATAAGAGGTTCCATGTTAATAACACAATCGATTCTTAGAAAATATATTATTTTACCTTTATTGTTGGTAGCTAAAAATATGGGTTGTATGTTATTATTACAACTTCTTGGATGGTCTAAGGATTTACTGGAATGGAATAGAGAAATGCATGTTAAACGGACATATAATGGTGTTCGATTATTAGAAACCGAATCTCCAAAAAATTGGTTAATAGACAGTATTCATATAAAAATTCTATTTTCTTTATGTCTGAAACTTTGCCACAAAATTAAGCTGCAAACCTCTCATAGAGATCTAATGAAAAAAATAGAACAAAAAAGATATTTGTTTTTTAATGGTTTGGGGAATGGAAGTTGAACTTCCCTTTGGTTCTCCTCGAAAAAAGACATTTTTTTGAGCCCATTTTTAAAGAACTCGAAAAAAAATTTAGAAAATTGAAAAAGAAGTATTTTTCTAGTTTTAAAGGGAAGATCAAACTTTTTTCTAACAATCTCAAAAGAAACAAAAAATTGGGTCACCAAAATTGTTCTATTTATAAAAAAAAATAAGAAAAACACTTTCAAAAGTAAATCAAAATATGATATTTAGATTGAGAGAAGTATATGAATTAAGTGAAACTAGAAAGGAAAAAGATTCTATAATCAACAATCAGATAATTCATGAATTGTTTAATCAAGGATCAAAATATAATTTCGAAACGTCCAAAACGTTTCCGTTTCCAAGGAGATCGAAACGAATTAGTGATGGAATCGAAATTCTAACATTTCGAGATGTTCCATAATATTTGAAAATGTTTTTATATTTCAATGTATTTGCACAATTATTTTAGAATATTTTAAAGTTTTTTAAGATATTTTGATATATTTTGAGCAATGTTTTAATAAAATAATTCTTAATTTTTTTTTAATTTTTTTCATTTTGTTTCCGAAACGGGTCGAGACGTTTCTGAAACACATCGAAATATTTTTCATTTCCTAGGTGACTGAACACTGAAACGAAATTTTGATCCTTATGGTTAATCAAATTAGATCTATAGATTAGACAAATTATTCTTGAAAAAAAATTGAAGGATATGATTTGATAGAACACGCACAATTAGAAATCAAATAGAAAAAATTACAAAGTGCGAAAGAAAAAGTAACTCCAGGATTAAATATTAGTTCTAACAAAACAATTTATAATGCCAAAAAACTAGAATCACTAAAAATATTTGGCAAATATTAAACAGAAGAAATGCTCGATTAATCAGTAAATTACATTATTTTATAAAAATTCACCGGAAGAATCTAAATCAATATACACATTTTTTTGTATCAACAAAAGAAAATGATTGATAAATGCATTTACACTAATGAAATAAATCAAAGAAAAATTAATAAAGCAAATCAACATACATCACTTTATTTCAACTATAAAAAAGTCGCTTTATAATATTAGTAATAGTAAAAGGAATTCTCCTATTTTTTGTGACTTTAATACTCCTTATCACAAGCATATGTATTTTACAAATAATCCCAAACCTTAGTTATTAACTTGGATAAATTAAAATATGTTCTTCAATATCACTAGACATCTTTTTTTCTCAAGATTGGGATAAAGGATTCTATAGGAACACAAGCAATAATTCATTCTAAATTAAGATATAAGAAATTTTGGAGTTATAGAGAGAATCAATGGAAAAACTGGTCAAGAGGTCATTATCTAGATTAATCTTACAAAAATAGCGAAATAGAGTCAATCAATGTCATACAGCTCAAAATAAAGATTTAAAGAAATGAAATTCATATGAAAAATACCAATTACTTCATTACAAAAAACAAAAGATTTTGAAGTATATTCATTATTGAATTAAAAAGGAAATCTTGGATTCCTTCTCTCAAACTAATAAATAAATATGATATTATTTATTATATTTATGGATCACCATTACAAGTAAATACGAATTAAAAGATTTCTTTCAATTAATACACACCTAAAGGCAAATTATTTGATAAATGGGGGAGGGGGTATTCCTATTAATAATTATCTAGGAAGAGGTGATATTATGTATATAGAAAAAAATCCAGATATAAAATATTTTGACTGAGATTTTTTTAAGTTTTGTCTTAGAAAAAAAGTCAATATTGAGGCATGGATCAAGATCAATTCCAACAGTAATAAAAAAACTAAGATTGAAACTAATAATTACCCAATAATTGATAAGAAGGTCTTTTTTATCTTACAATTCATCAAGTTATGTAAATCAATCCTCCCAATCATTAAAAAAAAAGTTGTTTTGATTGGGAATGGGAATGAATGAAGAAATATTAATCTGGAACTTTGGTTCTTCCTCGAATTTGTGCTACTTTATAATGCATATAAAATGAAACTGTGGATTATGCCAAGAAAATTACTCCTTTTAAATTTGAATATTAATGAAAATGTTAGTGAAAATAAAAATGTCAATAGAAAGGTGAAAGAAATTTTTTTTATACCATTGAATGAAAGAAAAAAATATTTTGAATTAAAGAATAGAAATCAAGAAGAAAAAGACCCGCGGATCAACAAGATCTTGTGGTTCAGATGCACAAAACTGAAAAGATCTTGGATTCCTTCTCTCAAACCAACAAAAAGATGTTGAAGAAGATTATGCATGATCTGACATGAACAAACGTAAAGCAGAAAAACAATACAAGAGCAACACAGATGCAAAACTAATTTATTCATGAAATGATATTTGCTTTTTCAATTGAGATAGGACGATGCTTTGAAACAAAGAATGATCAATAATATTAACATATATTGTCTCCGGCATAGATTGAGAAACCTAAGAAAAATTACTATATCCTCTATTCGAATAAGAGAAATGAGTTTGAATATAATGTTGATTTAGAAGAATTTACCTTTTACAGAATTGACAAAAAAAGGGTATCGATTATCGAATTGGTTCTCTGTAAAAAAATGGACAATTTATTATGTATCAAATCACAGATATTTCATTGGTTTATAAGAGTAAACACCAAATTAATCAAAGATATCAAGAACGAAGATATGTTGATAAGAACATTTGTGATGAATCTATTTCAAAACATCAAAGAATGATTGGAAATAGAGATAAAAATCATTCAAATTTACTTGTTCTTAAAAATATTTTATCATCTAGATGTTGTAGAGAATTGAGAATTTTAATTTGTTTCAATTCAACAAATAGAAATGATGTGAAATAGAAATCCGGTATTTTGTAATGAGAACAACGAAAAAAACTAGTTAATTTTTGGATGAAAGTAAACATTCCGATGTTGATAAAAATGAAATAATTCAATTGAAGATCTTTCTTTGGCCGAATTATCGATTAGAAGATTTAGCTTGTAAGAACTAAATTTTTTTGGCTAAATGGAAGTTTGCTTTGTTGTGCATGTTCTATCTAACAAGAAAGCTTTTATATTAGAGAGGCCCTATAATGTGATTTGTTGTATGGATTATGAGCTTATAGTACTTCTTCAGTTAGTTGTGTATTAGATGCATTAAAATAATTTATGTTGCTATTCGTTTGTTTTATATAGATTCGTGGTATTCAGAATTTAATCATCTATTCTCTCCCAGAAAGGAAAGAATTTTACCCCGAGGTAAATCATTATCTTCATGAATATTATTACTCGCGTTTATTTGCTCAAAGATCCAGTTGAATAATTGTTGCTTCAGATATTTATGTCTAGTACGAAACCTTGATCTTGTATTTCATTGCAGATTGTTAATATGCTTGAGGGGTCCCATAGCATGATTTGCACCGTTCTATTTTCTCGTTTTGACCAGTTCCGGGTAACATTCTATACTGTTCTCTATTAGCTTATAAATATGTGGGTTGAATGTGATGCATGGATGCAGGCATATCGTCGATATAGACAAAATAGGTAGGGAAGCACTAACTGAAGGTGGTACTGGTGCTATGTCGATGGTTGGATGGGATAGAGTGGTGTTGGGGGAGTGTTGAGCAAGTGTACTCTTAGGAGAAAATATAGCTGAGCGAGCTTTAAAAGTTGTTATATATATTCTATTAGTGGATGTTCAGTTATGATTATTCTGGTGCTTCGGGATAAAAGGAGAACTAAGGATTGTGTTAAATAGCAGAAAGAAAAGGAGGTTTGGGTGTTTAGGGAAATCAAAGATTGTGTCACTCATTTTCCTCACTAAATCCTCCCTCTTTTCGGGTAAAAATAAAACTGGTTTTTGAGGACAAGGACCCTGAACTTTCACAGTCTCTCCTTTTCTTTCTGTCCTAATCTTACCATCCAAATGACATATTTTGCGTTCATACTAACTACTAACTATATATTTGTGTCACAGCTGGAGAGGGTAGTTGGAACTGCCCCGGCGAAGAGGATGGTATCATCAGAGAAGGGTGTCTTTGTTTTCTGTTAGAAAACTTTAGGCAGGCTCTTGAAGCTGACAGAGCATGGCTATAGATGACAATCAGGAAATATAAGAGAAATCACTATGGGAGCCACTGTTCGGAACACAAGTGGAAACTTGAATTCTATGTCTGCTGTTTACTTTGCATTGTCAATTGGATGCGTGAACATGAAGAAAACCCGCCTCAGGGAAAAGAATGATGGCGGCAGAATTCCCAAGTGACATTTGAGAATCATTTTTTTGCTTTAGGCAAGTATATTTAAAGCTTCCATCAGAGTGAATTTGTTTCCTGGTAGATGGCCGTTGTTGAGTCTGTTTGGTTTAGCTTCTAGCGGAGTTGATATTTTTTCCTTTTTCCTTTTCCCTTGTAAGTTAATCTTTAACTGATACCTGGAAGCCTTCTGCATCATCATACTCTTTATTTTTTTAGTTCTCACTCGGTTGTTTGAACAACATTGGTTTCTTTGCATTTTGGGTGGTGGTTCTCTAATATGGCAGAAATGTCTGTTAACTTATAACTGTAAGATATAAACAATGTTGGGAATCGGCCACTGAGAGACTCTTGTTTGTTTATTAGGTCAAAACAGTCGACTGATTCATTAGTGGATGGTTAATGCTTGAAAAAGAAGAGTATACTGTGTAGAACTTTTTCATCCTTTTCACCTCCTGTTCACCAATGTCTGTGCATTAAGTTGGAGAATTTTTCACTTATGCTTTGTTTATTATGATGGAAAAATAGAAAGATGAAAAACACGTATGGATATTATCCATATATTAAGTTGAATATGGAGTATTTTTCTAAAATAGTTGTTAGCAATGCCAAACATAAGATACTTATTTAAAGAATTCTCAGGCATCCACTGTAGGGGTCGTCAATGTTTTAAAGGAGAGTGAATTCATATTGATTCTGCAAGCATAGATGCCAGTAAGCTTGGTTCAGATTGTTCGACTCTTTTTTGCCAGTGTTTTGGGTATAGAACCTCAAATTATTCAGTATTCAGTATAGGCTTCCCTTGGGAAGTGGCTACATTACATTTGGTAAGTGATTATGTTTTTACAAGAGCAGTCGGATGTAAACAAAGGCTTAGGACAACTTTTTCAAATGAGGCCTCTCTGAATGGTGTCTGGAAATGGGAACCTATTTAAAGATCTAGAATTTTAAATCTATCAAATGAATCTAGATTGGTTAAAAGGCAAGTAATGGAATATACACCAAATGATGCAAATCCAAAAAAAAACCTCAAACAAAACATATCCCACTATCATAATCTCCAAACAAATCTTTGTATATAGGTATACATACGACATGAATATGGTTAACAAATTTAAAAACCCAATTTGAATTTCATGACGTTTTGAATAGAACCATAGAAATATAAAATGTTTGGATCGGTAATACCAATTATAAGTATAACACCTTTGATACAATATTCTTTATAATAGAACTAATTTTCAGGTTTTAGTTCTATAAACTCAGATTAGCTTTATGGAATCGAAATGAAAATAGTGGCTACAACATCAGTTGAATGCATTTGTTCCCATAAGATTTGACATTAGATAATGTTGGTATATCTTACAACTTTGAATTTTGTAAAGTTTCATCATTTGGAAGGAATGGTACTAAGAGAACCTTTTCAACTAGCTGCAATTATTAAAAAATTGTGTGCCATTTTGAAAAGATTTATAAGAATTGTTTGAATCAAAAAATGCAAAGGGATGAAATTTAAAGACTTGATCGTGAGATTAAAAATTAAAAAAATAATAGCGTATCTGAAAAGATGGTTGAAAATCATTGCATGGAGCCTAAGATACATGTGGTGGAAGAAGGATAGAAACCCTACTACAGAAGAGGAAGCATAATAGCGAAGGTCCTAATCAGATGCCAAAGACAGTAGTTCTAAAAGGTTAAAAAAATAACTATTTTGTGTACAACAAATCGGAGCACCTTGCGAAGGATCCTCACAACTCAAGAGACAAGAAAACCTTAAGAAGAAAGCTGCACAAGCTTTGACTGATATAACGCAGAGTAAGTTTCCATTCTTGATTGACACAATTTTTTATATTTTTGGATATTAATGAGATAGCAACAACCATAACAAACAACTTCTTCAAGACCAATTTGCTAAATTTAGCAACTTGTGAACCTTTGCGCTAGCATTTCACCTCTTGGTTAATCCCTAAATTTACATTTTCCTCTGGCACATTTGAAGTGCTAATCACAGATTTGTAGTCTTTGGTTCCAAAGAATTCCATAAGCGAACATGTAGCTTCTGTGAACTGTTTACATTACCATTCTGTTTTTTTTTTTTTTTGGTCATCACCATTCTGTTTGGTAGCAAAGAAAATGGAGGAAAAGAATTTTCCTTTGCACTATGAGATACCAAACAACCCAACTTGAACAAGAAAGTAGAGTTAAATTTGTAGTTACAAGTTAAATTTGTAATTTACATGGAGTCCCTTACCAAACTACCTAATTTGTAAATAACTTACCAAATTATCTAACAAAAAAACCAGAAACTAAATTCCAGTCCTACCTGCACTCTGTGGCCACTTGCTGTTCTCCCATTGCTTGACCAAGTTACTATATCCTTCAGCTGAACCATTGGCAAACTCTGTCAATGAACTCATAGCTACAGACATTCCAGCACAAAGCACCCTGATGGCAACCTCAGCCATTTTCTCTACAGTCACTATTTCCTCCTCCAACTTCCCAACCTCCATCAACTCCATGTTGCCACCCGATTCTGCTGGAAAACCCCCTCCGAACCTCTTTGAACCAATCGGTGTCCGACGAGAATCTTCCCTTAGTTGTTGTGCATATAAAGAACCAACACCAGCTGCGAAAAAATCTAGTCCATCGAGCACTGGGACCTCACTGATGGCATCAAGTAACCTAGACCATTGGATGCATAGACTGAATATCGGTGGGGCCCCAATGGACCGGCGAGGAGAGAATGGCAATTTTGATGTGTCAGGATCCGAACGGACACAGCGTAGGAGCCAACCTGTTAATGCATGAACATATGATCGTTGAGAAGTGATCCATGACTCAAATGAGGCTCTCCAATTGCGAAGCTCTGTCTCAAGGTTGGCAGCTGAACGAACTAGCCGGTGTGGCTCAGAAGGTGACATTATAGTGTATGTCTTTTTTGCAGAGAGTTTTGAAGGCATGCCAGCAAGTAAGAGCTTGGCTTCATCTAAAGTACACTTCTGGGCTTGATGACATTCTGCCATAACCTTCCACATCCTTGCTAACCTGTTCAGCGTATACAGAACAGATTATGTTTTTAGAAGCGGTTAACAGTATACACATTTTGAAATGTTTACTGTTTGGAAAATATATTCATAGCTTTAGCTTTGATGTTCAAATTAATCTGATGGCCACACAGGTCCCACCCCACAAGAAAGGACAATTTGAAATGGATGGCAAATGAGCCGCAAGAGTATCAGGGCTTCGCTTAATATGTGGGAACAATATTTATGGAATGGAATAAACTGGGATGTTAGTGACATACCCTTGTATCAGTTCAAAGAGCTGAGGCTGAAGTTCTTCATCCCTTAAAGTTTCAATCCTTTTTGAAACAGCTTTGACTGAATGTATTGAAACTTTAATCTGGGTGTGTAGATCTCTGATAGCTGCCCTTGCTTTATCTACTGAGGAAGGGTCCTCTCCTGTCACATCTAGGTTCCTCATGTGGGCACATTTCTTCTCATATGCTATCCGGACACGTTCACCAGCCTGTTTAAGTAACAATTACCAAGGATTATTTTACCCTCATCAGCCCAAACATTTGCATATATAGTACTATGTCAGAATATAATAGCCGACAATCACAATGAAAACTGATATAAGACCACTACTATTTAATTCTTATGTCCATATAAACTGAAAAAGAGCTGATCAGAGACCCTGAGAATTTGTGTGAAAACCAGAGGATAGTAGAATTAATTAAGTGCCATTCACAAGGCATTCATTTAGGAGGTTTTGCAGGTTGAACCCTTCTTTGGACTGCTAACAAAGTAATTTGTGCTCTTTAGGTACTCCAATCCCCGTCCTGGCCTACACCCCGGACCAATTTTGCATGAGGAAGCAGCTTTATTGGAGGACAGCTTCTTGACGTGAAAAGTTTGAACGGACACATAGATCATGCTAATTTTCTTGTGACTTCAAGTAACCTCATGATGTTCAAAATGAACTGTAGCTCAGCTAGTATGCAGGGCGCCATAGATTGATCTCAAGTTAAGGCTGGAATGTACGCTAGCAGTGGTAAGACTAGAACCAAGTTCTCGAGTGGTAAAAAAGATGAATAAACAAATTGATGATTTTTGAGTTGGGGGAAAAGAGGTTTTGTCATTCCTTACAGTCACTTCACTCTTTCTTAGGACTGCTCGCCCTCAATATAAATATGAATATTTATGTGTATCAAACTTCTAAAATAGGTTAGCGCATTGACACTTCCTAGATTCAAGTTGCTCAGAGGTTGCAGATACATACCCTGACTTCCTGGTAAAGTTTTTTCTCCCAAGCATATAATCTGTCCAGTGTTGATTGGTGACTACATGAAAGCATACAAGAATCTTCAGAGAAGCTGCTACTGCTTTCATAGCCTTCGTCTCTTGAAACTGAAGAGTTTATTAGGAATCTCGATGATGATGAACGAGATGAAGCTGAGCGCAGCAAAGCTACTGGATTCAACATTTTCACAGCTGCAAAAGCAAATAAGTAAACAACTAACATCCAAATGTTACAAAAGTATTGACTAAAATGTCAGAAATGATAAATGTTAAGGAATTAAAAAGAAAAATAAAAAGGTATTTTGAACAGTTTTTTGATTTTACCACCGAAGGCTTTGTTCGTGAGACAGTTATGATGCATTACCTATATTGAAGCTTATATCGACCTCATATTGCAATTGTTTTTTTTGGAAAGTATCATATTGCAATTTTGTCTGTAAAAAATGTAATATTCATGGTCATATATAAGAATTCAAAGAGAGAGTACACAAATCTGGGATCTAGTCTAAAAACCACAAATTGAACTATTTTTACATCAATAAATTTTGATCCACACTCAATGCGTGCCATCAAGATGTTATATCATAACCTTAGTTCCTTGCTCTTAGATCATGTATACTTGAAAGCAGTTCTAAGACCCCATAGCTTTTTCATCATGTTTGGAATAAAAAATCAAACAAATTATGGTACTTCTATTTCCCTAGAAAATTCTTACTTCATGGATTAGTGAAGCATTTCAACTGGGTCTGATTACCCATAATGCTCTACTTTTTTTTTTTTTTTTTTAAGTGGTAAAAAAGTCCCTTATCAAAACCTGTATATGCAGTCTCATATTGTCTTAACCACGACATTTTCGATGTGGTAAGCAATAGTTCTATCTACTATAAAATCATTCTCCATATCAATATCAATCTGGTTTTAGATCTAGTAAGCTTCTCCCAGATGCAAATGACAAATGACAAATGACTCGACAATTTAAACTAAAAACATCATTCTCCCAAGAAGTTGTAGCCACATCCAATTTAGTGTGGATTTGTTCAAAACTCCAGTAATAAGTGATATAAAAATGCACTTTTTATATTTGAATTCAATAGGTATGGATGCAAATATAACTACAGAGACAGAGCTATTTGGCTTGCGTTATCGAACCTGAGAGTTCAGTTGATGTTGATGTGTACTGAGCCCTGCTAGCCTCTAACATAGCAGATACCTCATCTGCTGATTTACAAACAATTGCAAACTGAGCTTCCAGATCCTTGATTACTTCAGCCATGCTTGTTGGCCTCCGTTTTACATAAACTGTAAACCCTGGTGTTTCCTCATTAGCTTGTCGATCACCAACTGCTGTTTCTTGATTGCTGACTTGTGCAATTTTTTGTGCATTGGATACTTCCATGCTCTGACTGCCATGGCATTGGAATCCTTTCACTTCATGCTCAGTATCATTTCCACTATCTGCATCTTCACAGCCATCCTCATCGTCATCATCATCGTCATCAACATCTTCAACAGTAACTTCTTCTCTAGTGCAATTTACTTCAACTTTAGCTCTGCCCTCTGTCCTATTTACTCTATTGTCAGTCTCTTCTTGTTCAGTTTCTTCTTCTAATTCGGGAATCCCTTCTTCTTCTCTAACCTGCCTTAGCCCATTGATCTCATCATCCAAAATAGTCTGATCCATACTGCTCCTGTTGGGATAGCCATAATAATCTAATGATGAAAATGGGTTCCAGAAGAAATCCCATTGTGAAGTTTGAGGGGAAGAGGGAGGAAAGTTGGGTCTATTGTTAGGGGAATAATGGAAGAAATTCATGGGCGAGGATTGCATTCCGAAATACCCATCCATCCCATATTGATTGACTGGGGAGTACGTTTCAATTCTAACAGTTTCCGGTGATTGAGGCTGCTCCTCAACAGAAACTGATGGATTCCCACCTGACCTTAGGTAGTTTATTTTAATTTTTGAATTTGGTGTCGATTGGATTGATTTTACTGATAAAGATTTCGGTGATATCGAGATGAACCCGGGACTCACTTTCTTTATGGTTGTGAAGGGTGGGGTATTGAATGAATCTAACAAGAACTCCCGGGGTTCATCTCCTTCACTATAATCTCGTAGAGCAGCAGAAACTTTTTTCATGGACTGGATATAAGCAATGTGCCCATAGGCAAATCTCCTTCTATGCTCAACAGCTTGTTTGATGAACTCCTTCCTATCTTTACAAAGTTGCACAACCTCTTCATTGTCCAATTTGGATGTCGAACATCCCATCTCTCACTTCAGGTCTCTTATCTTTTGACTCTTGGACCTCTCTATGAATTTTTCAGGCTTGAATCGTACTGGAGATCACAAAGGAGTTGTCTGTTAATTCTCACCAGATTCATAAGTCATTTCCCTAGCTGTTGAACTGAAATTGATAAATCATCAAATAAAATCACCAAATGTGAAGAAGGAAGCAGAGACAGAAAATAATAAAGGTATTACAACTAAATACTGAACAAAATTGCAATCTTAGTGAGATTCATCTGCAAGGAAAAAAATTTGAAAGCATAGAGGTTCTTTTCTTAGTTTCCAAGTAAGTCACAGAAAACACAAGAGAACATGAGAAGCTATAACTGAATATTTGTTGCATTCTTCCTAAACTTTCCTAACTAAAAGCACATGAATATATACTGAGACATAAGTTCAAACACCCCCCCCCCCCTCCCAACAGGGCCAAGGTACAAGTCATGAAATCTGAGAAATAGATACAAGCAAATACATAATTTGAACCAAAATCCGTGAGTGTGTTCGGTCATGAATATGCTAAAATTGAACTAAAGAGAACAAGTAAGATCAGATTGGGGTTTTCCGGGGGATAAAATGATGATCAAAGTAGTGTCAGTAATGAGGGGGGAAAACAGCATCATGCAAAAGGAAATAAGCCAAAGGACTCTCGGAAGATGAGTTGTGGAAACATGAAGTTACAAGTTACCAATTTTAAGGTGACAATTTCAGCACTAAGGTAGTAAGGGTAGGGCACAGCAAAAGAAGGGAAAGGACTAAAGCAGATCTCATCAGATGATGAACTCTCGCATGGATTTTTATTGGGAGTGGAAAAAAGCTAACATCTTCAAATGTATTATTAGAAACTTTTAACAGTGAAATCCTTTTATAAAGCATCAATTGACCAAGAAAAAACAAGATTGAAGCATAGCGAAGCACCAAAACCAAACCTTTTGTAACCAAAACCAAACCTTCAGCAGCATTTAAACTCTGACTTGTAAAAACCTTCGAAAACATAAAAATTGTCTATCAGATACCACATTTGATAATATTAGGAATCGCACTCATCAACCCATGAAAATTAAACCCATCTAAAAAAATCAAATTACTCTAGAAGAAACAGAAAATTGAATTAATAAGAACCCAGATGATTAACTAGCCTATAAAACCCAAAACCCATTTTGAAATGAACTTTTATCATGCAATTTGGATTCAGATATTTATCAATGCTTCAAACTCCAAAAAGCACTTAAGTTTAGAACTCTACCCCTTTTCTTATGAGAAAAAAAAAAAAATTTAGTGATGAAAACTACCGCTCAGATATGCAAGCATTCAAGAGAAATCAACAATACCGTACAGAGAAGATATACGCAACACAACAAACCTGTTTGAACACTTGACAGTGCATGATTTGTTTTTTTTTTGGGAACTAGTTCTAACAAACTAAAACAAACACGAGTAGTACCGTCTAGAATGAGATAGAAGTGAAGAATCGTACCTTGGTTATGGTGGGCGGTAATAAGATGAAGAAGCTGGCTGATCACAGTTCTGCTGTGTTCGGGAGAGAGAGAGAGAGAGACGTTGAGCAAAAAGCAACGGTCAAGACCTTTTTAAAGTGAAAACACAACAAAACAACAAATAAAAAAACAAAGCAAAATAAAGTTTGAGGTTGGAGGCCAAGAAATTAAAGAAAAGAATAACATGGAGATTAGAGAATATGACGTGTCTTATTTTAATGCCCTTGTTGTTCCCACTATATTTCCAAAACATCCCCATGCCTAATCGTCTAAATATGATTGCATATATTTGTACTTGTAGTGACAATAATAAGGAAATGATGGTTTTACCTTTTTCATAATTATTCATTATATATATATATATATATATATATATATATATATATATATATATGTACTAACAATAAATTCGAGGCTGACAATGCTCAATTGACTATTAATTGTGTAATATTTATATTTTAATAATAATAGTTTACTTTTTATTATTTTAATTTTATAAATTAAAATTAAAGTAAAGAAAGGGAGAAATATGAGAAAAGTAAACATAAATTAGATCATCTCCAATGTAAATTCAAAATTTTACCCAAATTTTAGTTAAAAAAAAGGGTATAAACCTCTCTGATGAAGAAACTTAAATTTAAAGGAAGACAAACTTAAATTTAAATGAAGACAAATCTAAATTTAAAGGAGGATAGCATATGACTATTAAATCTTTAAAGAAGAATGAAATCTAACCATTCATAAAAAAGATAAACATTTGAATCTCACTTGATTTGGGTAAAAAAAATTAAGTTTCTCTTGATTTGGTATGAGTTTGGGTATAAAATAAGAGAAAATTTTTAAGAATTTTTACCCAAATTTTAATGTGGGTCTAAAAAAAGATAAGGGTTGAAAATACTCTTAATAGAATTGTTTAACATTAGAAAGTGTTTTGATTGAATTATGTGAACGTGTAAAGAAAAATTTATTGAGCAGAAAAAAAAAATTAGAATGAATCTTATAGTTTTATAAATTCAAAATTCAAAATTTTTTTTTGTTGTAATATGATATAGAAGATTGCTTTTTTCTTATCAATCTTGGGTGGTTTTCAAAGAAAAAAATTATTAATTGTGTTTCAAGGATGATCATCGGTCAAGCACCCACACGGTCTAAGTGATCCCACCTAAGAAAATTAATACTTTCGTCCACATGACCCAAAACGTCTGATAACAGTTATTTATTTATTTATTTATTTTTTTGGTTCAACGATTAAGAATGTCTTAGTCAGTTTACGTGTATTTTAATTAATTATTTTCTCGATTCGGTTAAAAATAAGTCATTTACAACAGGACTAGAGTATTAATAAGAGATAAAATTCTTTATAATCTGACTCAAACGAGTTGCTAATTTCAAATTTAGGACGTTTGTGTTTATTTTAGTATTCTACATGATGTTTTTAAGATAGTCTGCAAGTCTTATCTTAAAGAATATCATAACAGCATGATCATTTTATTTTATTTTGTTTCAAATTTTAAAAGAGGATATAATCCTTCCCTGTGGTTCGGTATAATGCCTATCGACAAAACTACTTGAAAATGGTTTTCAGAAAATGACTTGAAAAATTGTTATGGTAGTTCTAGCTTGGCAACTCCCTTCGGGCTCAATTATAAAGGATTTTTTTTTCGTGAATTCTTTAATTTTAGTATAAATAGTTTGTCTTTGATTGAATTGAAAATGGGATAGGAGGTGTGTGTAATCTGACTCAAATACCCTTAATCATAATATTAAAAAAGAAAAAGCAAGATGATCCAAGATATATGGTAGTAAAATTTTAAGAAGATATTGAAAATATAACATGGATCTTTGAGTACTGGTCCTTTTTTAGTTGAATTTTAACATAAATTAGAGGTAACCTGTGCCTGAAGACACATTGAAAATTTAAGAGGAATGTTAATGGCCGTTGGATGAGTCTATTTGAGACCGTCGGATAAATTTATTAAAATTTATCTTATTTTATAATATAGAATTACTAAGATAAAATGTTTTTTTTTTATCTTCCACATCGTTAAAAGAATTGTTTGTTAATTTTAAGGGGTAGCTCAAGTGGTAACGAACTGTAAATTTAGACGTCCTCAATTCAAATCTTGACAATTCTTTGGAGTAAGGTCATAAGAAATGTATTCCTCGTGAATACCCTAGTCCTGATTTGGATGATCTGTCGTTGATCGGACTAGAAAGGAGATTAATCGAGATATACTTAAATTGACCCAGACACTCTAAACGTGGAATAAAAAAAAAAGAGCAATTTGTTTGAATTTAAGCAAACTTTTCGGTACCTATCTTCTCACAATATTTGCATTTTTATGAACATCTAGTCATCTAATATTTTCTTCTCATACAATACACAAAAATCCCTGTTAAGGTTTTCACTTAAAGTTGTTGTCCTAACCCTTTTTTTTTTTTTTTTTTTTAAGTTTTTTTATCTGCTACCCCTTCTGAGGGCATTTCTACTATTATATTTATTAGAAATCCACGTAATTTTGGAGGTTCTCTCAAAAAAAAAATGTTTTATTGTGCCTTCTGCCCGGAGAAAATATTCATTACAACAATGATACAACATTACAATGTGATGCAGTTTGACCAGCCAATAATATTAAAACAAATAAGGAATAGACTCCACAAAAATTAATAACCAACCTATCATGTATGTAAATAACTCATCATCTTTCTCTATGTAAGTTTAAGTAGGTTTCACCTTATCCACTTGAGATTTTATTATTAGTTGGTAATACAATGTCATCAATGACGATATGTTATCACCGTTAAATTCAATATTTACTCCTATTCCCAGCATCTTTCACCCTATTGTGGGTGTCTTGTACTCTGCTGTTAATAAAATATTTTAATTCGTAATAACTAATTCTTCTATACAATAAAAATTTATCGACATATGTTAAAAAAAAAAAAAAAATCCTAACTCAAAGGATCAAAGGAATTTTTTTTTTTAAAGAAATAAAAAACAAAAACCTTAGCTCAATCCTAAGGGGTAACATTCTGTGTTTATGAAGCTTCACATAGCAAGAGAATTTATACCAGGAATTGTAAACGATTCCAAAATGCTAAAGTTCTTGATAATGGAAGTGTAAACTTTTTTTGTACCTAAACGAACATAAAAAAAATAAATAAAAATACTTGTATATTGATTATTCAAAATTAACCAATACTTATAATTAATACGTGATTATAGGTACTTGAGATTTGATCGCAAGTCGGTGTGCAATTTGAATTTACGTTAAAGTAGTTTTCTCATTATAAAAAATTGGATCAGTCTCCTTTATGCAATAGTCAATCAATTATTAACATGCATACTTTTTCCATTAGACTACCACGGAGGCTCAATGTGTGCAAGTAGTCCAACGATGTAAGATTAATTCTAAAATAAGTTATAAACTTAGATGTCTTGGGTTCAATTTTCACTGACATCTCTATGATATAATCGATACCTATAGTTTGCAAATTGTGAGTGACTACAAAAAAAAAAAAAAAAAAAAAATTGAGCTCCAATTTTGAAGCCTTAAGCAGAGTAGGTAACCCAAACACAGCGAAATTTCATAAGAAGCTGAGGACATTATGGTAATTTTACACTAAATTTACTGTTGAACTAATGGAAAGATTAAAATAAAGAAATTGAAAAAGCAAAAAGAAAGTCGGCCATAAAGTTAAAGAGAAAAACAGACACCCACCGAAACCACGGGGATGCTTTTGTAACAGAGGTTCAAACAATTATTCCGAGGTTTACGTTAAAGAGTAATGTTATTGGGACCTAAATCTTTGAGCTAATGACGTAACAAATGATGTGAATTTGCCACATCGACAACTTCTCTAGCTACACAATTTTTTATCATTTTCCCCTAGAACTCTTTGGCATCCAATTCCACTGGCAACCAAAAAAGAATCAAAAGCCATCACTTTCCCTATTCCAATGGGCGAAGATATGCATTTCCTTTTCCATCACACCTCACATTTTGCTTCTCATTTCGATCTCGAAACTTCATATTCCCTCTTTCTTTCTTTTTTTTCCTCTGTTTTATCAAAATCTGTTACTCTTACCCATTTGGGATCACCCATTAAAACCCTCCCCTCTCCTTTTTCAGTATTCGTCTTTGTTCACCTCTATTTTATCGACACTTAATTGAATCTGAGGAGGAAAAAGAAAGTGACGCTTGATTGAGTTGAGATGGGTTTTTCTTGAATCCGAAAGAGTTATTGGGTTTCGATTGCCTTATTTATTCTCAGGAAGAAAGCTGAAAGATTTTGAGAAGAAGAGGTGGGCCGTGAAATGGGGTTTCCTTGAATTTGAAGAGGGTTTAATGGGTTTCGTTTGCCCTCATTCATTCTGAAGAAAAATTTTGAATCATTAATCTTGAATGGTTTTTCCTTAAATCAAAGTGGTTCAGATGAAAAAATGAGTTGCAATAGGGAAAGGTTAATTTTCGGTGCAAACCACAAAGTCTACCAGTTTGAATTTGAGTGTGTGTGGGTGTGGCAGCCCTTGAAATGTGTGCATGGGAATGGAAAAATTCAACCCACCCCGACAGTAACCGTAGTCATTCACAGAAACACAATCAAATGAGCGAAAGAGAAAGATAAAGATAAAGAAAGAGACACAACACAACTACCCCCACTTTGCTATCCTCTCATTGCATTTTCACATCGCAAGTCTCAACAAGCATGCACCAGTGTCCAGTGTCCAGTGTCCAGTGTCTCACTCTTGAGAAAAATATTGAATGTAAGCATTATATCAATGTTACCCTGTAATATTACACCAAAAAAATCATTAAAAAATTCTTTTAAAAAGAAAAAGGGATAAAAAGTGAACTTTTCAATATTTTCTCCCAACCGTTCATTCATGTGCTCTTGTACATGAGACGACAACTAGTAGGGTCTGTTGCTCTGGTAAGTGATAACTAGTATGATAGAGAGGATTCATCTGTTGGAACAAGACAAAAAACAAGGGGACCTCCGGGACCATCTACTAAGACGACGAATTCTTCTACCCAACTGTGACCTAATAACTCAGGATTCGTATCAATAATTATATTGAACTGTTAAAAAGATAGCAATGTG